TCGTGAGTCACGATTAGCTCTTCTGTTGCTAGGAAAGAAATTTCTTCAATTATTTGCTGTCACCTCTGACATGAGTCCTTGCGCGACACTTTCAATGTACATTCTTGGTAATGGAGCTTTTTTTGAAGATTATCTCATTGAAATTGATACGTACACACATGTTTTAAATCAAATCGTGTTTCGGTACATACACGACTGGGCAAAACCCAGGTCTCCCTCACTCAGTGCTGTTGACATCGACCAAATCAGCCAGATCACCTCTTGGGATCTGACTCCATTGATTGAGCATGCCAGTCATGTGCTCCTGAGACGAGCTCAGAGCCTGGTCGAGCAAGCGCAGTCGGGCTACTTGCTGGTCGTGTCGAGCTTGAAGGCTGTCGCTCTCAATACTCAGGTTCACGCCAGCCTGTTTCACGCGTTGATTGGTCTCACTTGATTTCTCGCACTCGCTGTGCTTCGCCACGCAAGACTCCCAGGGACGTTGATAGATTCTAACAGGTCGAGATGCTTGGAATGCGAGCTTCGGATCGCCACGCTCGATATCTGCCAGTGCCTCCAATACCCTTTGAAAGGGCCCAGTAAGCAAGGCGTCTGTCGGGGTTACTTTCTGCTATCAGTAGTAGTCAGCCATGGCAATTATCATTTGGTCTTCTACTTTACTTACCAGTGGTGGTTCAGAACTAGGCTTGGGCTGGGGAACAAGTCCATCGCTCTGGGGAAGTACTTCACTCGGCTGAGAGTCTTGCTCCTTGTTGTGGTTTTGCATAGGTTCGGTGGCCTCCATTGCGTTCAATGTGCTGAAATCTTGACAAGGAAGAATTTTCACGCCGAATGGGCTTTCTTTATAGTTTGCTTAGTGAATCTGACTCGCAAATGCCATTTTCACTGGTTGGTCAACGTATTCATTGTATCGACCACCATTGGCGTCTCCCCTGAAATGGTGAGCTTTTCGTCGCGTCCTGGTTATAACTGTAAATCGAGAACTTTGTTCGCAAACCAAAATCATTTCAACCTGTGTTGAAAATACATTTCGAAGAGAAAATTTTTCAAACGTTGATTCCGGCACGCTTATTATTGAGACAAGGCGAATTCTGAGTGGGAGGTCGTGATGAAACTTCAACATTGAACTTTGCCAGGAATCTATGGCCATGGATCCATCCCCCAACTAAACATGCGTTATTTGGCTCAGAAGCTAGTAGGAGTGATTGCACTGGTGAAATGCCCATCTTTGTGGGTTTTCTTTTTTTCACACCAGGCATCCTGCGGTCGTTCTCAGACTCGAAAAATGCTCATGGCAACGTGAGCTCTTTATCACAGTCACGGCCTTTGAGTGGTTTCAAGGAGGTCATCTGTGCGTATATAAACTTGCAAGTCCAAGGACCCAAAAGGAGTGAATTGTTGCGCTAAATGCATGAATCTTATCTCTACAGTGCCTTTCCAGTCTGCAATTTATACTTTGAGATATGTCGCTAGGATACGCTACAGATCCAGTGAGCTGCAATCAGCCAACTGCATTCTCAGAGATAGACTTGTGCGAGGATAGTGCTTTATTCTCGAGGGGCATAGCCTCGCTCTACGAGATCGGCGAATCACGCTCTGCCACAAGCACTGATTGTGCTGAAAGTCCAGGCACAGTTCACATCCAGAATGACCGAGACGGGGGTGCAACTGATGCTCACGTCCCAATATATCAAATGCTGAGCAGAACGAGCGGGTTTCAAAGTCATTGTTGCCGAGCCCCGAATTGCGCTATGGGCCGAATTTTGAATGCCTCCCAATGCCGGAGCGTGATCATTTGGTTCCCGAGTGCTGCAGGTGCAGAGCTTTTCAAAGCGACTTTGCAAGGGACATCTGCCGGTTGCTCTGAGCATGCGAATGGCAATGCTGGATGCTGCTCACCAGAAAAGACCGACGCCTGCTGCATGCAGTGCCCTAAAGGTTCAGAGTATGCCGATCAAAGTTTCTTCGCCGCGAAGTCCTGCTATGACCATGATCAATGTCCCGCTACCCCAGACGGCACGCTGAATCCTTCCACATTAAGCCTCTTTCCTGAAACGACTGATATCTCCCAATCCCCTTTCAAATGTGACTATCCAGCTTGCAATCAGGGTTTCAAGCGCCAAGCAACTCTCGGCCGTCATCGGAAAAAACATATAGGAGAACGGCTCCACGTCTGCTGGGTTCCTGGATGTCAACGCAGCTTCTGGCGCAGTGACAACCTCAAGGCGCATTACACCACACACGGGACACATGGAGGACGCAATCTTTATGTGGCCACTCTGGACAAGGCGGTTTCAGTCTATGATCCTAACTTTCGAGGACAGCTCACGCCTCAAGGGTGGCCACTCGGCGATGCGGCCTAGGAGAGCGGTGACATTGCACGACAATGACTTGTACCTTTTCACATATTCTCATGAGCCAGATGGTGGTAAAGGTTTATGTTGTATAGAATTATATTTCCGACACCCAATGGAGAATTGCGTGCTTAATATTATTGCTCGGGTTGATTTCGCATAGAGTATCATAAAGTCAGGGATCTTCTTTAAGAACTGACAGCAAGGTTTGATCACCGCGACACACACCCAGTCTCCATTGCCAATGTGCTTATTTGATTCCCAAAAAATATTCAGACCATTTCTATACTCGTATTATACTACCCGAAGAGCTTGATACTTGATGATTAACTCTACTCGTAGACGACACATGAGCAACACAGGTCTACCCGACAATGCTCAGGGATACGTGAAAAACCAAAACGCGAGACCTGTCATCTATGGTGATCATAATCATCAGTATTTATCCTGTCCTGGATGACTATTTACTCACTTAGATAGCCATGCTGACATGCTTGTTCGAATGCCTTGACGTGAAACATTTCTGCGACGACAATCCTATCAGACTTTGATCGCCAAATCCCTGGCACCTTTTTGAAAGCTGTTTCCAAATCCTTCATTGTATATGACTCATGAAAGACTTCTGCACAGTGATTCGCCATATCATTGACCCTGATTCCAACGGTCGGCTCAATCGCGAGTGTTGTGGTCAGGATCCTCGATAACAGCATTGGGTCCAAAGACAGGAATGCTCGGCGGTAGTACTCTAAACACTCCGAAGCACTTCCAATGCAGATTGATTGAGGCTTTGTGGAAGCAACGCGGATTTCTTCAAGCTGGAGGGCCCTTTGAAGGCTAAGGATTATCGATTGCAGCTGATGCGCTGGAATCTCTGCAGGAAAGAGTGGCGAATGCTGGAGGCGGGAGATCATCGTGGAAAAGAAGTCCTGATCACGTATCCAGATCTCCTTGAACTGGTATCCTCCAATTTGCGCATCGCGAATGCTCATAAAAGCATAGCAAATCAGGGCAATGCTCGCTCTTACCCCAAAGGGCCGGTATGGTGGGTATGACCGTTGATATGTGTCAAAAAAGCCCAATGTTGGCGACGCATGCTGTCCCAGAATTAACAGGAGGTACGCAATTTGTGACTCCACATCTTCCACAGACATGCTATGTAGATCTTCCGCTTGGGTCAAAGCATTACGTGGAGAGACCAGCCACCACAGTTTTCTAACGTATTGCTGAACGAAGCTTCTCTCCCAGTCCCTCTCACACCGATAGATTATGCGCCATAAAGCCCCATTATCTTCAGGTAACATTGCCGATACGAAGAGGTAACTCAGTACCAACAAGAGTTGGTGAATTTTGTGCGGTCCCCCGTCAATGGCAGCTGGTTCAGAGACCAGAGGCGGAAGCGTGACGCGGGATGGGAGGTCAGTCTGCACATTTGTCAGCGAACAGCGCCTCAAATGTCTTGCTGTAGCTCAACTTCACCGGAAGACTCATTTCAAAGTAGGGCCTCATCCATTCAGCATGCGTTAGAGTCGCGTTGGCAATGATCGGAAGATGGCCATTGTCCACTACGGGTCTAGTAGAGTCCAGATGACATCCCTTTGATATCGATTTTGTTTCAGCATGCTCCTGTGTGGAAGCCGTTGGATCGAAGTGCGGGTCTCTTGTATCTGTGTGCTGGATAGCGGACTGTATTGATCCGCTGCAATCTTGCTCTCTTTCTGTTGCATAGTTGAATGGCTCTTCGGTTTGTGTCGATTGGTCGTTGGGACGAGACCTTCCCTCTTTTCTCTGTCGTCTGGATGGTTGCTGGCTTACCTCTTCGTATGAACACAGTTCAGGCCTATCACGTTCAACGCAGTTCTGGCAAGAAGGCATTTCATGACCGCATCTTTTTTTCGACTTTCTACATGGCCGGCAGGTCCGGCGAGCTCTTGGCATGGTTGATGAAAGCAGAAATATTGGCTGAAAAGTAAGGTAAGATCTCCAGCGATCGTGGTCAATATTCTTACTACTTGGTAAGATGAAAGATAAAAGTTGATTTGAAAATCAATCGTGACAAAGGCCAAAATGGATAATCTGTGGTAGACGTAGGATCTCGCAGTTGAAGAGCGTTGTTGCGCTTTTGTCATGTAGAAAGGTGCAAAGATAGAGGCTTCATTATATAATTTATATATCTTGCCGCCGATATTGCGACTTCTCCGGTACTCTGAAGCGGTTACCTTTCAAGTTCCGATTATCCGATGGCATCAAAGTGTTACAATTCCAGTCTGAGGGTACCTATGATGAAGATGGATGACGGATTTACTTGAAAAGGCAGTCTACTTTTATTCAATTGAACAAGTTTACTTTTATTCTTAAGGGTACTCCGGAGCAATATATCTTATCCTCACCATCCACGCACCGAGGTCTGATCTCCTAATTGGGCAAGTCAAAGACAGCCAAGCGTACTCGCACAAGCTAGGGGGCTACATACGACTCTTCGTTAAAAGCATGAGAAGTAAATCAAATCGAATCAAATCAAATCAGCTCTTTTCCAATGCTCATGTACACACTCTTGTTTATTGGACGGTTCACTGCTCGAAGTGAGCTCTCGGAAAAGTGCCTACGTCAAACCCGGTGAAAGACAGCATTTCCATGGCCGAGTCGTTGTCACGGGCCTAATCCGAACCTATCAATGATCTTCTCAAGACGTTCATCATGGACATAATGTTGCAGCATTTCCCTCTTCCATGATTTCCAGTCTGTGTCTCTCTCGATTCCAAATGTAGCCCAGATACCTCGGATTAACAAGAGTGTTTCATCCCAGGAGAAATCCACGTCAAGGCCAAAGAAGAACCTTCGCAGCTGCTCATTTTTGCACATGATATCAGCCAAGTCATCTTCTCCTTTCTCCTTCAAGAGGCGAGCTAACGCGCGATCATGGATAGTCATGGATGGGAAGCCGTTATAAATATCGCCCATTTCTGCTGTCACCAAAGAGGGCCCAAAAGCCTCATCGGCAGGAACCACCCGAGCCATTTGCCAATCAATTATGCCAATAATATTCAACTCTTCGTCCACCATTAGATGATCTCCCTTATCATCCACATGCTTGATATAGAATTGCTCCGTGTTTTTAACCGAGCTATAATTCGACTTTGGTGAAAAATCCTGGATCTGGGATTTCAAGTATAGAAATACGAGATAGGCATTCAATGGGAATGATGGGAAAAGCTGACCATCAACAATGAGGGACATGTTTTGCTCCACAAACGAAGAGTAATAGTCGATAGCTTTGTCATAGGGCCCAGAAGGGCTCAGAACAAGAAATCGTTCACTGGCAATGGCAGAGACTATTGGTTTTGAAGCCAAGGGGCCTGGGAGAAGAGAACCGGCTTTGGAAAATGGATGGCTTTTAAGCTCAATGAGAATATCTGCCAGTCCATTCCACACCTTCTCCTTGTCCTTGTTATCTGCAGAACGCTTGCCGCGTGGTCCTTGCTGATTCCAAGGTTTGCCAGGCATCTCTTCCATGAGAATATAGCTTATACCAACTCTATTGTTCGTGTCACCAGCGATACCATACCCAAATGCGCGAGGGGCAGGCACTTTGGTCGTCTCAAGAAATTTAAGAGTGGCATATTCGCTGCGAATAAGATAGTCGATGAGCTGTTGAGGGATGTTGTTGTTGATTCGAGGCACTCGAATGAGCCAAGTATAACCATTCTCGGCAAAACGAATACGGGCGTGATAATTAGCACAGCCCATGAGTGCCCCACGTCCCCATGCGGGTGGATGCTCAATCTCGCATTTGAGGCCACCATTTAGTTCCGAGGCTCTCTCGCAGACAGCACCGTCATTGATTTTTGCTCGAAGGTTTTTCACCTCCCCATGGACTTTGGCTTCGAACTGATCATCCGAGAGGGGCTAGTGGGCGTCAATTCCGAGTCAATCCGAGGACAAGCAAGTGAATGGAACGAACCGTGTCCTCACACGTATGAGATGGTGGTCGACCATGGGTTGAGCAAAATTGTTGACTGCATCGCTCACAGGGACCGAGACCCCGTGTACTCGGTAGCACGCAACCCGCGTAATCACAAGAAAAGAATCTGTCAAGCATGGGAGATCTGGTGGAGTGGGATTGAATAAACACACCATTGCGGGGCGTAACCAGCTTTAAATTTCGAATTTCGACGGTGTGGGGTCTCTGGTGTCTGGATCGTCACGCAGTTACCATACTAGACACCGCCCGGGGCCTAGGACCAATTAATGCTGTGGCATACGTATATTCCAACTTTTTTCCAGGGAGTTGTATATTGATAAAATGAATTTAAGTACGTGGTTTCTTATACGAAGAAGAGTAAATCTTGAATAATCCGCCCCTCTCTTCCTCCACAAGATCCCTCCTGGAGCCAGTCACTTCCCCGTTCCAATCGCAATGCCTCTCCTGCAGCTGTTTTACCAGGTTCTGTTATTTCCCGGCAAAGAGAAGTATCTTGCACCTAGTTACTCCTGGTCTAAGCATAACGAATCAGATCTCAATATTTTCCTAAACTTCCGGCGATTTTAAAGATCTTTGAGTACTCACGGTCTTCACAGAAGCGAGAGCCAGCCAGCGCCCATTTATCGCATTTTTGACAGCGAATACTTCGCCCGCTCTCATCAACGGGCATTTGAGGCTCCGGTTCGTCAGCGAATTCCGAGCGTATGAGGTGATTGTAACTGTTGTTACACATATTGATGAAGCCGGGTGTGAGATGTTTTCGAAGGAGAAAAATTATAGGACAAAGTGTGTAAGAAAGCGGGAGTCTGATTCTGTAGTAGAGTAGGACTTTTCTACTAAAGCTATCCCAATATTTATACCCTTGTCTGCAACCGCCAACCCCTCTTGTCACTGCGACGGGCGGCAACTGAAACGGGATGAAAGCCATGGGCATTGAACGATGGTCATTCACGGTTTCCCCAATTGCTACAGCGCTTAAGATTTGATCACATTCTCTGCAGCTTAGATAGCGCCGCAGGCCCCTGGCTCGACGTAGTCCACAGACGGCGCAGCATTCGTATGGCAACTGAGCACGGACTCCCGTAAAATAAAACATTATTCGTCATTACTAGAACCCACTGGTTAATTTAATATAGAAAAACTTTGTCATCCGTGCGTGACAATCACAGGATCAGCGGTCCATTTCGTGCCGGCGCCAGTATAATCTTCTCTATTGGTTAATTCTTTGTTCGGTGGTGGAATGATGTTACGCGCCGCCCCGAGCACAAGTAATTCCGACGTGGTTAATTGGTCGTGAGTGTCCCTCGGGAAGTTCTGCCGCACAAAAGCAGTGGCAGAGCGGGGAAATAAATTAAACAGGTGCACTCATACAGTGGCTTGGGCTGATAAAAGTCTGCGCCAGGGGGCCCCTGCGCTGTGCTTCAATACAGCGGTCGAAATTGGCACAAATACGGTCCTCATGACATTGGGCGACGATCTAGATCACAGTGAAGAAACGATGAATTCGATCACGCGGGCACTACAAGATGACAGCGACCAGGATTGAGCGGCGAAACGCCGGCAGTAGAGCTAGTGATTATAGGGGGAGAATCAAACGATTTAAAGCAGGCACGGAAGTTTATCTAGCGACCCCAGGCAGCCATGGCTGCAAGGCCACCGTCGACGCCAGTTGATAGACTGAAAGCCAAGCTCGACCATTGTCTAGCGATCTACCGTTAAATCAAGCATATATAGTAGCTTGGGTGTTTGGTCGCTGACCAAACGCTGTGCCTTTTTGGCCTGTTAGCCTAGTGGTAAAACTAAGCGGCCGCGATCCCTGACATCTGGTGTGAGGGTCTCACGTATCTGTTGAAGAAAAACCTGTATTTCGGATGAAAAGGATGAATGATCAATAATAAGGAAAGCCATAGTCGCTTCTAGATACAAGACCTAGCGCGAGGAAGCAAAAGAACAATAGCTTCGCATTCAAGGGGAACCCAGATGCAGATGCACCATGTGGGTCCGTGCCTCAGGCATATAACTGACACATTTTCAGTGTCGGTTCAGTCGTTCGTGGAATAGCTGATTAAGATCACAGGACCAGTCGTCTCGTAATGGTCCCAAGGAGACGCTACCTGAATCACCGAAAGCACAATCCTGGCCCCATGGCATGTCCCTGAGAACAGCTACATAAGCAGAGGAGGCGCGATGGTCAACACTATCCAGAGGATTCAGAGACGTGCAGCCCAGATCATCACAGGAGAATTCCGGACAACTGCCGGTGCCGCGGTGGACGTAGAAGCTCATCTGCTCCCGGTGCAACAACAACTCGAGCAAACAGCATTGGAGGCCATGATGCGCATTAGAACTACACCTCTATACATCGACATAGCCTCAACCGAGATCAGCAGGAGCAGCGAACAGAGCCCCCTCGGCCGCTTCTCGAGTATCCTCGAACGTAAATATAAGGTGCAGCTCGACCGGCTTGAAAAGCGTATACCGCATGTGGTGCCGCCATGGTGGATCCCACCGTTCGTCCACATCAATGAATCCGCAGAGAAAGCAATCAAGAAACACGATGCCATCGAGGCAGGAACGCTATGCATCTACACCGACGGAAGTGGCATTGATGGCCACATCGGAGCAGCTGCCGTAACGCGTGCACCACACGCCAACGGACCTTGGACGAAGCAGACTCAATATATGGGTACATCCAGGACCTCCACAGTGTACGCGACAGAGCTCCGAGGGCTCGTTCTGGCACTGCAGATAGTCCTCGATACGCCGCCAATATGCGTCACGTCAGATAGATGCGCCGCTATATTCACTGACAGCCAAGCCGCTATCCAAGTCATTCGGAATCCCAAGCATCCATCCGGGCAATACATTCTGGTCGAGGCTATTCGAGCACTCGACGAGCTTCGAAGCCAAGGATGACAGGTACAGTTCCGATGGATTCCGGCACATGTCGGGGTGGCAGGTAATGAGGCAGCCGACCAAGCAGCGAAAGAGGCCGCCAGAACCAATCCAAGCACGGGAGCGAACACTGTGCGATCGCCAGAAACAGACTCTCTGCGGATACTCGCAGCTACCACCAAGTCCATCATCCGTCAAGCGATGAGAGGCGAGTGGGACACGGCCTGGGAGAATGCCAAGCACGGTAGAGAGCTCTTTAGGCTCGGGGTGAGGCCGGGGAAGGCGATCTTCGACACGCATATTGACACCCATAGAGCGATCAGCTCCGCCATCACACAGATGCGCACGGGCAAGATCGGCCTACGTGCATACCTCCACGCCATCAACAAGGCAGACTCCGACCAATGCGAATGCGGCCACGGGCCACAAACCGTACGACACGTCCTGCTCGAGTGCCGAAACTGGGCGGACGAACGACATCTAATGTGGGCAGGCAAGGTTCCATGCATCGACATCAAACGCATTCTCTGTAGCCCGTCAATGGCAGTACAAGCAGCAAAGATGATCTTGAGGACTGGACTGCTGGGACAATTCCGAGCAGTACCACCCACGGTACTAAACTACACATAGCGAAGACGAGTGATTTTTGGTATATAGAAGGAGAGGAAGGCCAGGAAAGGCCTGACAGGTACATAGAAACAGAACGATCAAGAAGACTACGAGTTGGGATGTAACTTACTGGAGCGGATGGAGAAGTCATTCGGGCAACGAACGGCTTGGTTTCTGAAAGCGAGGGCGGAGACACCTGTACTTATAGTCACACGCTGCATAGCTGCTAATTGGGCGGCTGGGACAGTCTATGAATAAATCAATCAATCAATCAATCACAATCCTGGCCCTAGGATCAAAGACAACTGCTCCAGGATATGATTCAGGAGCCCCAGGAGCAAACTAGCTCACAGGGGCAGTGGTTGCATTCCCAGTTCCAGTTCAGTCATTCGCGGGATCGCTGATTGAGATCCCAGGACCAGTCTTCTCATAACCCGCTCGGGCCAGAAGCCTTTACGTGAAACAGAGTGCCCGCCACAAGGACACCTCACCTAGATTCCTGAAAGCGAAAGTCTGGCCCTGGGATCTTGAGTGAGCGCTCTAAGAGCGCTATAACTCCCAGGAATGGTCAAGGTAATAAAATTGTAGATAGATTAGGTCTCCAGGGGTCTGGGACTGATTCCGAACGATTTTCAGATCATCTGATCATCTCCCTTTGCATGCTATCACTCTTCCTCGTCAATGTTGTCTTGTCACTTCAAGCTATTAAATTATGGTCCCTTCCCCCCGCCCTCCGATCTCAAAAATAACCGCTGCACTACGCGTGGAAGCTAAAATGACTACAAAACCTACGGCTGTGTGGAATTGCCTCCGCTGGATCTGGCTGTGGAGAAATCTATATGCTCCGGCTGCGTAAGTCGTCCAAGCCAATCTCCGCGAACACCATCTAATCTATGCCTCTAGGCGTTTTTTCCTTCGTGTGAATCCAAGCTCGACGAAAATCTATACGGGGATCAATAGATCAAATTAGAGATAAGTGATTTACCACGACTCTCTATGGCATTTGCCACTCTGCCTGACCAGCCCCTACAATGGCTGCTGGAGATGGGAGTGACCATACACTATCAAATTTCCCTCACCCAGGATCAAGTGGCTGTGAGCCTCTGTGGACCGCCGTCCTTCTTGATCTGTCCTCTTTTTGAAATTGCCTGTGCTGGCGAGGTTTTGTCCCAGCCTCCAATATACCTGCAGTCACCTCTTCGCGCCAATAAGGACATGAAATACGAGAATCCACAGTGGCTCGGGTTTGCTGGGGACTCAAACAGCTCGACTTTCCATGTGGGAGAGACCAACTACTTCCGAAAGCTTGTGAATGCACCTGGGAAATATTTGAGTCCCTAGCGCTTTTGGAATTCAAATTGGCTGTGTTTCTTTGTCTTGTCTTGATACACTCAAAACAACTCTGGTTTCGATCGCCATGTCTGTACCAATGGATACTATACGCTAGAAGAGGGAACGTGGGCCGAGGGGTAAAGGAGATATGCAGAAATGACCGATTCTTTTTGTCTATCACCCCCCCCCCCCCCCCCCCCCCGGCGATACGTTTCGAAGAAGGTCCACAGAAGAGGCGTTTACTAAGAAGCAAGTCCCTGAAATTTAGCATGAGGGACTTATAAAGGAACAACTGTTTAGTGAATAGTGAATCGATTGCTGCGTACCAGACCTTACCGATTCACCCATCGTTGACACTGTATCATAGTTCATAGTGGAAAGTGGCAGGTACCCAACTGCTAAAGAAAGCCCAGTACATCTACTGGCTCGAGACTGTAGAATGCGATCGCGGGAAGAGAGAACGCATTGACTGAGTGCCAAAGATCTTAAGTAGAAAGAGACGCAGCCGACTTGACATAAAAGGCGCCATATTTCCGGCCCAGAAAAAATCAGGATTTTCCTCCTCACACTCCTGAGTCATGGTCTCCCACTCTTGCCTGCAGTCTGGAGGGTCTCTGTGGCCAGGGGTTCGCAGTACAAGGTCTGCGTTATCAAATACGTTTCGCAGGGGGGTGCTGCATCACCAATTTCTCCGCAGGGGGAAGCTGCGAAAGCAAGGAACTCTAGCGAAGTGCAGGCACCTCTTCGTGGTGCTAGGGACCAGTATTCAATCCTCGCTTTGCAATTGATCTGCACACCCATCAATGGATACGTCATGTAGGACCGGGCCACGGGCGAAGAGACTGACAGTAGGGCCATGAGAACGCATTCCGGGGCCTTTTTTCACTCCAAGATAGCGTTGTATAGAGAGCGAATAAGCCCAGAACTTTGCTGTTACAGATTTCGCCGTGCATGGTAGTATCATGTCCAGAACCTGATCTCACAGGATGTATACACAAACGTACAGGCTGGACGGCTCGATCAAAGACCATCAGACTTGGGCAAGAACGCATTGTTCACGTCTGTCTCACAGGTCAGGAAAACTGAGATGACTGTTGAGGTTGGCGTTGGTGGTGACGGGGTAGATGCGGTGATCAATAGTCCATGGTGACAACCAGCCTGCTTCGGTGAACAGTTGCCCAGCTTTCGTAAATAGTTCAGCTTGTTTTCGTACACGGTCGAGCCTGTTATGGTGATAGTTGACTGAGCATTCGTGAACCGCTGAAAGAGCGTGCTTAAACAGTTGACCCAGTGTTGGTGAACATTGGAGCCTGCTTTGATAAACAATGGAGGATGTTTTCATAAACAGTTGAATGAGCGTGCGTAAACAGTCAAGCAGTTTTGGTGCTTTCTAAACAGTTGACCTGCGGTATAAACAGTTGAGTCTGCTCTTATAGACAGTTGAATCACCATTAGGAAACTGTTGATCCAGTGTTGGGGAACATTGGATACTGCTTTGAAAAAAAAATTCAGCACGACTTCATAAACAGTTGAATGAGCGTGCGTAAACAGTTGAGCCTGCTCTGGTAAACAGTTGACCGGCTTTCTAAACAGTTGATTGAGCGTGCATAAACAGTCGACCGGCTTTCTAAACAGTTGAGCCTGCACTGATAAACAGTTCAATGACCATTCGTAAACAATTGACTGAGCGTGTGTAAACAGTTGACCGGCTTTCTGAACATGGCCAGCTTCGAAAAACAGTGACCAGCTCTGAAAACAATCTGTGGGTGGTGACTGTGTCAACGTGTTGATAAGCAGACTGTTAATGCGGATTGAGGACGTGTTGACAAACGGAGTGAGTCGCTCGGGCGGTGTGTCACCCCTCGCGCACATTTCGTCCGACTTGGGGTAGACCCCACCTAAATGATCTATTTCTTAGGCCAACGGCCATTGTCAAGTCCTTATTGACGGACAATACTTTTGTGATTTACGGCTGATATAATCTAGAGCCAAGCCGACGCATCGTCATTTCGAAGTATCTACATAAAGAATCACTTTGGGAATTGGCTTGTTATATATATCTGTAGTCGCACGTCTCCCGTGTAAGTGAATAGGACGTTCGCATCACTAGACCATGAACACCTTGATATGGAACGCACATTCGTGGCGTTAATCTCTCTAGTGACCACTCAATATTGTGACCAGTGAGAAGTCTACACCATCTTCTCTTAACACGAGCGTAATATATCATCAAACAGCACAGGTGAAAATTAGTCAACCACATACTACGTACAATAAGGCGATGAAGTTGAAACTCAGTGACTCCATCCTTCATGAAGGTCAGTTCGAGATTGAATTGAATACTGCGCATGAGCCTTGATTGGTTGACTTGGATAAATAAACTTGACAGTGTACACATACATCTACGGGAAAGAAGTTATCTCAGAATAGCCTGGCAAGGATAACTTCGCCAGCAGGCAACGGCAGACCCGCATGATGGGGCGAACGAGCCGCACATCCAACATCTGAGCATCGTCTGGTATGATGCGCAGCTGAGTCCTGATTGGAGCACTCGCTCTGTTTGGCACTAAGCAAGGCGCCTGATGAGACAACGGGGAAAGCCCAGCAGTCGTTCTCCGTCCTCAAGAGCCAACGGGAAGCGTAGATGTTTGACCTAAATAAGTTAAGGCCTTGGAGATGATGCATCGCGGCACATTGGTTACAAGGCCGGAACGGCTATCACTGTTTGTCGGTCAAAAGCGGACGGACGGGAGCTCGTCGCGTCACGTCGCGTCATCGGCGCAGGATGGTTTCTCGAGATCAAATAAAGAGAAGCTTGCTGGACTTTGGAGATGCGGACAAACGAGCTCATTCGGAATGACATGCGGACGCAGCGATGATGGTATTGAGCTGGGGGATTTGCAACTCACATCATATAATCATGGCACAGCACGAATTGCATGACCGGATCATAAGCAACTGAGCTAGATGTCAAGCACATTGTACTAGAGCTCCTCTTTGTTCTGCCATTTTCGATGGAAGCGTTGGCCTTACACGGTCAGGGCTTCCTCTTCGTGGTTCCCACATCTACCCAGAGCGATTTTCTGGGTGAATTTGACATCGCTGAGTACAGAATTCTCTGAATATTTCTACTCGCCAATAAAATGGGCGGCAATTTTTGGAAGCTCAAATCGACTTGTCTTCAGCTGAATCGGGGCCGTAACCATGCGTCACGTGACAAGACGGCAGCGTATTCAAGGTGCACCAATGGGTCAGCAACAAGAATCTACAGAGATCCATCCCACTTTGAATGGCCCTGGCAGGACCAAAATTTGTTCGATACCGAGAGACACGGCGCAATTTGGAGTTGTATAGCATGGAGCACCTTCCATGAGACCTCCCGGACTTCAGAATGACCCATGTGACCCAGCAGGGATGCTTTTTGATTTTTTTGATACTGAAAAGCAGGGAACCTTCAGCCGAATCGGATCCACCCGCGGCGACACATTGTAAATGGCTTTGTACCGACAGTCGGGTCAGCTCGCAGACTGCACTGTATCGCTTCCAGATGCTGGGATTCATGTTCTCCCTATTTGGGCACAATCGCTCCACTTGTAGGCCATGAAGTACTAGCGGGCGCAGTTTTGTATGCGTCGCTCGGCAGTCAAGTCAAGCCCAAAGGGCTCATAAAAGGGGTATGTTCATCAAAGTTCTCATTGAATGAGGTTATTCCCCGTATTGAGCTTCGCCCGGAAGAGCGAAGGATTTCGTCTCACAGATCACAAATTTGAGTCAAATCTGAGGACTGTATCCGCTGGCATAGATTTCCATACCCTCGCAAGGCCCGATGGAAATCGTAGGTATCGTTCGGTGGGCAGGTAAACAGTGTTTTGCGGAAGATTCGCCAGGTGAGCTACTTGTACAGCATGGTGTCTCCAAAGACGCCGGGATTGGGATTGACGGCAAGCCACCCTTGAGGCCGTCTTGAGACCTTACCTCCAGCCTGTGAAAGCGAGGAAAGGTTGAGATTGAGTGTGGCGCACTCGTCAGCAATGCTTGAAAGTGCGGCTTGCGCGATCCATCGACAGCAAAGGCGGTGAGGTCCAAGACGCGTGGGAGGTTCCCGCGTCCCGCGGCGTCGATCCGCACAGACAGTGGCCTCTCAAGATGCGTGAATGAAACCAATCAAAGAAGATCCCACGCACAATTCTTCATAGTCAAGCTTGTTCAGTCCTTGGCCCACTCTAGCGATGCCCGGCATGATGCTAGGACAACACAGACCCCGCTTTGGCGTGGATCTGCCGGTCTCCAACTTTCGATCCAACAATCCTCGGTCCAGTCACCGCTTCGAGAACGCTACGGATCGATATCCCCTTGGCTGCAATTTTAGCGGTAGTCCATCAGATGGCCACGGAATGTCACCAAGTAGAAATGTCTGGTTCCCACTGATCTCTGACCCACGCCCAAGGTCCAACTGCCACGGTTCAACTCCCACGAGCCATCTCCCACAAGCCATCTCCCACGAGCCATCTCCCACGAACCGACTCCCACGAACCGACTCCAGCTATGGCACTGGGCTGAGCCAGATAAGCCATGGCGGTATGCTTCTCAAGCCCCTTGTGGGCATACTGCTCAACATGCCGTCTCATTTGGGAAACTGGCAACGTGTTCATGGAAATGAAATTTATCCGCGATGGCAGTCAAACTAAGCCTTGGGCATTGTTGATGTGCTTGAGGATTTCTCGGAGGTATCACCTGTTGGGCACGCCTTAGCAATTGGATCTAAAAAGGGGCCGCTGACTCACGTTTATCCGATGGCTGATCAGCGTTTTGACGGGCGATTGGAAGATGGGCGACGGGTGCAGAATCCAGAAGTGAATGAACTCATTTTGGGACTGCTGAATCAAAAAGGTTACCCTCTGGAAAAATCTAGCAAATGAGCCAATGCTCCATATTTGGGCTTGAAGGCAGACGATTGGTGTGATGATCCCCGCCTCAGTCTATACGACGAGGGCTGCCCATATTGGGTAGCGGAGAACAAGGGCTCCAGGAGTGCATGGGATATACAGTGGTCGCCATTGATCATCCGGCCACCCATGTGTAGTGTGGAGGCGGTCTTCATTAGACCGCTTTGCTGGAAGTATCGTACTCCTTCCCCAAGTTGTCGGGATTGGCGTGGGACTCGCCGCTTGACGATACTGAGCTGGTCGGTATGATGCTATTCCACCGCAGTCGATTTCATGCCGCCGAGTTCGAGACGACACCCGTCAACGGTACCCTCAACTGGGGAGCTCACTTTTCTCGCCACAATGTGTTGAACGCACTACCGGGACCATTTGGGAGATTGCTACTCTGATCGTGCTGATCAAGCCTCCTGTAGTCGCGCCCAATTCGGAGTAGTCTGATACCAAGGATCTTCATCTCTGGACCTTCTCCTGTCGATGTCGGTCTATGGGGCTCACGGGACAAGGGTCCGTTGTATGAGGAATGCGAGTGTATGCACATCGAGTCGTAAGATCACAACGCACTTGGCAAGTGACTCTTCCAAGATGTCAGTATACATCCGTTGATAAGGGATCCACTCTCAATCTTTCATCTTCGACCTCACAATTCTTTAGGCCGGACATATATTGCTCTACAATAGCTCTTCTTCCATGGCGGAGTGTGTTGGTAGATTTGTCTAGCACACTAATCAATTCCCAACTCTCGTGAGACATTGGCGACGTGTGCGTTGATACAAGATGGGCTGGAAGGTGGCAGTCCATCATAGCCTGAAGCTGTCATCAGTCGCCCGAAGTGTGCCTGGAGGCATGTCCTACTGGGCGTGGTATTGGTGACTGGATCAGAGAAATGACTTCTGACTCACCTTTCCAGGTACTGGGCTGACGGCTGAATGATCCTTGTAGCATCGACCTGAGGTGATCGATGAATTGGGCTGGTCACAAGTTCACGGTATTGGACTGGCTGGGACATAGCTGCACAGGAAGAATCGCTCGTGTTGTCAAGGTGAAAGAAGCTAACAGCGGTGAAGTTCGGTCAGCTTAGGCCAGCCTCATTGGTGTCATACGTGCGGGTTATGGTGATGCGGTTAAGACTTGGGACGTTGACCCTAGCTACTAGACACGACTCGATGGCGAAACATCAACGGCGTAACGGAGCTGGATGACTTCATCAGGAGGTGTATGGCCTGTGTCAGTGGGTAACGAGCACCGGCACCGAAGATCAAAGGCGAGAAACTTATCTTGGGCAGGGGCCTGTGGAAACAGTCAGGGCCCTTCAGCAAATGATGCAATGCTCAAGATACGGGTTCGCAGACGCATGTCATTCTCATTCCTCTTGCGGCGATGACGAGCGCTGCATTAAGGAATCTGCCCACAAATTCTTCTAGTACGCCACGCAGAACGGTTCGAATGACTTCTTTGGCCCAATGGTAGCACCCAGTCGTGAAGGGCAGCATATGCACGGTGGATACCGATTTTTGATGCGCTGTGGAGGCAGAAAACTGGCAAGCTACCAATGAAGATGCCTCGCGCAGTTGTAAGAGGCAGAACGGAACGCAACGCTTGGTGGATTGTGACGCAAAGGATTTTGTGTTCAGGAGCGGGGGCGATGGTCCTCTCATTTATTTATAGCATAACTGCAGGGAGCTGGCGCCGTCGCTGGTTCTGCACAAAGTGGATGAACGATATGTCTGCGATCTGCTGTTGCAAGACAGCCGCATTTTCTTCAGAAGGACCGCTGTCGTCGAAAGCGATGACTCTATCCTCTGGTGACAATGACTAGCGACAGTGTTCGATTACAGGATGAAGATACCTATGATGAAGATGACGATGTTTTACTTGAATAGGCAGCCTACTTTCATTCAACTGTTCAAGTCTACTTTTAGAATGAAGGGAACCCCGGAGTAATATATACTATCCTCAATCCTTCAGTGCCGAGGTCCAATTCCCTTATCATGCCCATACGGACTGCCAAGTATACCCAAACCATGGTAGAGTGAGGGGATATAGCCACTCCTCAGCTGATGAGGAAGTAGTAGCAAAGCAGTAGAGAGCGGAGGTAGGTAAAATTGCCGGATTGTATGATGTCTGCCTGAGGCAGACATATTCTGCATGTATATGCACCGTACAATTACAACATTGATAACCAGCTCGGAGCCCTCAATCTGCTGCTATCCAGCGAACGCCTTGACGTGAATTGTCCGGACCGCCACGGCAATTCTGCTTTCTGGCTGTCCGTGGAGCTGGGACGTGACGATATTACCGAGCGTTTTCTCAATGATGGCAGATTGAACGTGAATTTCAAGGGTGGTGATACCAGAGCACGATGGCGAACCACAGCTTTCTATATTGCTTTTTCGCGCAGGAATATCCGGATTGTTTCTAGCATACTTGCGGCGACACATGTGTTGAGAGTGGATCCCAACATCCAAGGAGATGGCCAAAAAGTCCTCTTGGAATTGCCGCATATCAAGGCGCCCACGAGTTGGTAAGATTGCTGCTCAGCGCCGATGGGACTAGGATCAATGCAGTCGACTAGAACGAAAATGACCCCCTGTGGCTTGCGCTTCAGACGCATTCCCTGTTGGTAGTGAATCTATTTTTGGACGACAGTCGACTTGACATTAATTGCCAGAATAACCGGCTTGGGGATATGTACCTCATTGCTGCAGCTCGTGAGAGCAATGTTTCTTTGGTGAAGAGGCTGCTTAGAACCGGGGAGCTGCATCTTGATGCAAAAAGCAAGAAGAACGAGAGTGCGTTGGAGGTCGCCTATCAACTGCACCACCGCCGCATCATCCAGATTTTGGTCGACGCAGGAGCGGCTAATCAATGAGTGATAAAGGGTACGTTTATCGTGGATTGAGCATGGGTTTCGAGGACATATTGCGTGTAATCACTGTGCTGAAGTTCTTGTCAAGATTGGACCGCAGTCGCGCTTTGCACATTTTCTTTCTGTCCGTCCCTATTTCTATCGGGAGATATATTTGGTGTATGCAGACGAGCCGAAACCTCACAACCTTGAACATGAAGACACATGCCGGCAATAATAGATCTATTCTTTACTGTACCACTACTACAGACATCATTTTGGGAAAATCATGTAGAATTGAATGAAATTCAAGAACGATCTTGGACTCAGTGATACTGTACTCTCTTTTTTGATAACAGCGATAGGACTGCAGGATGGCCTATAGTTCTCCCCTCGCGAGGCGTAGAACACAAGGTGGAAAGTAACACAGCTTAAAAAAATACGCAATTTCCAGTCTTTTCGAGCAACGCTGAAAGAACGCAAATTGATCAAACGGTGTGCAAAGGAACCACCGCAGTCACGTGCATGAAAGATCCGACACGAGGTGGACTTGTGAACGTGTCCAGCCTTACACGTGACACTCGCACACACGAGACACGACTACGATATCGAGCCAAATCCTTGTTAGCCCGTAATCCTTGTTGGCCCGCGAAACCACAATTCTTCATGTCTTCGTCAATTCGACTTTGTCGCGTCACTGCCCCCTCGAGGCAACGACGGGGCTTGCAGAGATCCTTGACTCCGAGTCGTTTACCTCATGATATAGACCGAAATGTTGCTCACTGCGGTAATATACTTCACCGCGGCCCACTATGGATGTTTGAGTGATCCCCTGAACCAAGCGCCCGATCCTGCATACCGTATCGCTCGCGCTGCAAATGATTTTCCATACAAGGCGTAGGCTCCGAGATAAGGGCAGGCATTAATTTCTGTGATTGCTACGGCAATGGCTTGTGCGTTGGCTAACACACTCCCCAGACCCGTGAAAACCTATCCCAGCAATGGCACGGTCGGTTTTAGGATCATCTTGACCGGTCCTGGGAGCTATTATGCTCCTGGAACGCCCACTCAAGATCCCAGGACCATGGCCGTGCTTTCGGGGATCAAGGTGAGCTATCCTTGGGATGGAAACTGGTTTCACGTGCCAGCTTCTGGCTCGAGCGATTTCGGTTGCAGAAACTGACATTTGGACCCTAAACGGTTAAAATTTTCAAAATTTGAATATGCTAGGCTATAATGTGCTTATAAGGGAAAGCAAATGCCGCGTTGTGAGACATCTGGTGATGAAATCTGCTGTCTGTTGAAATCTCTCGAACACATCCTAATCCGGCAAAAGTACACTCTCATGCTTTCCGAACTTCCAACAGAGCTCCTGCTCTGGATTTGCGGATCTCTACAAAAAAAGCACATCCTGACGCTACGCCTGGTCTGTGAACGATTTCGTTCGGTTTTCACCGAAGCGCTCTTCCGATGCCTCATGCGTGACAAAGTCCCACCACTCCATCGAGCCGTGACAGCTCAAAGACTGGACATTGCAGCGCTCTTCATTGAAAAATACCACGCGGATATCGATTGCCTGTACGCTGGCAAGCATGCGCTCCTTGTAGCGATTGACCTGCGATACCCACAGGCCGTGGATTTGATATTGCAATATCGGCCCAACGTTCGCTATTGCTGCGACTTTGGAGATCGAGGGCCCCTGTCACTTGCTGTGATCGGCGGAAATGCTGCTAGCGTTGAGCGGATTCTTCAGTCTCAGGAGATTGATGTCAACGATCGATGCTCAGACGGACTGTCAGCCCTAGCATACGCGCTGAAGCATCGCGAGTACTATCTGCTACAACTCTTACTTGCCGATTCTTGAGTGGATGTCAATATCGCAGACTCTCTTGGCTGGACGCCACTGCAGGCTACGGTTCTTGAAGGGGATCACATAGCAGCCCAGATGCTGGTACGACATGCAGGAATTGGTATCACCCACCAGAGCTCCCAGCATGATGCCCCTCTCCTTTTGGCTGGGAAAAGGCTCGATGGCCAGCAATCTGCCCAGATGGCCAACTCTCTTCTCTTACATTCGGAATTGGATGTGAATCAATCGGACTCCAAAGGGCAAACGGCTCTATGGCACGCTGTCAACCGTGGCTATTATGACCTTATGAAATCACTTCTACGCCAGAGCGATTTGAAATTGAACGATCCTGATCGATAACGCAATTGGCCTGAGCTGCCGAGAAGCCCGTTTTGCCAGTCCTTGAACTGTTATTGGAACAGCGGCAAATATGCATAAACTCCCAGGCTAGACAGGTTGTGCCTCCGCTTGGTCTGCATGCCGCGCAGGCAATTTTCCCGCAGCGAAGGCCCTCCTCCGTTTGAGGTCAATCAAAGTCAACCAAAAAAGCCCTACGGGAACCACCCCACTCCAACTAGCTGTTATCCTGAATCATCTGTCCATTGTCTCAGTTCTTCTCCGAGAAGGCATTTGCAACTTGGTTAATATTAATGCCACTGGTCCTCAACAGTGGACTGCCATTTTCTTTGCCGCATCCAACGGGTTTGTTTCAGTGACCAAATCGTTGCTGAAACATCCTGACATCGATTTGAATTTGATTGATGACCAAGGACGAACCCCACTCTGGTGGGCAGAACATGGACAGCATTCGAGAGTGGTTGATCTGCTGCACAGGCACAGTCGATCGAGCAGGCAGAAGCGTCATCTGGCACGTGGCGTGTCCAAATAAGATATGATCGTTGACATAGTGCCTACTGTGATACTCTTTGTATTGGCTTACGCGACCAATCTAAAGCGCTGTCTTATCTAGGTGAATAAAAAACCTCTTGTTCGATGGACATACAGTCAAGGTTTGAAAGCCTGGTGGCCTATTTTTATGTTGAAAATGACAAGTGCGCTAGATTGAATGACGGACTGTCGGATTTGATGACCAGTCGACCGCGAAGCCTTGGCCCTGTTTTGTTGCTAAGGTATCCAGGAAGACTGCCAAGGCAAAGCATCGCCATTCCCAACTCCATCATTCATCCTTGATAAGCGCTCGAGCAAGATTCTCCAGTCATACTCTTCTCCTTCCAACCCGCAAAATCCTCACGCCTGATCAGGAATCGCTAGTTGTGGCAGAAATAGAACGACGCAAACTGCCAGGTAAGTCTATAAAAGGAAGGACAGTGGCCGCCATGCTGACAAAACCTCTTATAGTCTTTTCTCCCAGAAATGCGTTTGCTGCACATAACTTCAACGTCACCCAAGAAGCTCCAGTGAAGAAGGAGGCGATTCACCAATCCGATTTTCTGCAATCCGAGACAGAAGACGTCGTTGACTGGGATTTCTGGCTCACCCCCGAAGTTCTCAGTGGAGAAGGCTCGCCATCTTTTGGATGAACGATTCACGACAACGTCGCAGACAAGATGGCTCTTGTCGCAAAACCTGTATCTTGATATTTTATACCCAATACCAGGGCTATCACGCTTTCAGCAGAATACTCCAGGAGTCTTGCCCCGATGTACGGCTGAGTGGACAGGGCTTTGAGGATTGCATTAACCGGTTATACTACCCGGACGCGTCGCAGACTATACGTGGAATCTAGAGACTCTCAATATTATGCTCAATCAAAAAAATCTTGGTCTTCAATCATACACTAACCTTATATACATGGAGTCAGTCTTTACACTTAGGGCTATTGGTGCCATTATGTAGAGTGATAGACATAGACCGACGTATCGCATATTACGTTTGTTAACGCTTGCTTCCTTCAGCTCCACTGAGATTCGCAGCCAAGTGTATGGATCATTTTCCAATCTCTTCCAACGCTCTGTAGTACATTAATCGCCCGAGGGACCGCAAGACAGCGGGAAGTCAGGCATTTCGTGGATCTCAATGCAACTACGAAGTTGACAATTGCTTTGGTAAAAATCAGCTCAAACTTTCTACCTTAACACTACTTTCTTTGAACCAAAATTGTAGGAAAATGTCAAAGTAAAGCAAGACGAGTACACTTCAATCAATTCTTGTAGGCCACAACACAAGCCCAGCCTGGGAGCTAGAAGGAAATATCAGAATGACCTGAATACAACGGATGCAGTAGAGATTGAACTGAATTGGTTGAAGGCAAATGTCACCGACTCCTGCCCCACTTGACTAGCAGTCCATCGGGACGGGCTTGGGCGACGTCGGTTTCATGCTCGAGGATGCAACAGTGCTAGATTCTAAAACCTTAGTAGATAAGATCGATGTAGGCGTTTCTGCGGCCGATTTCATCGAACTATCACTAAGGGCAGAGCAGGAAGCCCCCGCCGTGAACTCTTTGCCGATGGTACAGTTTGCTGTGTCTCCTCTGATGTTTTGAAACTTGAGAAGACCGCTCTTGTCTGCTGTGATCCAAGCAAGCTCTTGACCAGTTTGTCGGTGGGGGCCACAGACAGTCACATTGACTGAATCTGTCTCGGTGCGCTTGTTGTGCCCTATCGTGCTGAGATCTGGTGAGTGTCAGTGGAATTGCGCCATAGATGATCTGTATGTAGCTGTACTTACTGGAGCAAGAAGTACCATTCAATTCCCCAATAGCCTCCGAGGATCCTGTACAGCCTCGTGTGCTGTTCGAGTAGATATAACACAGACCACCCACATCTATGATCTCCAGGGTATTGCCGAAGACAAGCGGGCAAAGTATGAAGAGGAGCACAGAAAGACGCATGATGGAGACTGCGAACTTCGCACGTGTAGTCTGTGGAGGAGATTGATGACTTGGTGGTAGTAAGAGGCTTCAGCTGTTTATGTACTTATTGGGAAGTCCTGTGCTAGGTGAGATTCTTGAGGGCGTCAGAGATTCAGTCGGACATTTCGCAGCAAAAGACCTGGGCTGCTTGGAGGGGACGCTTTTTGGGATCCACAGAGCCATGATATTATTTTTTATGGTGAGAAATAGAATGCTTTGACGGAACAAAGTTTTGGTTCGGACTTTCAACCCGAGTATGGCCATTACGCACGCCATCCAAGGTACCGTCTGGAAAACGGTCTTGACTCGACATAAAATTGAGGTCAGAGTGCATAATTGTCTCAAAATCGAGGCAATACCAACTTGAAAACCGCCTTGATCGTCCGCAGGCGCAGAATGATAGTACTGTCTTTTTTCGAGTGTAGCTTGACCAAGCACGCAGGGAAGTCGTTCAGACCCACCCTCCGCTGGGAAGCAAACACGGCCTCTAGTTTTGAACAAAATGCACCAAAAATGATGGTATACTTAAAATTGTTTTATCATATCCAATTTATTGTGCACTATTTGAGATCTTGAAAGATACGAGCAACTGGCATTCCTCTTAAGGCTACATGCCTCATCTGATCATATCTGGGAATCAAACGTTCATTTGCACCGGCTCCACACCCATTTGTATACCAGGGTCCTCTCCTGTGATGCTTCGCATCATGTTCATACACCTCACCTTAGAAGTCCATTCTCCCAGTGGCGCACATACGATGTACATACTCCCAGATCCATGATGAAGATCGTGATTTCTTGGGACGGTATTTTTTAAGCGCTGGCGTCAAGCAATCTGAAAGAAAACTTAGCATATACATAGATCTAGCTTGAGAGGACCCATACCTGAAATCGAGACTCTTGTCAGCGTCGATTCGTTGCTACCAGCAGGATCAGACTCGGACGCAAGAATCGTCTCGAACCACAGATCGATATTGCTCCGGGTTGCCGCGTTGGCTGGGGCGTCTGAGTGTATGATTGTCTGTTCAACCGAGCGGCGGGCGGGCTCTCGTCGTCTACGGCGACCTTGACTTTTCGGAGATCGGGCAGTGGTGCGACTATTCTTCCGCAGAATATGGTATTTTTTGCCTCGTAAGGATTCAACGCTGCGGTCCACACCGAATTTTTCTCTGTATGCGTCCGGAAGGTCTTTCCATGGCAATGCACGATTTTCATCCAACCACTGCAGAAGATTATCTTCTTCTTGTCCCGACCAGCTCAAAATACTGCGTGGGGACATTGTGATTTTTAAATTGATGCTGATGGGATGGTTATAAATGGCTGTTGAAGGGACTTGGCTGACTTTTAAATGCTCACTAGGGTCAGTAGTAAGTATCTTTCACTGGGGAAGTCAGTCATACTTTTTCGAGCCAGAATCCGTTCCATGGATTAGTCCGATGAGCCATTCCAAGCATTTTGCAGCTGAGAAGCGCTCCGTATCACATACTTTCACCAATTCCTGATCTTCAGAAATCAGGTAATATCTTTTAATTTTGCGTCGCTCATAGGCAAAAATCACTATTACTGTTGAGCAATATTCCAATTGCATGACCTGGATGGAATCGAATGTGTTTAGAGCAATGTGTTCATGTTTGACTTGCATTTTATCGCATGTTGAGTTTCCATGTTGACTTTGCATGGTGCTTTTGGGTGTTGACCTTGCCTGGTGAGCGTGCCTGTTGACCTTACTTGTTGAGCGTGCCTGTTGAACTTGCCTGTTGAGCGTGCCTGTTGAACTTGCCTGTTGAGCGTGCCTGTTGAACTTGCCTGTTGAGCGTGCCTGTTGAGCGTGCCTGTTGAACTTGCCTGTTGAGCGTGCCTGTTGAACTTGCCTGTTGAGCGTGCCTGTTGAGCGTGCCTGTTGAACTTGCCTGTTGAGCGTGCCTGTTGACCTTGCCTGTTGACCTTGCCTGTTGACCTTGCCTGTTGACCTTGCCTGTTGACCTTGCCTGTTGACCTTGCCTGTTGACCTTGCCTGTTGACCTTGCCTGTTGACCTTGCCTGTTGACCTTGCCTGTTGACCTTGCATGTTGAATTTCTACATGGCGACATTGTCCGTTTACTCGAATGTTGACATTCTACATGATTACTATGTCTGTTCAGCTTAGACCTCACTCAAAAATTCAAAAGCCCATAATTCCAATTCTTCTTACATTCATGGCTCTACATAATCTGACGAAGCCAAAGTTCCAACAGAATTTTCAATGTTACGAGAGAAATCCACATCAATTGCTTACTCAGACCTTCCTGACAAACCTTATAAAAGCTGCCCGAATTTTACTTTTGACAAATTCACTGTTCTAACATTTCTCTGGCACAAAGATGGTTGGAATGAGAAAGCCTGCCCGCCCCAAACAACATGAGGACTTTCGGCGTCGATTGGAGCGCGCTTTATCGCTGTCACCTTCCGATTCGGACAGTGCAGAAGGTTCTTCACTATCGGCCGAAGGTGATACTACAGAGGTTGAATCTCTCGAGGAGAACGACTTCTCCAGTCTCCAACGTGGGACGAACCTGGTGGGTAGGATCCCGCAAGATACCACTGAAGACTGGATACAGAGAGAAGATATTGGAGGAGGGCAGGAAATTGGAGGAGAATCTGAAACCCCAGACAATCGTACCATGATCGCCTTCCAGTGTATCTCCGAGTAAGTGTCTGACTCTGCCGTGGAATCAATTTTAACCCCGCTGCTAATTATACGTCTATCAGACTAGACACCCGAGTGAAGTAAGTCGGATACCCTGCTGAGAAACGCCACCGCTGATACCATTTTAGGTCGATCCAGAGCTCGCTGAGCACTCTTGCAGATAAGACTGGAACCATTTGCAGTGATCTGGACGACATTGTCCAACAAATGGTAGCTGTGGAGGCAGCAATAGAGAACATAAATTTGGAAACCCAGAGCACTACGGAAGAGGATAATTGACTGGGTGAACAGGTCGTTGCCAATGAGCTTTCGGATCATGATGTGATTGACTTTTTGTTACCAAAGTAATGCTACATGATTCACGTGACCATTCAATTTCCACTACCTGCCCCAGCATCCAGCTGCATAGCCAGCCTGAGTAGATTATAAATTAGATTCGCTAAGCATGAAGAAATCTGGAGTAAAAACCGAAAACCGCCACCGGTCTGAAATCATATCTGACTTGGCTAATACGCGCACGGACCAATTTCCACGTGCCGTTTAAGCTTCAATGTGCCGGTGGGTCATTGCATTTCGACCCACTTACTTAAATTGCCGACTCGGAGAGTGACAAATTGGAAAGGGAGATTTGGAACCCTGCGCGGCCGGCCTGGCAAATGATTGTCCAGAACATTGACAAAAAATCTTCGACGTTACATTCAGGGCTCTGGGCAAATAATTCCAAATCATATGACCCGTGGCAAGCCTTTCATTTGGCTTTGCTAAAATTGGCTGGGTAGTCCACCATCTGGTATATCAGTAGCCAAAGCTTGCCGTGATTGGATAAAGCACCCGCGCGGGGTGGAATATGGACGGCGATCATGATCCACCGAGCGGACGGACCCAGGTGACGGGCTACCCCGCTTGGCGGTGAACAGTACTGCTTCTTAACACTCATCTATTCTATGTACTTTTTGGAAAGCTCTCCATTCAAGACAAGGTATGAATTCGTCTAATATTTAAACTTGATCGTATGCAGCTGTAGGCCGAAGACGGCGATGCGACCACGAGGTACTTGTGTGCGTCATGATTACTGACATCAAAATACAAATCCACTAAACTGGATTGGACCCACAAGAACCCGAAGATCATGACGCTTCACACAAACGAATCAAATACATTGTTTGCCCCAGGTTGTTGCAGATTGCTCAGCGGGGGATTACCCGATGCAGAGAACCCGGGAAGGGCATTGTGTCCCAATTTTCCTGGCGGGCCGTACTGCTCCGTCCAATTTCCGTGGATCACTCCGGAGCCGGGTAGATAGGATGCTAGTCTGCGGTTCTGGAGGGCGTCGATCGCGTTCCAGTATCGCGTGGTCGCGGAGACTAGTTTGCCATGTGTTTGATGCAATACCAGCTGAATTTCGTTCCATGGGACGTTATCCTGTGTCGAAGCATTCGGCGATTCCACCTGCTGCTGAAGTTGACGAATCTCGTTGTGAAGTCTTTCATTGTCAGCCAGAGCGGCTTCTTCTCGCGCAATAGCCTGTTGCAATTTCGAACTCGCTTCAGCTTCTGCGACTTGCATTCTCTGCAACAGCTGAGACTCGCAGGCCTTTTGATCGTTTTTCTCCGCAAGGGCCCAATTGAAGCTCCCGACCAATTTTGTCCATCTCATCAAGGCACTTGGCATGAATAGCTCTGAACTCCTTCTTCCGATCACTCTTTGACACGATATGCCCCTAAATAGTATGATCAGCTGGTGCGCATGGTATCGGCAGTACTGAGCATAGTAAAGGGTAATTCAAGAATTTAGGAATCGAAAATAGACCACCATCAACATACTGGGACTTTGGACGGCTGCGCCACTGAGTGCAGAGAATAGGAATCTGCACCAGACTGAGAGACCCCCGACTGAGTAGGGCTGGGAGAATTGACTCGGGACTTCGCACGCGTCACTCTCGACCTGCTTGTGATGTCTGGCTTCTTTGGGGTGGAGTTAGATTGCTTTGCCATGCTATCTTTTGACAAGCGAGTTTTAGCTGAAGGATGAAAAGCAGAGGATTCATTCTGGCAAAAGGTTCGGAAGGCATAGACTTTAATACTAGGGGGTCCGTTGGGAGATGACCTGCAACGAAGCACAAAAATATGTTACTCTGCCAAGGAACCCTATTGGTACCAATTTTCCGAGTTGGAAGTCACGAATGTGCATTCACACCGACAACCCAGAATCTGTAAGCGTGCTAGAAAATACCCACATGCCTCATGAAACTGGACATGATGCATTTTTTGATGTTCTGATATGGGTTCGCAGAAAAATCGCTGCTGCGTATGTCAACTTGGGATCTCAAAATGATCCCCAAAGGCAGTTTTGATACACACATGAAGGGATGACTTTCTGCGGCATACATACAGAGAGCCGTTGATTACCAAGCACCCGTTTAGTGCATATGTTTCTTTTTTGAGTATGGCTTATACCAGATAATCCACGTGGGTGAGATTGAAATCCAGGTCATTACCCCTTTTCTTGGTACGTACAGTACATGGCTTGAAGCCTAATATTTGTATGGCTCAAGAATACTGAGTGCGGCTAATCACATGGTAACACGACGGGGAAGTTTGGTTCTGAATGCCATTCGCCGTGGGACTTATCATGGTTCATCCATTGCAAAAATTTGCAACGCTCCTATCACACCCTGGCGCAAGACGCCAATCAGAAATAACCTAGTAAGACGTGACTCATGATCCGATCGAGACAGATATCGGTGGGACCTTGAGACTAGGAACACTGACTCACGGACCCGTGTCCCGTGTCGAAGAAATGACCAACCAAGGACCTCTGCATTGACATTCAATTCACTAATTACGATCCGATCGACTACCAGATGTGTAACTGAGTGTCTCTTCACAATTCATGCTTATTTAGATTGCTCTTCTGACACAAACGGCTCATGTGACTCGTGTTTTGGGAGCACAGAGCACAACGCTACTAATGTTGCTCCCAAATTGATGCCTTGAAGGTGATTCGCGATCCACTCTTTAACGGATGACTCCACATAGGGAAGATCCTCTCCACTTTTCCGTCACCAGGGTAACCGTCCTTTCGATCCAGTCGATGGAAAGATCTAGAAGCTATCTTTCCTGCATCGAACCTTCTTCCAGCCCCCTAGTTGCCCACTTGGTGGTTCATCATCTTGGCCTGAATTTATTACGGTCTAGAACCACAGCTCACTTAGGGTCGTTCATGTTGGGCAGGATGAAATGGGCTTACATGAATAGTTCGGGGACAATTCAAACTCTGATTCGCTTCCGACGTCAGGGTCTGCGTCGTAAGCCAGACATATGTGCCATACCCAGACTTATTCTAAATCCCGCAGGTGTGTCTTGTACGGGATACGGTTCTGCCTGCGCCTGTGAGTTTTCCAGCACCAGTAAATTGCTTTTGGATAGACGGTTGAAAGGGCACGAGTATATTACAGGACAGCTCTTCACGAATGTTTATTCCTATCGGGAAGCTTGAATTCGAACATACTAAGCCACAAAGGCTTTTTTTGGTGTCAATTTCAGATCAGCCATCCATGGACAATCGCGTCCTCCTCGCCTGAGGCTGTGCTGGCGACCGGTCGTTTCCATGGTCTGACGAGAGTATCATCCAACTTCTCAGACAGCCCCACTCAAAGTCTATGGAAGCTGAGAATCTTACTTTTCTTTCTCTAAAGTTTCATCGGGATCCGGACTTCCAGACGCACGAGAAAATGCCATTGTCTGGCTAACCTGGTAGAAAGACAAAAGGGATCGAGGCTAATTACGCCTTGTGTTCGTCCCAGCTTCTACGTTATCAATGAGTCTGCGACCCGGCCATCCATTGACCCAATAAGATCTGAAAGTTCGTCAGATCATTCCAAGCAGCCCCCAGCTACTATGCCGTGATCTCATTGCAAGAAAGTCACATGTTTGCCGCAGTAGGCTTTAAAATTTGTCTACTCACCACGTCCACCTCATAAGTTTCATATTCTTTTACGTTTGCGACAAGTCTTTGGTCACCATGGATACAATCATTACCAGCCTACCATCGGACGTCGGGGCTATTCTGATGAAGAACGTCTCAATTATTCAGGTCGTATCCATGTTTGCGATCGGCGCATACAATGCCTTCGAAACGGCAATTGTCACCTTTCATACATTCAAGCGCTACAGCGGCCTCTATTTCTGGAGCATGCAGGTCGCGTCTTGGGGCATTCTTGTGCATGCACTGCCTGCCATGGCTCGTTTTGTCTCTCAGGCATCTAATCTTTCTACGTCAATCCCTTTCATCATCGGGTGGTACGCCATGGTTACCGGTCAGGCCGTCGTACTCTATTCACGTCTGAACCTCGTTGTCTCCAACATGGAAAAGGTGCGATGGGTCTTGTGGATGATCATCGGGAACTTTTTCATTCTTCATGTCCCCATGACCGTCCTGTTCTTTGGCCTGAACCAAGGGGACGCACGCTTCGCTCGACCCGCCGCGATATACGATCGCATACAGGTCACCGGCTTCTGCGTGCAAGATTCCATCATCTGCGGCATTTACATCTACGAAGCAGTCCGAGCTCTCAAGCCGATGATCGAGATCCGAGGTCGCAATGGTCGGAATGCCATCATCCATCTGCTCTGGATCAATATTATTGTCGTGTTGTTGAATATCCTGCTCCTTCTCACGGAGTACAAACTGCATTACATTCAAGTGAGCTTCAAGACTGTTGTGTACAGCATCAAGCTGAAGTTGGAGTTCTCTGTGTTCAATCGACTACGGTCATTGACGAGCACGCAGCCCAGTCTATCTCAGCATGAGTCCGAAGAGCGGTGCAGATCAAGCAAGACGAGCCTCATGGACAAGATGTTCCCAAGGGTATCTGTGATACCGGACAGAAGTGTGAGATCCGAGGCATCCCAAAGAGAAACTCCGCGAGAGGCATGCGCGACATCGAATGAGAATAGCGTTTGCTCTGGAATCACCTCATTCACAGGAGTCTCTGCCAATACCACAACTACTTCCCCTGCGGGCTCATCAGGCAGCCTGCCCATGCTGGAACTGAGTCTGTCTGAATTCTCACCCAGATTGGAGGTATGAATCTTTGGCAAGGAATGAGCAATAGTTTTTTTGCGAGTTCACTGCCTGTGAGAGAGCGAGTTGGTGATACAGTACCATGCAAGATGTGAATTATCCAGTATGGCTAGGAGCCAACGCGAGCTCTTCTGTAGAAAGGACTTTGGTGTATGTTTTTAAGATGTTACAATTGGTGCAACATGCATGAGTTCGATAAAAAATATTCTAATAGCTATATTAAGCGGAGAAATCATGCTATTGCGATCCATTACGACCATAAAAGAACAAGAATGAGAACAAAAATATGCAGGTTAGAAGAAAATCCACCACCTACCTATGCAGAGTACGTCTCCTCGGCGGAATTCTCAATGTGATGAGAGGCCTTGATGAGAGAAGGGCTTTCTGTTATGTACGCGAGCCGACTGGAATGTAATCAATGAATTCACTCTTGAGTTTGAGTAACCACAGTATACGAGCACATGAAGCAATACATGGGGCTTTCAAAAGGTTGAGAGTGGCCTGGCAGACCATCGAGAAGAATCTCCATAGCCTTACTACAGATTTTGAGCGATTCTACCGCCAGTAGTACAGTATCCATCTACGCAACGCGACAACTCTCATCAGACATCACTACGGCTTTCCGATCGTTCCGTTTGGTCGCCATTCGATTCCACAGCAGATGCAATCGTTTAGAGAACGTCGGTGAAATTATGTTGCTTCGTTTTGAGATTGAGCTGCCAGGTCGATAGTTGCATTGGAGATGCAATGGCTAACTGCCAGTTCCTCACTCAACTGTTGACCGTGTCAAGTATTTCAACAATCTTTGGACTTGAGAGTACGCTTCCAGACGTCGTGAATTTCTGCAGAACGTGCGATGGTGAGAATCCTTCTGCCACTGTTGACGCCTAGGTGCAAGGGTCATTGTCTGTCCTTTTGCGATTTGGTTTCAACTATATATGATGCAGTTCTGCTGGAAAAGAAGATTCTTGCACTTCGTCACACCAGCAAGAACAGGACCCGACATGGAAAATATCACCCCTCCAATGCCGGGCATTGCGCCATCATCTCTCTCATCAGTCTCTTGGGGTTATTCTACTTCTCTGTTCTTTTTGCGCAGGTCCTCCTATTTCATCGCTTTATGCTCGGCAATCAAACTCTCCAAGCACTCTCTGTCATCGCCTTTTGCGCCAGCGTCATCTTATGGTGCTCGTTGATCTTGCTTGATCAAGTCCTGTCCATCTTTCAAAACGGCCAACGCACGGTGTGTCGAAGATCGGAATTTGAGCTTGGAACTGTATTAGCTGTGATTTGGACGAGCACTCTTCCAACAGTCCTTCATCTTTTTGAGACACAGCCTTCCATTCAACTGGGATATGCAGCCATCCTCACCATTGCATTTTTTGTCACTGTTGCGGAGCTCCTCACGTTCGACTCGAATATATCGGTAGTTCGGATCCGATTCCCATACCACTGCGTCTCGCTCGGTTTGCTGTGCTTGGCTCCAGCGCTTCAGGCTTTAGCCGAGAATCGACCAGCATTTCCATCTCTGGCAACCGAATTCATCCACATGGTCATGAAGAACTGTCTTGGGGCTGCAATCTATCTGGTCAGTCCGTTGGAACGACTCAGCTTTATGCCTCGATTGCAGCCCAGTCTTTATGTGATGCACCTGTGTCTTGTCTACAGCCTAGTCAGTTACTCGAGGGCTCTCATGCAGCTCATTTCTTGATCTTCGGGAATACGCGGGTAGTGATTGTGCATTCAAAAAGAGAGAGGAGGTGCTTGAGATTCGTTTCATGTGAGCAGGTATGCGCGAAGAAAAAAGACATTTTGTGAAGTACATTTTGAACTAGGGATGGGCTTTCCTGAAATGAAAATGGATTCAAGATTTTGTGCTAGGAATGACGAAGTTGATGCATTCAAATCTAGAGGTCTCACTTGTGAGCCTGAATCGCGGTCGGCGATTTTGTGCTCTCGTGTGCTTTTCTGATCTAAGTTGGAAAAGCAGTCAAGTTGGGCAACCTCATCTTCCAACAACTTGAGGAGCCAACGCAGTAAAGCATGTCAAATGTGTAAAGGACTCCATATCGGCAATCAAGTATAAATATCTTCCCCTATTTCTCTCAGAGGCTGTTTCTTTGTCTTCGCAGAATATCGCAATCTGACGAATACAACGCCGGCCCTGATCATGGCAGTCAGACAACTCAAAGAGCACATGATATTTGACTTTGACACCATCAAAGCTCAATCCCAACCGCCACTCACATATCCTCGCTCCGTCGCTTGCAAGAATGAGAAATCCAGCAGCGCTGAACCAAAAAGACCTGTTCACCACCACAGCCAGAAAACCGTGACAGGCCCCATAAAGAGCCTTTGTCTGCCACGTTTGCACAGTCTCGACGATATTAGGTCAGTTCTGATTGTTCGACACGAGTCCCCGTGGGACACGTATCAGCAAGCCATCTCATACGACATCGCCGGTGAGGTGGTGATTGCCTCTCGTCGCACCCGCCCATCTCGTGTGGTGGCCATTAGGAAATACAACAGGCAGGACGCTCGAAGCCTGATCGATAGATTCGGGCGTCTGGAACACGTCAATATCCTTCTGTTCTATGAATGTTACATTGATGGAGATTTAGCGTTCTTTCTAGTCGCCGACCTACCGCTGACTCTCGGGGATGTCGTTGCTTGCTCGGATTTGTATCCCACCGAGGCGGAATTGGGATCGATCATGTGCCAGGTGTGTTCTTCATGATCGTACCAAGAAATTGTGCTGACCTTTCAGATCCTCGAGGGTATGTGCTACCTAGCTGCCTTTCGCCTTGTTCATCAGTCTTTGGTCTGTTCCAACATACTACTTGGGCTTGACGGGATCATCAAAATTGGTCAGTCAAGACCCTTCCCGCGAAGAATCTAGCTTACGAGTCGCAGCTGGTCCGGAACATTGCGTGGATTGTGTAACAAGGCAGTCCGAAGCCGCATGTATCGCCGCCATACCGTCAATTACAATGCAGCTCATGCAAAAGTACGATAAAGAAGATGGGGCTATCGGTGTCGACGAGCTCGAACGCTGGCCAATTGCGTCCGCCGCAGTAAACTTTTTGTCCGCCTCTGGAGCGGCAGCATCGATGGCAGTTTTGAAAATGGTGAGTCGTTCTGCCCAAGCTCCGAACTTGCTAATGCCTGTCAGCATCCGTTGATCACAGCCAGGCGCCGCTCGGCTGCTGATCTCGTGTTACTTGCACGAGCTGCCTTACTTATGAGTCGAGTAAATTGCACATACCACCGTGGAAAGAACTCTTTTTAGTACAATCTGCGGGTCAAATCACATGAAATTACTTCCAAGAATTTCGCACTCCTATATTCGCTGTCTATCGTACATTCTGAATATCAAGCTCAATGCAAAGCAGAGGATTGGAAAAATACTTGTCAAAAACGCGCCCTTTTTCCAGGTATTCAATAAGATTCACATGGTGAATTTAAATTTTGTATTTTCCAATGTCTCTCCAAATGCGTTCCAAAGATTAGCCATCTTGATTCAAGTCCAACGGGGTTTTGGTCGTAAGAAATAGCCCGGCTTCAAAAGCATTTTGAAGTGTAAGATTCATGGTCGCTTCGTTGACTGCGCTTGCTCTTAATGACCGCAGAAGTCGCATATGATAAACCGGAAAAAGGACACGGTGATCACGAGAGAACCAAACGAAGCTTGCCCTACAGCCCCGTAATATATGATTCCGTAGTAAGGCAAGTGGTCGTGTCTGTCCAACAGCTCAAACCAAGATTGAGACCCATGGACGCAGCCCGCGATATATCCACCCACGGAGAGGCTAATAAGCCCTACCATAACCTGAAGGTATTCGAAGTAAAACCGATATTTGCAGTCCTGATGCAGCCACCTCGGGTGGATCGCAAGGACCGTACCGAAGATGGAGAGCGATGCTGAGACCAGGGCAACAATAACTGAGACAACAATAATTCTCTCCATCAGAATTTTAAATGCAAGGTCCAGTAGGGCATGATTGGTGTTGATGAGATCTGATTCTGCATTGTCCCGTAGGATAATTGCGAAGTGAGATATGGCCGAGTTGAGGCTCGCAAGGGCCAGCCACACGATTGCGGGGACCAGAATGGTAAGGCGGGTACGAATCATGGTGAATCTAGTATGAGAAGTCATATCGAGGACGTAATACGACTGGTAGTTGAGGGTAGCGCAGGTCTTCGGTATTGGAGCGAAATAATGTAGGAACGAAAAGTGACAGAACAGCCCCCAGGCGAAGTCTCACTTTAAGTAATCCTTCCTGAACCTGGTTCAGTCTGGCATTGAGCCGAGTAAATGGTCCTCAAATGATCTGCGGTCGTAGTGGCGGTGCGTACGAATGTTTCATTTCGAGTTGATTGGCTTACATACCAGTGAGAACACAGAGGGTCTGATTCAGTGAGCAGCTCCCAGGGTCATTACACTTGCTCCCAGGACCTTTTCTCATCCTTGTCGCCACTGGAGAAATTTAATTATTCTTGGAGTATTTCACTCCTAGTCATCTCAACACTCAACGATGTACCCACATGGTGAGCCATCGATGATTACATATCACCATGAGTGTCTCCGTGGTACATCCAAAGGTATAGGCACAAGTGCAGCATGTACTTTCATCCTTCACGCCAGCCTTTCATCTCGTCGCGTCCATGATGCCGTTGTGTGAGTCCCAGTCACGTTTCAGTCAGAAACAAATACTCGAGTAAGGCACCTTCTTCCTCCCCTCTGCAAAAGTCCTGGCGGTGCTGATCTTAAATCCCTGAAATCTAGTACCTTGTCATCCCAGATTCCCTCCATTCCAAAATCGCCCTTTATCTACTCAAAGACTGAAGAGCTTGTCTGGACGTGGGAACAGCTGAAGGTTTGCGGAAAGAGTATCAATGACATGCTGCAATGTGCTACCTTACCCAGCCACGCTGTGGTCAACAAGGCAGACAAAGAATGTGTCTTCATTTCAGTGGAATTCAGCGTGACAACAGTCCTTCCACTAGCCAAAATGTCCAGTCTGCAATCCTCGCACTATCACTTGGGCATCACTTGCGCGACGAATGGGAAAGATAGAAAACTCCTCATTCTCGGTGTTCCAGGAAAGCAAAAGATGTCAAGAGTCAGAGAAAAGGCGCTCCATCTTTGGAGGTCCATCTGTGAGACTCCTCCTCTGGCTCCATACAGCTGGTCCACGGAGTATTGGGTGTCGGATTCTGTCGTTATTGATGCCAGATCAATCGAGGGCACAGATTTGATGGACGAAGCAATACGGACAGGACGAAGCGCCGCCAAGGCATACGTCTGCATTGGCCTTCCAGCAATCACCTCCGGCCCCCTGTTCAATACCCTGGTGTCCACATGCAACGTGAAGGCAGCCTGCTTCAATCTTGCCATAGGGTATATCTGGATGGCTGCTGCTGTTGACCCAACGAGGCTTGAAGTTGAAGGTGAAGACGGTTCTGGATTTTTTAGCAATTTCTTTCTCTCGATGATCAATGATGAGACTCAAGGGTCAAGGTTGGTGGAGGCAAAGCTTCAGTTCTGGCTCGAAGGCAGTTCTCGGATGAGGGCTTCTGTTCTTGTCGAGCTATTGGAGATGAGAGACATCCGCATCACGTCAACTCACAGGCCCACCGCCCGCTCATGATGATGCCAGCCCGAAAGATCCAGCTATTTCAACTTTTGCGAAGACTCACTTCAAAGGATGGACCTTGTAGCTAGGAGTGTCTTGCCGTGGCCGAGGTTCGCCGACCAAGGTTTGCTTTGAGGTGCGTTGACTATTTCTAAATTTTTCTCATGTCATAGAAGATTGCCTTCTGCCATAGCATGCTTTTGCAGGCTTCGTTGATGCCTTAATCTGACACAAGTTTTCCAGCCACTACGCTGAACCAACTAGATCACCGAACTTTGCGGCTTATTGAAGACCGAGTGTCAATTATCAGATAAAAAGAGCTTCAACAACAAATATCATTCTCGTTTTTGTTGATCCACGATGTGCGCAATTGGGCATTGTTGATCCAGACATGCCTCGCGGTGCTCAATTGCGAAGTTCACCACTCTACTCACCATTTGGTTCCACGATGACCCAAGTGCCTTATAAATAGTGGAATTCCCACTTGGAAGAATAAATGATTTAACCGTTCGCGCTACTTCAAATCAAGTCGTCTTCTCATGGATCGAGAGAGCTGTATCAACGATGAAGCAAGCAAACAACTTCATAGCGAGCTGCAACAAGGCTCGGATAGTCCCTGCGTCGCAGATCAGCAGTCGCAGCAGACCGTTTCCTTCGGAATCTCCCCGTCTTACGTGAAAGACTGGGATACTACCGACGCCTTCCGCGAGCTATACCAAAACTGGTACGTGTCGAACTACCCGGTGGGAAATTTGCTGACACCGAGTAGGAAAGATGCCATTCTGGAAAGATTCCAGCTCGACCGACGAGACTTCAAGCTACACTTCGAAGACGGCTAAGATCACTTCTCCATCATAGGTTCTTCGGCCTCAGGCGATCACGCCGATCCCCAAGCTCGAGGATTAATCCAATACGAGAAAAAGACCGGCCGAGTCATCCTCACCAATGCATCCACGCAACTGCCCGTTGAGTCTCTCATCATGGGACACACGACCAAAGCTGGAGACCAGAGGCTGAGTGGCTCGCATGGAGAGGGCCTCAAACTGGCTGCCTTGGTCATGAATCGACACCAATACAAGATGAGCATCGCCGCAAGCCACTGCAATTGGAATTTCGGGTTGCATGGGCCGCAGCTGTCCCTTCGCTGCGTCATCACGACTGCCTGCAAGCCGATTCTCATCGAACAGAGAGACACAGTGGACGATATGGCTGACTTGCACTCTCGCATCGAACGAGATGTCGCAGTGGTCATTGGGGCCGGTCGCGGCCATCAAAGTCGACCGGTGTCACCCAAGACCTTCCTGCGATGGCTTCGGGTCACTCTCGACATCCACCAACTGACCTCACCCTCATCTATGATTCCGACGCCCCAGGGAGATTTACTTCTAGATGCGAAGTTTTCTGGCAAGCTATTCCTGCATGGAGTACGACTCTCCATGCCTACCGTGGGCGGCAAGGTCTTCAAGTTTGGCTACAACTTCGCCTTCGGAAAATTTAGCCGGGACCGACAGCGAATGATCAGTTGCTTCGAGTTAGCTGACTTGGTGCGGCGAATATGGGAGCATGCACTATCTCTGCATGAGGGGCTTCTCCTCCCCTCCTATATCGACCTTCTCCGCAACTATGCGCACCTTGGCGATGTTGACAAAGCGGAGATACTTCTGGAGCCATCAACCAAGACCCGCATTTGGGAGCACCTCGTGCATGCTTCAAGGGATAAGCTTTTCTTTTACAGTGCAGAAACAAATTCGCAGGTCAGTACAATTCAATTCGAGGGGTGTCACATACTAATTCGAGACAGACCGTGGACGCGATCCGAAAATGCACCGGCAGAAAGCCGACCACACTTCCGAAGAGTTTCTGGCAGCTCCTTCGCTCCGCGTCACCAATCCGGACGATCGAGGAGGAGCAACAGCAACTTTGCAAGAATGCGAAGCTCCGTGCCTTGCCCGGTAACGCCTTTGCGAAGACAATCGATCGGGCTTTCAGGGCCTGCTTGGCACTCTTGAATGTCCCAAGCAAAATGAAAGTCGTATATGTCGACGACTTGGCCGGGAGGCTCGATGTCCTCTACCACGCTGCCGAGTGTGAGACACCGCCCGAGCGACTCACTCTGTTTGTCAACGCGTCCTCAATCCGCATTATGTAACGGTCTGCTTATCAAGGCGTTGACACAGTCACCACCCACAGATTGTTTTCAGAGCTGGTCATTGTTTTTCAGAGCTGGTCATTGTTTTTCGAAGCTGGCCATGTTTAGAAAGCCGGTCAACTGTCTACGCACGCTCAGTCAATTGTTTACGAATGACCATTCAACTGTTTATCAGAGCAGGCTCACCTGTTTAGAAAGCCGTCAACTTTTAAGAATGCCGGTTGACTGTTTACGCACGCTCAATCAACTGTTTACAAATGCTCATTCAACTGTAGATGAAAACAGCCTCAACTGTTTACCAGAGCAGGGTCAACTGTTTACGCACGCTCAGTCAACTGTTTACAAATGCTCATTCAACTTGTTACGAGTAGTCATTACTGTTTACCAGAGCACGCTCAACTGTTTACCAACACTGGGTCAACTGTTTATAAAATCAAGCTCAACTGTTCATCAGAGCAGGATCAACTGTTTAGAAAGCCGGTCAACTGTTTATCAGAGCAGGCTCAACTATTTACGCATGCTCATTCAACTGTTTATGAAAACGTGCTCCATTGTTTATCAAAGCAGGCTCCAATATTCACCACTGGGTCAACCGTTTACGCAGGCTCATTCAACGGTTCAAGACGCTCAGTCAACTATCGTGATTACACACTGGTTGCCACCGGACTATGGATCACCGCATCTACCCGTCACCACCAAAGCCAACCTCAACAGTCAACATGGGTTTCCTGACCTTTGAAACAGACATGAACAATGCTTTCTTGCCCAAGTGTGATGGCCTTTGATCTAGCGACCAGCCTGGACGTGTGTGTATACATCCTCTAGGTGTGTAGACATCTCGTGAGACCAGATTCTGGATATGATACTACAATGCACGGCGAATTCGGTAACAGCAAAATGCTGGGTTTATCCATTCTCTATATAACGCTATCTTGGAGTGAAAATAGGCTCTGAATGCGCTCTCCTGGCCTTACTGCCAGTCTCTTCGCCTATGGCCCGAGCCTACAAAAGTGAACTATCGATGTTGGAGCAGGTCTTGGCTTCTTCAACTGCAGAGCGAAAGTTGAATACTGGTCCCTAGCACCACGTAGAGGTGCCTGCAATTCGCTAGAGTTCCTTGGTGTCGCAGCTTCCCCCTGCGGAGAACTTGGTGATGCAGCGGTCTCCTGCAGAGAACTTGTTATCGCAGCGGTCTCCTGCGAGGAACAGTTGATAACGCAGAGCCCGTCCTGCGGGGAACAGTTGATAACGCAGAGCCCGTCCTGCGGGGAACAGTTGGTATCGCAGAGCCCGTCCTGCGGGGAACAGTTGATGTCGCAGAGCCCGTCCTGCGGGGATCAGTTGATGTCGCAGAGCCCGTCCTGCGGGGAACAGTTGGTATCGCAGAGCCCGTCCTGCGAAGCATGTTTGGTGACGCAGAGCTTGTACTGCGGACCCGTGGCCACGAAAACCCTCAAGCCTGCAGACAAGAGATGGAAACAATGACACACGGGAGTGTGAGGAGGAAAGTCCTGATTTTTTTTTTGGGCCGGAAATCTCGCGCCTTTTATGTCAAGTCGCCTACGTCTCTTCACAGAAACCCCCTGTGCAAATTCATACGAATGGCCACTGATTTGGGAGGGCATTGGAAAAGTGACTTGAAAATCTTTGGTCAGAAGACGTACGTTCCATAGATCCGTGGTTGGCCTCATGTTGCCAGGGGGACCAGCTCTTGGTTCCGCCAAACCGATCATCCAGACTCTCCATTTCTTGCGGTGGGTTACATTGGCGACTGGGTACCAGAATTGATGAAGTGGAATCCATGGGTATGATTGCTATGGCAATGAAATTGCGTTGCGCTGCAAGTTGCGACAGATGTATTACACTACAGCATTCAAAGAGAGCTGAACGCATTCGACATGCACATCAATTATGAGTACTACTGCAATCATTGTCGTGCATTGATGTAAAAAGCTTCCGCAACGCGCCTTATTCTTGTTCACATCCGTCTGAGAACCCAATGGGTACTGTAATATCAAGCAAGATGCTTGAAAAGAGTGGACCTTGGGACCAGGGTTGAATGAGAGCGGGCGCCGCTCCGCAAGAACGATCTGTGTGCGACATGCTTGCTGCGATGCGTCGCAAAAGAGCGTCAAGATTCTTGATGGCAATGATTTGGCCAGCTGACTTGATGAGAGAAGACCTTAGAAATTTCAGGCATCCCCCCTAGGCAGGAGCAGTGCGGGTATCTAGCGTTGCGTATGCTTCTCAAGCTAAAATAGGTAGCGGAAGCAAACACCTTCGGGGCTATGGGGATAATCTTTGCGACCGACTGTGAGCTGGCAATACGGAATTATCAGATGATGGCTATGTCGAGGGGGAAGGAGCGGGCGAACGCATTAATGATACTCATCCGGATCCAAACATTGTAAGGAGATCTGACGTCTCAGTCGGTTCTTAATCGATACTCTCCCACGTATTACTGTGTAGCACTGCTCTCTGTCGCTCACTACATGCTGCCTCATATTAACTCACGGTTTTCATGGTATCTTGGTCATTGCCCAATTGGTCTCCGGTGTGGAACGGAGCCGTTCTTGGACCAGCTGGTTTCGATCGACGCAACCCACGTGCCAAATAAGGTTTAAGGTGCCGGCCGATCATTTCGATCTCGCCGTCCCACTCTCCACCCCTCATCTAAGTTATGCACCCTACTCAGGACGATTGCCTTGGCCATCGGCAAATTCTCGATCATGAGGTCAATCAATGATTACGAACATAGTAAAATACTCTCTTGCTCATCTCTCTGCAATCGACGCGCGTGGCAGGGTAAAACCTGAGGTTCACGAGTATCTTTGCAAGACTTCCGATTGGCTGGCTCGGCCACTCAATCTTTCTGACCGACCAGGCTACGGGCCCTACTCTACCTGTTTTGAGCAATCTTGATTGGCTGGTCTACTGAGGAATCAAGGGGCCTGGCTTGTTGCGGAGAGCCTATTGTGACTCAAAAGCATCCCACCGTGCCTGGCAAATCAGCTGCCAGCCTGTACCCTAGAAAGGCGTGGATCACTTTCTAGAATTCCCATGTGGCGCAAGACCCACTGTCGATGTAACATCCTGGACCACGAGCCACGGAACTTCATCCTTGACCGGACTTACAAGTTAGCTCTAGAACCTTGTCTCTCTCTAAAATTGATATTAATTGCGAGCTCGTGTACATATGCTGCTCATAACGAGTTCTCTGAATGCGCATAGATTAGACACCTGGTAGTTGGGAATAAAGTTACATATCAAGAACAATCTTCCGGTGGCTAATGCGTAATGGCCTGCCTGACCTAAAGCTCTATCTCATAATTGCCCTTCGCATATCCTTGGAGTAGGTATGTAACCTATACCGTAGCTGGCTGGCTTGAGTGGATCGAATTTTGACGGTCGGGAATTGGCTTCTGGCTCCTACCGGGGCCAGTGAAGTGGTCCCATCGCTGCCCCGTGTTTGGGATCCGATCGAAAAAAGCCGAGTGACTGGATCAGTTCGGTATTGAAAGTCTTCACGGCATGTGAAAGGACAGATGGATCCCTTGATCTCGCTGATTTACCCTGACTTTGGATCGCGAGAGCAGACAATTGTGAATCTTGACGTTGTTGGGCTGATCGCAGGCATGGAGCTTCGCAGCCAACATGAGGGGCGACTCCCCTAGAAGATCGGGACAATCGACATCAACCAGCTCCTCTCTCGCAAGGCTCGCAACGGCGCGAAGGTCTCCGTAGATCACAGCCAGATGCAGGATTGTTTGGCCGCGGGGATCCTTCCTATTGATCTTGGCCCGAGAATCTCGCAATAGCATTTCCAAAATTTCACGCTGTCGGTATTCTAGAGCCACCAGGAGGGGTTGCTGGACTTTCGGATCTTCGCTGTAGAACTCAACATCTCCCCGGCGGAGCAGCTGCTGGACGATCGAGACACTGCCTTGTGTGATGGCCATCGACAGAGCAGTCTGACCATAATAATTGCTTAAAGACGGACGAAGATCATCACACTCCAACAGGAGATCGACAGCCTTGTGATCCTTCGCTTGGACGGCAAGCATTAAGGGCGTGTGTCTTCCATGAATATTGTTGATATCCGCAGTGCACCTGCAGAGGTACTTTTGGAGCGAGTCAGGTTTTAGGAATCGTTGCCTTTCTTGACGCAGTGCCGGGCCATGGTAGGATGAAGCGGGTGGCATGGCAGTAAGGTTGGACGAATTGTATGAAAATGAGCCTTGAGCATATAATGCATTCATCCGATGAACGTAATATGGAGACCTGGGGGTTGGTCTATATATGCTTGCAAGACCATCAGCCAGATTAGTAGAGAATAGTTCATGGATTCATACCCAGGTGACTGCATTCTTGAGTAAGTATGCCGCATTGGCAAGTGCAGACCGTGAACGTTGCTTTCAAGCATTCGTTTTGGGTACAGCATGCGTGAAATTCCATTGATACTACTTGACAAGATGATGATGATGATCAAATCAGGTAGCTAAGATCGTGGCATGTCTTGGGTCAAAAAAGGTAAGATCGTTGGAAAAGGCATCAATCTGCTCCCAGGATCCATCTCTGCGCTCCGGGTACCATTTACAACATAATCTGGGATGTAAGGCTAGGATCTCAGAAGCCAGGTGCTATATTCCGCGAGCCATCCCATGGCAAGAAGAATGGTGAGAAGAAAGATGAGATGAATGCAAGGCCTGCAGTTAAAATACTGGCCCTCCATCTTCTTGGAAAGCATCCTCAAAAAAAGGTTCGATGGCGTTGATTTTTCCCTGGTGAGAACTAGCCTCAAGATGTGACTTCTCTGGTGCGTACTCATTCAACTAACTGGCACTGGAATGATCTTGCGAATATGAGTTATAGTAGCGGAGAGGAAATATGATGAGCAGTGTAAAGAAGTTAGATGATAGAATAGTTACCACAAGACCTAGTCGCACGACATATAAAAGACCATAGATGCACCATCCAATCGACTTTAATCAAACATTAGTCTGATCATCGTCTCAAGCTCTAAAACTCTCCACACGCGAAATCGCGTCCGATTTTTTCACGATCACAATGGCAGTACCCCGAGGATCCAAGAAAGCCATTGACGAAGAATTTGAACGTCTTATGGCAATTCAAGAAATTGAACTCGATCCTGAAGCCCTAATATTTCTTGAAAAGGCCTCGGCCTCTCTGGGATCCAAGAATATACTGTCTCTTAGAGGGCCTATGGACAGATCGCTGCTTCACTACGCGGCCATGGGTGATTGCGTCGAGCTTATGCGATATCTGCTGCTCAATCATGCAGCAGTGGACGAGCGAGACCGGAACAAGCGAACTCCTCTCTCGTGGGCTGCAGAGTCTGCTTCATTAAATGCCACGAAGCTGCTGTTGCTCAATGGCGCAAAAGTCAACTCGCTTGATGACATGTACACGCCTCCATTGACCTGGCTGGTATACGCAGGGCCACCCAGTGATCAGCATGCGCCTACAAAGGCTTTCTTGATCAGCAAGGGAGCAAGAGACAAGGGCGCTAAGCGACGATGGTTTTTGAAAAAATTGCACCTGCTCTAATGCAATGAAAGGCATTCTACTCCCGAGTAGGAGGTGACGTGAGCGATAGGTATGGAGGCTTGACCCTGTAACTTGTCCGATGAACTGCATGTGAGATTGATGCATGCCAAAGATAATTTTTGGCTTTGAATTCAATTCACGGCAAAGAATTTAACGGCATGGCATGTCTTTTTCTTTATCAATCACATTCAAGTTCGGCATCGCACTCAATTTGGAAATGTGGGGAAGATCTAGGAGATGACCTCGAAGCTATAATTTCTTCCTCTTCAACGTCAGCCAATGTCAATAGTGTTTAATGATCAGTCAAGTCCATCTTGACTAGCTTAGTCTGAAGCAATGCTGTACTGTATCAGGACCACTTGATCGTATCCGTTTCACGCAGCCCTATAGGATGTAGCTGCACCTGAAGAGGTGTCACTGACTCTTCATGCAACGTATCTTCCTATCTTCCCACATTTGACCATGGGCCACATCATCACTGGTTCACTTTACCCCTTCAGGCTGAGTTTCAACACGGGAATAAAAATTCCCGGGTTTTCAACAGTAGGCCTCTATATCATAGCGTTGCTGAGCAAGGTTGTGGAGTTCGCTCAAGAGGCCCTCATTTGATGATTCAGGGCGATACGGAAGTAGATGAACATGCCTCTCAAAGCTTTTGATCAGTTACAATATGTACCTAGTAGAGATGGACACTAAAAATCTCATTAATGCATGCGTCGGCACATGTAAGCCTCTTCAGAATATTGAAACAAACTCTGACATTATCTATGACCATCGGATCTGTGCATGACCTAGTCATCTGGGTGGTATTGGGGTCGTCTGTGAAACGAAGATGTCCCTTTAGCCAGGCTGCAAACCCCATCTTCAAACTTAATATGCGATATCTTCACTTGCCGAAGGACAATGTGAAGATGAAAAGTGAAGGTACATTCATAAGTTTGATGGACACAATACTGCCTAGTTACTGACGACGATGGTGGACAGTCACGGCAATCCTCTCAGGTAAGCTGAGCTAGCCAGCATCTATTCAGCACTCTGGCACCCTCGAGTCCCTACCGGACGATGTAAAATCTCGCGTAATGTTTTGTGATATTCAGGAGTACCGCTAGACAGTGAGTCACAACGATCCCTTCTTTCCGCTGGATCAGCGCGAGATAGCACTATCACCTCCTGCGTAACGGTTGTGGGCCGGGGATTCATGCTCAAGAAATCCAAATTACTTGATGAACAGCGATCTTGCATTCGGTCAAGTGGAAACACCAGAGGATCGGACTGCATTGCTGCGCGAAGATGATAGAGCAGCGTGAATTCCAGTTTCAACTTGATACTGTATATCACAGTTTGCAAACTGACTTGAAAGAAATGCAGCTTGTACTCCGTTAGGTGAACCAGGATGTTGAGGGCAAAGACGAGACCGCTGACGCAGAGCAGATGAAGGGTGGCATGACGGCTTCCACGACCGCAAGTTCCGGCAATACTCATGAGATTGTGCGTCACCTCATAGAAGTAGATGCAACAGATGACGCTTTCTTGTAAACAGAAGCCGATCAATTGGATTCGATTGTAGGTTGCAGCAGGTTGAGTGAAGCGTGCGTCACCGCCAATGTGACTGAAGAAGAGAATAGTCATGGGGACATGTAGGATGCAAACATTTGCAACAATCATCCAGAGCACCCATCGCACCTTGCTGGTGTCGAGTACCACCAGGCGCAAGCGCGAGTAGAGTACAACTGCTTGGCCAGTGACCATAGCGTACCACCCAATGATGAAGAGAATGATCATCGGCAGTCTGGTGTTTGAGATGCGGAGCAAATAATGGCAGGAAGAGCATGTACAAGGGTGCCCCACGATGCGGCTTGCATGCTCCAAAAGTATAGAGCGCGGTGTTTTCGGACAACATCGAACGTGATGAACACCGTTTCCAAGGCATTGTATGCGGCGATTGAGAGCACAGATATGACCATGATGATTGAGATATTTTCTTTGAGGACGACCCCTACCTTTGAGGACGCATTGGCCATGAAGTTATCCATGGTCTGGTCGGTCTCCACCGGGGCATAATATAATGGAGCTATAGAATGAAGTGGCGATGCCCTGGGTTCATAAGTCAATCAAGAAGCCAGGACAAGAAGGCATTTGTAGAGCGTCCTAGCTGAGTAATGGGCGGGCTTTAAAGAAATTGGCGCCGGGATGAGGACCAACAGCTCCAGGATATGGCTCGAGAGCCCTAGGAGCAAACTAGCTCCCAGATCCAGTGGCTGCATTCCCAGTTTCGCTTCAGTCATCCGCAGGATCACTGTTTAAGATCCCAGGGCCGATTCCCTCGTATTCCTCTTGGCCAAAACTTTGCACGTGAGACCAGAGTGCCCGCCCCAGGAACACTACACGTAGATCCCCGTTAGGGAAAGCCTGGTCCCAGGATCGTTTGTGCGCGTTTTAGGAGTGCTGCAGCTCCCAGAACCGTTGAAGATGATCCTGAAGCCGACCGTGCTGAAGATAGGACTGGTCTTCAGGGGCTTAGGACCAAAAGTTTGCCGTCGCACACACCATATGACCGCAGGAATCACTTCCAAGGTTATCCACCCTCATCACTCGGGTGACGCCTTTTTTTTCACAATCATTTGTAAAGCGAGCGATGGGCCATGCGGAGACTGTGCATTTGATTGAGGGGATCTTTTTTACATCCGCGGTGAGCGATGGTGAAAGTAGTCTCGCCGCAAGCAGCATTTGGAGCGATCTTTTGAGATGATGGCGTGTAGTCTTCGGCTTTACGAGCGCCAGTACTGTAGTGCAATGAGGAGAGAGGGGAGGGCAAGAATGCTGCGTGGGCGGGCGAGTGTACTGTAATGGGCCAGGGAGGCAAAATGGTCGAATTTATCAGAGGTCCCAGGTGATTGGAGACCCTACCAGCCAACAGAATGCCGGTAGTCTGTGTGACGAGTGTCGCGGAGAGAGAGACTCACATCGCTCGCCCGAAATGTTCGCGGCGGATCGGCAACGCGCCTACTCACGACACACGTGATTTAGTCGGTCTCTCTGCAGACTATGAGACCGAGTTGGGTTGCTTTCAATCAAGATGACTTGCATTGCTTTGGTCATAAATTTATGGTATTTGAGCTACTAGTCTGAGGTAGTGTCTGATTCTACAAGCGTTAGTATCCGATTCTGGCTCTCGGACTTGACTTGAAGGTGTTGGCAAGAATGCAACCAAAATAAAAATTTAATTATGATACTCAGAATCCATATTGTGGACTATCGTGTACTAACCACAGATACCGAGATAAGCGCTCGATTGCCTGACTGCGCAACGACTTTGAAAATAAACAGATTATCCGCTTGGGTTTCCCTAGTGCGTTTAGACATACATCCCACCTGTCGGCCTTTCTCTGCCAAACTCCTTTGAAAATTTCTGATTCGATTCCGCGGCCAACTCCAAGTATTTGTAGCTCACGTGGCTGGCGTTCGCCTCAGCCAGAGCATGTGCAATTGCTGCGATGTTTTTAATCTAGTGCACGTCAGTTGGCAAGTGGCAGTTCACAGAAGCATTTTGGAACCCACTTCTCGTCCATTCAATTCTAAAGCCTCCAAACGTCGGAGATCACGCTCCTCGATCACGGCAGATCCTTGAATTGTTCGTGCCTTGGCCAGAAAAGTGGACCAAAGACCCCTTCGAAATTCCTTGCTCAAGCCTTCGTACTTGGTGATCAAATGGATCCGACTGAGGATTGCATCATCAAATTGAATTCCCCGATTCGAAGTCAAGAAAAGGATTCCTTGGTAATATTCCAACTTTCGCAGAAAAACGGTCACCAGGCGATTATGAGCATCGTGGTACGACGTTCGCTGCTCCATGAACGCATCTGCCTCATCCAAGAGGAGCACGGCTTTGAAGTGATTGGCAATCTTGAAGATAGTTTCAAGTTGTTGCTCAAGCGCATTGGAATCCCCGTGGTCGACAACGAGCTCGCCTGCGGATATCTGAGGAAGTCAGCGAGGTCACAATCAGTGCCATAATTGGCTCGTACCGAGTAAAGAGGCAGCTTGAAATATTCCGAGGTTGCTTCAACCGTGAATGTCTTTCCCACGCCGGGTGGGCCACTAGGATATGTTAGGGCGGACGAGCCAATATAGTGCATAAACAAGTTGCTGACATACTCCAGAAGGATGTTGAGTCCTTGACCTTTTCCGTCAATTACGTCGTCAAAGGGTACTGTCGGTATCAGACCCAAGCGGGTCTTTGCCATGGATAGAAGGAGTGTCTTGTTCTCTGGCGGAATTTGCAGGCAATCAAATGATTCAGGTGACCAGTTCACGTCTCTAAGAGCACTGACTGCGCACTCCACTGGAATCAATTAGCCAGTCCTCAAATCATTAAGCAACCTTTCAACATACAGAACATTTTCTCCTTGAAACTGAAACAACAAACTGTTGGACAGGCGATTAACAAATCGGCCTCGCTCAGCTTTTGTGCATCCACACCGTCCCCTCGCATTTTCTCCTTTTCTCGCTCACGGTCTTCCATGAACATTGCACCTAAGTCAAAGACGGTAATGCCGTCTTTTTCTTTCACCCCTATGTCGCGAAGAGACGGTCGGGAGTAGTTCGGCTGCATTTCATGGAAAAATGCGGCGTCCACTGCAACTCGACTGTCGATCTTGATTTTGATAGCTTTTCCCTTGTTCATAAAGAACGCGCTGCCTTTACAGTGCTGGATGTGCGAGCCAGCAAAATCTCGAAACTTTTGACCTCTCGCGATTAGGTCTTTCTGGACTTGCTCGGAACTCGGATGGTGGTGGAGAGGGTAAGCCTCAAGAGTCTCGATTGGCTTTGACCCTCGGAACTTTGGCACGCGCAGAAAGATTCCGGCCTCGCCGAATCTGCCGCCGTCATAGTCAATGAATCGGCATTCGAGATTGAACCACGTCTCATCATTTCGTGTTATCTCTTCCCCTGCGTCGAATATGACACATCGTGGCTCGTTTGTGCCAATGCATGTGGTATAAATATGGCAACCAGGCTTGAAAAGTACCCAGAGAAGGTCATACGTAATATGACCGTGCTGCAACATTGACTCAAGACGCTGCGAGATAGGAGCATATGCGTGCCTGAGGTGATAGATGAGCAGGTGAAGATGCTGCGCATGTGCCGATTGATGATCCAAATTGTTTTCTGTGTTCTCCGAAGATCTTTCGAGATCCGGGAGGAAATGGAAAAGGACGTTTTGCTCGATCTAAAATCAGGTCAGCGATCTTCTTGAAGGTAATACTATGTCTATATTACCGATGGCTTGTCCTCCATCAGGCTAATAGCTTTGATGTCGTGCAGCACCTCACGAAGTACGTCGCGCAGGCCTTCCGATTTGATGTCTATGTACGGCGTCACCTCCTCGGAAGTTCGGTCTGGTAATACTATTAGTACGGCTTCCATCATTTAGTAACGGCATTACATACCCACACGCTCACGGACAACGAATGCATATTTAGCATAGTCGTCCAGGCCACCGCTACTCTTATCCGGCTCGGCGATTTTGTATTTGCATGCTTCTTTGTCCCAACTGAAACCTTATCAGTCAATTTGTAAAAATGGAATGAGAAGGAGAATTGGGGGCTCATACGTTTCCATGACCATTTTGAATTCGGGTGTTGCGGTCCATTTTTCGAACGATTTGAAATCATCCGGGGTAGTACAGATCGGACTGTTGAGATCAAATACATCTGGTCTAGAAACGTTCTTTTGCTGCTCATTGCTTTCAGGAAAAGACTGAGTAGGCTTGGTCACCAATGAAGATTCTGCCGAATGACCTTCGGTGTGGCTGACCTTGGCCATCAACTGCTTCAGTCGAACTATGTCGAGACCTTGTGGGGACTGGTCCTGAGAGACAGGAGTGCTTGGAGGCTCTTGGTCCGTAAGATCGGGCAGCGCGTTCTCAAGAAACACACTCAAGAGATGCATCAGATCCTTAACGGTGGCATGAGGCATTTTTTACTCCTTCGTTGGACTATCAGGTGGCGTCGAGTTTTGGTGGCAGGAGGAAGTCTTCAGCACCGTTTGTGCAATTTGAACGACTGAGGAATATCGGCACTATATGGGAAGCTGGTACAGTATGAACTGACTAAGAGACAAGAATGCCAGTGATGAATTGAGAGGTCAGCAAAATCTTGAGTAACTGCTCCTTCTTATATATTTATTACTCTGGACTTGAATTTATCTTGATACAAAGATCGCTTTACTTATCAAGATGTTGCTTCCCTTTACGTATTCAGCATTTAGCTGCATACAGTGCACCGCATGGTGCATGCATGGTATACGAAGTAAAATGCTAATTTTAATTGGTAGATTCAGGTATCATTCAACTGGCGGTGTCGCATTTGCTTTGGGTCACTAAATAATGGGGTCGTACTAGCTCTGCATCGGAAGCACTAGCATACCGAAGTGGTAGACTGGGCGACCAATTGCAGTGATGATCACACAACTGCGTTCCCTGTAGGAGGGGATCACACAACTGTGTTCCCTGCAGGGGGGGATCACACAACTGTGTCCCCTGACGTACCTAAACGCTTAAACGGACAAGTCAGCGCGGGAATTCCCGCGGCCGAAGTGGGGTAAGGGTTTCACGGCTATGGAATAAATTATTTCTCCGGTCAGTTGCGACCAACCACTGCCCCGCAGCTGATCCGCAGCTGTTCGTATCATCGGCTTCAGGCACAGCCAGTCTCAGTATGGCATCAACCGCATTTTCGCTAGATATGGCAGGGAGGTCTCTCCTCGAGGAGGGGTTTTTTGATTTGAATGACTCAACAGTTGGCAACCGCGTCTTGGAGATGGAAAGACGGGGTTTCCCTTACCTCACCGAATATGGAATGGACTTTTGCAAGCAATTTGCCTTTGACGAAGTAAGCGAAATGACCCGTTTCTATAACTACCATCTTATCATCTCCAGCGAATCCGATCGATCCTCGAATCCTCCCTCGAACGGTGCAGCCTCGGACACTGGCTTAGATACGAAGAATTCCCTGGTCATGTCGAATGCTTCAGGAGGGGTGGGCCAAAAGCTGGTCGCCGTGTTCTCATGGTGCATCTGTGGGCCAAAGGATCGCGAGTGGAGTATTATGCCCGTTCACATCTTCACGATTTGCCGACTACGAGGGGGAGGAGGTCCTTATATGAAATATCCCAGTCTGAGCTGGATCATGTGGGCTCTCAGCCCGAGGTGAAGGATTTCCCGGATGGTGGCTTGTAAGTGGTAGCAATATATAACAGTCTCATGCTCTAACAGCTGCAGGGTGATTTTGGACGCTAGACTCGGTTTTCAGATCGAGCAAGGGTATGCCATTACGTTTCTTTTTGCTACGGATGAAGTGATCGCCAACTGGGCGAAAATGACTCTTCCATACTCAAAGGGGCTGGAAAATAAAGTCAGGGACCTAGAGATGCTCAGCGCAAACATTGGTCTTAACTTCACGTTTGAGGGTTCGGGTGGAAGCACAGAGAATTAGCTCTCATTGTTCTTGGTAGGCTGCAATTTCTGTGGTCATATCTACAATATCGTCTTGTGCCGCCCATCCGGTCGTCAATGCAGGGATACTGTTCATAATCTGAAGGATAGGAGCATCAAAATCCTGTAACAAGTCAAGACCTTGGTTTTGACCTTCTGCCGGGTTGAAGTATATTTCCTCCGCGAACATGCTCGGAGTGCTGCTAGGATTGATAGGGTCGGCCATGATGGCCAGCCGGGGTAATGTTATAGGCGACTGCGTCGGGTTTGGGGCTGCAGATAGTTCAATGCGAGCCGAATGGAGCTGGTGAAGACTATCACCCTCATTGATATAGCAAAAACTTTTGTCCAAAGCCGTCATACCAATCCTGTCGGTCTCAGCTCGAGCTCCCGAAATATCGAAGCCCAGATTTGCCACATCCCATTTCCGTTTCTTCCCCACGACAACTCTCGATGAATACTGGCTCATTGCGAGAGCTAGTTGTTTGTCGGATTTTTCGCGTAGTTCATCGGATGTTTTCCTGATGAAGGTCCATTTTCTTTCGCATGTTCCATTATGTTTAGCAGCATGTCTAACGAACTCGCTCACGAGCCGGAAAACTTTGAAGCAGCACACGCACACTTCCTCACATGTGACATCTGTATGAAAATTAATAGCAAGCAGTGTATCGGAGAAGATAGCACTTGCGCTGTTGAAAATGCCGCCGGAGCCCCTGCATTTTCGGAAATGGTTTTGCTCGGTTACAGGATGGACAGAAATGCCCTTTGGGAGCTCCAGTCTTCCTTGTTGTGTCAATAGGATTTTCGGCGTCCCTTTCGTCATCGCTTTCGCCTTGATCGTTGTCGCTTCTGTCTCGACAGTCATCGCTGTTTGCCCTCGAATGGGTTTGGCACCGCTCGAGTTCAGCTTGCAGGCGCTGTTCGCGAAACTAGAAGAGGTCAGCTGAGTGGTATCACTTATCTAAGTCACTGACCCGGTATTCTTCGAGATGCTCGCTTAGATTAATTTCCGTTTCAAAGAAGGCTGAGCAAGCACACTGTGGTTGTGTGTTTGACATTGTTGAGGATGGGGGCGAGGTGTTCAGTCTATGTTAAATGAAGACACAGGTCCACCCGTCTTTTCTCATGGCTGGGGGAAGGTCAGGGGAAAGATCGATTAGTCATAGTTTGAAAAATGTAGTTAGTTAATTGGTTGTAAGTGCGGACCGAGGAATCGGCCGCAATCTAATAAATAACGAGCCAGGTCGCCGCGGTCGGGCAGCGAGATCATCGGCTTTTCGCCCAGAGGAAAACTGACGGCATGTTCCTCTCTTGCTCTGATAAACCACGCAGATCACCGAAAATACACCTCCCTGCCTACTAGTCACCTCGACGAGAACGAAGATGGCCCCATGTGAAACCTGCGGAGGCGACAAGTTCGTGAAAGGCATTGCATGTCCAACTTGCAGTGGCAAGAATTGAAGATCAGCAGGTGAGCAATATTCAAGCCGAAATACTTCATCCTTGCTACTGTACTACTGAACCCTGGGAGCCTTTAGTTAACCTGGCCTTGTGTTTGACTGCAGCTGCCGTGCGGATTGATGCAAAGTCACCTCCCACAAGCACACAGTTTTGATCACATGATCGGAATACCTGTCTTTTACCCGAAACCAAGGACGTCGGGATGGTTGCGTTGAACAACAACACTTCACCCCGCATAGCCGACTTTTTTTTTGAATCATTTCTTGACAAAATTTTTATGCGTGATTTTGAAGGAAAAGAAGGATATCTGAAGTCAAGGTACGTAAACTACTTAACACTTAGAATGTGCGTTCTAATTCCAAAGTTAGTCAGGTTTCCCATCCGCCTTTTTTGAAGATGTTTCGTGCTGTTGTTGGTGGACGAGGTCTTGCTGTTTTTTTTTTTTTCAGTTCTTCAGGATGAATTTTCTGACGGGCCCACTTGGCTCTGAACTGTTGCCCAAATCCCAAGAGTATTTCGCAACCGTACCGTCGCTATGCGCAGCCTTACGCAAGCTTGCGTCTTGTTGAGTAGGAATGCAACAAAATACAATTATCCGAATCTGACTACATCTTTCGATTATCTTTGCCTCATGACTAGTGAAAGTATCCTTGACTAACTAGGTTTGTCCTCGCAGGGTCATAATGTGATAGAGGTTTTGGGGATGGAGTGGCAATGAGCCTGAGTTCATAAGTTGATCGTGAAGCCAGGACGGAAAGAAAAGCATATTTAATGGCTTCCTAGCTAGGTAGCCGGCCGGCTATTGAGAATATGGCCCCGGGATCAAGGCCAGTTGTTCCAGGATATGGTTCAAGAGCCCCAGGAGCAAACTAGCCCCCAGGGCCATTAGTTGGATTCCCAGTTTCGGTTCAATGATTCGCGGGAACACTGATTGAGATCCTAGGACCAGTTGTCGCTTGACCCGTTCGGGACAGAAGCCTGCACGTGAAACCAGTGTCCGCCACAAGGACCCCTTACCTACATCCCCGAAACTGGAAGTCTGGCCTTGGGATCTTGAGCGGACGTTCCAGGAACATAATAGCTCCCAGGACCGGTCAAGATGGTCCTAAATCCGGCCTTGCGATTAATGGGATCACTTTCCAGACGTCTGAGACTAGTTCTGCGTGTTTTCCAAGTTTTCGTGCTGTCTTTCACGCTGAATCTTGCCTTTCGTTATCAATGCCATCTCGTCGTTTGGAATTATAAATTCATCGTCCTTCCTCCCTACCCTTGCCCATCACGAAAATCACTATTGAAGTATTTTGGAAGCTGAAATGAATGCATCGTAAAACGAGTGTCACGAATCTAGACGGCAAAGAAATCTTTGGCCTACTGACTTGATCAGAGAAGACATTCGAAATTCAATGCGCATTCTTCCCTAGTGAGCCGCACTGCGAGTACCTAGCATTGTGTACGCATCTCAAACTATGAAGTTAGCCGGAATGAAGAATTTCTTGGCGATATGAAAGGGATCTGCGACCGACTGAGAGCTGTGAAAATAGCCATCAAAGGAGATGATCGTGGCAGAGGGGGGAGAAGACTGGGCGGGCGCCTCATTGATCCCCATCCGGATCAGAATATTGTAATGAGATCTGACATCTCAGTTGGTCCTCTCCCCTGCTCTCTATCACTGACTACCTGCAGCCTCATACGAACTCACGATATCGTGGTCATTACCCAATTGGTCTCCGGTGTGGAACGGAGCCGTTCTTGGACTGGCGACGCAACCCACGTGCCAAATAAGGTTTAAGGTACCGGCCGATCATTTCGATTTTGCCGTCCCACTCTCCGACTCTCATCGTAGTAATTCACCCTACTAAGAACGATTGCCTTGGCCATTGGTAAGTTCCCGATCAGGAGGGCAAACGGCCAATTGACCACTGCGGATATGGAAAAATATATTCTTGCCTTTTCCCTTGAAGTCGACGCTTGAGCAGGGCAAACGGAGGATCTGCGAGTACCCTTCCAGAATTTCGCTAATTGGGCTGGTCCGGCCACTCAAGTCAATTCTGACCCAGGGGCCCTGCTCCTCCCAAACTTGCGCGGCCATGCAACCGCGGACCCGTTTAGGTTCCTGTTTCGAGCAATTTTGATTGGTTGGGTCCCTGGTGAGTAATCAAGGGGATTTGCCTGATGCGGAGAAGCCTCAGAGTTCCACGGGTCGGTCCCACCGTGCCTGGCAAATCAGATGCCAGTCTGTGGTTCTGGAAGGCATCGATCACTTTCCAGAATCCTCATGTGGCGCAAGACCCGCTGCAGATGTAACACCCCGGGACCACGAGCATGGTAACTTCTTTTAGTAAATGATCGAACAGAAAATCTTCGCATGGGGCTGATCAAGAGCCTCAGCCGGACTTACGAGTTGGTTCTGTCGACAAAAGACGGTTGCAATTTTACTAGTGCGCCCGAGGAATATTCAGCACCCCCATATACCTGACGATCGTAAGGCTCTCAACGACGTTACTAAGCTCAACCCCCTAACGTAATTCACGGCCGTCCCGCGCACCCGGTCGAGCCGCGCACCCTCAAACACATAGTAACCCCCATCCCGGTGACATGAAATGCCCTGTGTGGTGAAACGCCCGACATGTACCTGCACATTCGAGCGCCGTGACTCCCAATATACGTAATGAATATTACCTGAGAGCAGCAGAAACAATGATTGATTCATTTCTTATTCGATAACTCTCTTCAAACCAATATAATGTAGTGTTAGCGTGGTGGATTACAGAACGACGCGCACTTCTAGAAAATCCGCTGTTTACTACTATGACGCCGAAATCATCCACAAAACCTACTGAGATAAAAGGTAAAGACAACATGGCATCAATTTGTCTAACTAGTCTCCTATATTACCTTTATACATCATTAAAATTATGTTACTTGGAAATATTCCAATTTTGGTGGAGTTCTTGGCAGTAGAAAGGTACATAAAACAAAAATACCGGTAGCGCGAATACATGGGAATGAAACAATCATGTAACTTCATGTATGAAAAATACTAGCGGCACTGGAAGGAACAGCGCCACGACCCTGCCCGCAAGTAGGAGAGGGCCTGTTTTAAGGAAACATAACTTTGTCTGGTAAAGGTGCCTCGGGACCACATGAAACTATGAGGGTATACATTGCTGCAGGAGAAGCCACAAACGATGGGTATTATATGTTCGTGTATGCTGCCTCAACACGGAAATGCCATCGATACAGGTCGGGGGTTACGAAGCCGCTGCAAATTTGCAAAGGTTACCTTACCTTGAGACAGTGTAGCTGATTTGCCGATGGGGCCAAAGAATTTCGCGTCTCAAGATCTCAGTCGAGGTCACAGTCATGTCTCTCTCGCAGTGATCGATGATGCCTTTGCGACAATTGAAGCAACGGATGAGGAGTGGGGAATATGTTCTTAGGCAGGATCCCTTGCTGCATGAGGGTGCTAGAACTTACAGTCTCTAAGGATAGGTCTTTCAATTCCCGTGGACGGAGGGCTTCCGCCTCTTCATATTTCCCTTGGCTGGAGAGCACACTGCCAAGGTTGCTGACGCTGGTGAGCGTGTCGGGATGCTCGCGTCCAAGCACCTTCTCTCGTGCTTCCAGCGCCCGTCGATGCATCGCTTCTGCCTCTTCATATTTCCCTTGCCTGGAGAACACTAAGCCAAGATTACTGACACTGGTGAGCGTGTCGGGATGCTCGTGTCCAAGCACCTTCTCTTTTGCTTCCAACGCCTGTCGATGCATCGCTTCCGCCTCTTCATATTTCCCTTGCCTGGAGAGCACGAAGCCAAGGTGACTGACACTGCTGAGCGTGTAAGGATGCTCGCGTCCAAGCACCCTCTCATACCCTTCCAATGCCCGTCGATCCATCGCTTCCGCCTCTTCATATTTCCCTTGCCTGGAGAACACGTGGCCAAGGTGACTGACACTGCTGAGCGTGTCAGGATGCTCGCGTCCAAGCACCTTCTCATACCCTTCCAATGCCCGTCGATGCAACCCTTCCGCCTCTTTATATTTCCCTTGGCTGGAGAACACGTGGCCAAGGTTATTCACACTGGTGAGCGTGTTAGGATGCTCGCGTCCAAGCACCTTCTCTCTTGCTTCCAACGCCCGTCGATGCATCGCTTCCGCCTCTTCATAAACTCCTTGAAGATCTAGAAACCATCCACAATTAGATAAGAGGGTGGCCGTATGCAATAGATCCTCTTCATGCTGATTAGATGTAGACTTCGTCACCTCTTTTGCATGCGGAAGTAGCCTTTGGCATTCATTCCAGCTTTCGTACTCTCCATCGGGGAACATCTCTGCCATGATCGCTCGCGACTTCTCTTGCCACCGTGCCAGCACGAGGTGGATCGACAGCCACGTCCGGACCGATAACTGGACCAGTCGGTGCATATCAAACGACCCTGTTTCATACTCAACCCGAATAAGAGAATAACTGACCAACGGCGCTACTGCATCTTCAAATTGGAGCCCATCACCATCCCCACGGACGAGGCCTTCTGGGATGCCCTGTCGATCAAACATACTCATTAACGCAAGCAAATCCGTTGCCGCCGGCCGCTCCTGGCGGATTTGCTCAAAAGATAGCTGCCATGTCGTAATGACCGCATACCGGATACTGGAGTCCCGCCGAAGGTCTTTGGCGTCCTCATGCTGAAGAAGATGGGTCTGGTTTGACTCGCTCTCGCGGAACAACTGAAGGTACCGGGAAACCGTAACCCGAGGTGATCGATTTGCAACATAAGACCCCGCCTGGGTGATTGCCAGCGGAATGTATTCCAGTGCCTGGACCAGTGCCTTCTCGTCCTCTCCAGACTCTCCAGATTGGGTGAACGGGATCCTTGACCGTAACAGGGCGAGGGACTCCTCTTCGTTCATTGGCTGAATTGTGATCACATGACCGTCGCTCCCCACCAGATTCCGCGCCGCAAGACCATTTCGCGATGTGATCAGGATGGATCCATGGGCGGCATCGGGCAGAAACTTCACCAGTGGCCCTCGCTCATTGGATCCAGTATCACTAAAGAAGATACCATCGTCATCTGCATTATCCAGCACCATCAGCCACCGCCCGTTGCGTGCATCACACAACCACTGGAACACGAGCTGGAGGATGTTGGTCTTTGGGTCGTCCCGTCCCGGAATCTCTGCGACCGCAGCAATCTGCTGGTAGCCCTGTTCTAACCGTGATGCATTGCTGGCGTGGATCCAAAAAACCCACATGTCTGCTATGGATTCTCGCACGCGATAGGAATATTCGATAGCCGTCTGCGTTTTTCTGACGGCAGCGCGATCAGTCAGTCATTATTCAATATGCTTTCTGATGGCGACCGCTCACCCGACGCCAGCCAACCCCACCAGTGCCACCCGCTTATGAGCCTGGCCGACCACCTTGTGTCTTTCCTTGATCGCACTGAGGATATTTTCACGGCCCACAAACATTGGGTCCTTCTTGAAAGGCACTGTGGAGCACGGATGGGCCTTCGATCGCGTCTGCGCTGAACACAGTTCCCATTAGCTCCTAACATCACCCTGGCGCAATTCACTCACTGAACCGCGCCGCCACCACTGCTGGCGCGTCCTTTGCGAACTGCTGTAGCTTATCGAGCGTCGTTCGATATCCAGCCGCGTTGCGCGCGTCGAATTTGACCAGCATCGAGTGATCGGCATGTAGCGGCACCTTGTCCTCTACATGATCGGGGAGCTGGAGAAGAGCCGAGTTTGCGCCCACTATCGTCATAAAATCCCCAGTGCGTTTCCATCGTCCGCTTTCCGAGTCCTATACGATGATCAGTATGGCATAGTCTGTTCAGTCAAAGATCAACACGTACCAATACCAACCGTCTTGTCTGCTCCGTCTCGTAGAAACTGACCACCTTACGGTCCCGGATCAGATTCTTGAAGTCGGTCAGTTGATGGATTAGTAGGTCCGAGTTACTAGAGATCTGTTGTAGTAGTTGCTCTCGCGGGTGGCTCTTATCGCCACCCATCATCTGCTGGATGTCGTCCATCACTAATCCTTTATGTGGGATAGCAAAGAGGATCATGCTGTATGTGGCTGGATATAGCGACGTGATCGCCGGGTGGTCTTCATCCCTCGTCTGGATGGCCTTCACCAGGCACTAGTTGATGTTAGTATACTATGTATGATAATTCGGATCACATGGTAGTCCTACGTGAGCCAAGATAATGCCTCCAAAACTGTGTGCGATGAATATCAGAGGTCTCTGCTGGAGCTAGTTACAGAGTCAGCCCGAACTTACTACCAATGGGCAATTCATATAGCAACCCTACCTCCTTCGTGTTTCGAACTTTCTTGATCTCCTCCATCAGCTCCCGCCCGTAGTCGAGGATCGTATCGACGCCGTGGCTGGACAGCTTCGAGTTATACCCGTAGATCATGGTGCGGCACTGCGGAAGATCCTTCGACAGGAAGTCACGGAGCCACATCCGACCGAGATTTCCTCTGCCCTGCCACGATCCGTATGCATGTCCATCTAACCCGGCGATGGCGATGATGCTGTGTTGCGTTAACTGTCACTATTGATCTTTTGGATATAGGTAAAGACACAGTCCCTACTCCGCAAACACTGGCTCCTGATCGTCTGTCGCATAGAGCTGAGTGAATCCAAAGAAGTGGCTTTCAAAGTTGATGTCATCATCGCCCATCTCGATCTGCCAGTCTTCAAGCGGGTCGACTCTCAGCTCACGAAGGAACTGGGGCACTTCACCACGGAACTGCACCAGGGCCACCCTTTGTGTGTCAGTTTCATAGCACGAAGGCAATATTGTGATCTCAGCCTTCAGGTGCGATAACTCGTCATCTGCCAAGTTGTCGGTGATGGCCTCTTGTAACGCGGCCGCGAGATCCCCATCAGGCAGTTCCCTCAAGAGGCCTGTCACCCGGAAGACGTGCGACTTTCTCTGAGTAGCCATCGTGATATATAGTTACTCACGCTTGGTGATATCTGGGTGATGAGATGAGAGGAGACTGGGCGTTCCCTGTTGAGATGGCCAGCTCAGCTTGCCAGTGCGGCTGAATCAAACAACACGTGCGGGGTCAAGCATGCATCTCGCATCATTTCGTAAATACTGCTGTATACCAAATGCAACTTGGTTTCAAATCATTTCTTAATGCCGAGAGTATCCAGACCAAGCACAGTATCAGTCGGTTCCTATCGAAAACCAAACTTCCTAAAAAAGCTAATTACCATGACCTTCGCACTACAGTAAGTTACTTAATCGCTTGTGACAGTTTCATACCCCTTGCTCTGACATCACGTGCCGTCATGTGGAACTACACTTGCCTCGGTCTGGCTTAGTGCTAGCCGCTTTAGACTTAGTGGCTTGTGAGACGATGGTGGTCCGTGTGACCAAAGCGAAATGAAAACATGGCCCGTCCTGGGGGATCGCGTTGACCCCGAACTACACGTGACCAACGCCCCATGCAAGGCAGCAGATGCACCAAAATCGACCGTTTTACTTGCATTTCTCGTCAACCAGGTGAGAATCCTGATAAATGGTGGAATTCCCCCCAGCTAAATTAATGCGCCTGTTGCTCGGCCGTTGACGGTCAAGTATCACATTTGCTTTTCCTGCTCTTTTGCCCATCGAATTCTGCTCAGAACTGTCTGATTACTTTTGCCTAAGTGACCATGTTCTACACTAAACGGGCATTTTTGGGCAAATTATTCGTTGACCATCGCCATTCTCGATAGACTAGATGCGCAGCAATGATTTGAGCCTGCAAATACTGTACATCAACGGTCTTCAAGAATCCATGAGTGAAGTTGATCAACAGTCTTCAGCTATCCGTTTGAAGCATCATATGGTGATTCAATTCTGTTTTGTCTCCTCACAAGTCGTGTGGCTAAGTCTGCAACCAGAGAAAGCCATACAAAAATCGCCCTTACGTCGCTGTATAGAATAATCTGAGTGCCAATCTAGAAAACTTGATCGAATGTTCTGGATTATTCCTAAATTCCTACCTACACATGGCCTTGTAATCTTCGCTGTGGATCCTTTTCCCAATGTAGCCGATGGGCTATCGCAAACCTCCATTCCCTAATCACTTTGAAAAAGAAGAGAAGCACCACCATCAGCAAGAGAATACCGGTCGCACATTCGATTAGAGTGCTGAACCAGTAGCAACTTGCAGATAATAGATAACTCGAATATCTCTTATCGGAATCGGAGGCGGCGAGGCTGACTTGCATACAGTTCAGAAGGATTGAGAAAAATGCAAATGCAGATATAACCGGCCCTTGAATTCGAGCGAAGTACGCTCGATACTGATGGTTCACTCGTTGATAATGGCCTTCTCCCAAGAGGAATGGCGCGTAATAGTTCAGTCGAGTCAATCGGATCTCTCCGTAATGATATCGTCCTGATACTTCGTTATCCGTGATGTCGTTGAAACAGGCAGTGATCCGGCAGAACTGAGACCAGGTCACATCTTCAGGAACCAGGCAAAGAGCTGGATCTTGTGCGACTCGTAGATCGGATTCATATTGGATCAGGTAGAAATAAGTTCGCAGATACCCGAGTGCGGCCATTCGGAGCTTCGCCGCCGGACCATGTTTAGACTGGTCGCTCATGAACGTATCCCAGAATACGTAGGATGTCATGTATCGAGGAAGGGGTTTGAGAAATATTCGGTCATCGATCCAGACGAGATGTAGCCGAGGATCCTCAGTAACGATAATCTGTCGGCCCTTCACTCGCTGTCGATGCAACGGAGAGATGTTGCTGCTATCCTGCTTCGACATCCACCAGAGTTTGCCCGATATCGACTCGAGGTCCTCTGACCAGATCTCCTGAAGGATGAACTCAAGCAAGCTCTTCTTGTCGCTCAATTTGATTCGAGGATAACCCGGCAAATAATCAAGCGATGCATCGAGATCACTATTAAGCTGATCGTCTTTGTGGAAGGGACATGGCGATGCAGGGGTTTCTCCATGCGTTGACATCATCTTGACTGCTGGGTTTAGAGTTTATAAAATCGTGCAATGATGCTGACTGCTGAGAAATGAATTAAGAAGTAGGTTTTTCTTAATACAAATCATCGCTAAAAGGTGGGGTTTACGCACAGCCCGTGAGAGTATTCGGAAGCTTAGCCTCGCGGGAACGCGACGCTGCCCAACCCGACCCTACAAGCGATATCCACGAACAAATACATTTAGATAGTCATCGAGAGGTTTTGAAATAAATTACGATTACGTCTTTATTGACGATAAAACTATGTGTCTATACGGTAGGTAACGGCATCTTGAGGTATCACCAGGAGATAATGCTGTGCGGGTAGGGACAAATATATAATATCCAACAGTCGACAGTGAGAAACATTAAACCACTTCTGGCGATGAACCGATACGAAGACAGATGATTCTAGCATGCTGAACGATTCTAGAAATCCAGAACTAAGCAATAATCACTCATATTCCATGCTTGAATCTCCTGCTCCGCCTTGCGCTTCTCCTCCGATTTGGAAAGCAGCTTGCCCCCAGCTTTCGACCTCCTTTTCCGCGTGGCTTGTTCCGTCTCCATCATGTCGCGTTTCTTCTGCGCCTCAACGATATCCTCGTAGCTCATCACTTTTGCATGTCCTACAATCGTCAAGCCGCTGGATTGTCGACAGGTCTTTTCATTATTCTGCTCAAATAGGATCCGGTTCTCCTCCAGCAACAAGGCGCGCTCCGCAAAGACCTTTTCGGCCGCGCGGCTCAGTGTCTGCAGACGATCTTTGCACACACTGTCTAGACCCTGGGTGTCTTGCTCTACCTCGCTGCGAAGCAAGGCGAAATGATCCGAGGTGTTTGGAGTGTGACGGAGATTAGAGGACACGGTCGGATGGTCCGCAGGGATCGTGGTCTGGACCTCGGGCCTGAACGCCTGACACTCTCGGAGGACGCGAGACGGATCGAATGGAAAGAGGCCGCTTCGCGACCAGGCCGATCGTATATTGCGGGGTGTAAATGCCTCCTTTCGAGCGCGATCGTAAAGATAGGTGAAGTGTGGCTTGCCGATGGTACTCACCCCAGCACGGCATGTCTGCTCAACCTGTGTCCGGTATGCCGTTTTCAGAGGACCGAAGACACCCACATCGCACGGCTGCAGTTTGTGAGACGTATGAGAAGGGAGACGACACAGGATAATACGATTAGCAAAGCAGAATTTCATAATCTCTAGAGACTCATGGGTGCCGAAACCATCGCAGATTAAGACTCGTGGCTGATCGCCCGCTCGGTCTCGAGTCTGCGGGTCGAACACATGTTCCATCCAGTATAGACTGATTTCGGTGTTCGTATAGCCTGTTTTGGAGCAGGCAAAATGCCATCCGGGGGTAGGGTGAGTGGTCCACGAGCTACGATGGGTGGCTGCTGGCCAGATAATGAGCGGGTGCAGGAACCGACCATCGGCGGAGATACATTCGATCGCCGTGACCAGCGTCCGCTTCACTGTGGTCCCTCGATGCTTTCTCAAATCGTCTTTGTTGACGAGTACCTTGAGAGAGTTGAGAACGCTGAGAAGAACTCCCGTCTCGTCCATATTATACACATTCTCGGGGAGAATGGCCGGCTCAGCTAGCTCTCGGCCAATAATGTCAAACCAGTGTCGGATTTTGTCTTCAATGTGCCGGCCATCTCGCTTCCAATCGATCGCTCGCAGCCGTCGCGCTTTCAACTGCGGGTGTCGTCGGTAAAACCCCTGCGGCCAATTCTTTCCCGGCAGTCGGATCTCGAGGCCGGGGTCGGTGATCTGGAAGTTTGAGGATCGTTGGCGCACGATGATCAGGGCGAGCGACCGTAGGAACTTGACTGGAAGCGGATAGCCGTTATCTGCTAAGCGCAACACATATTCTACCAGCGCTTGCTCCTCTTGTGGGGTGAGGTACTGCTGATTGGCGGCTTTGTCATCAAGGGAAGGCTTGTTATTGGCCCGGCGCCACAGGGTGGACGCGGGGATCCCGGCCAATCTCGACCGAATTGCGTATGATATCCGCGCAGGATTTTGATGAGCTGGGGACATCGAGACCATTTTTTAGTAGTGTATCCTGTAAGCCATTCACTACTTGAAAGAAAGCTCATTAAACCGTCAAGGGCATAGGGAAAACTCTCCTCGACTGGCTCTTAAGTGAGGTCAATTTGGAAGCAAATGTCACCAGTCAGACTTGGCCCCGAATTCGATCAGAATTTGAGGTTTGAAACTACTGAATCTCTAATCGCGGGTTCACATCCTTTTAGATACAGTGACTATCGTTTATCTATTGAGTGCCAACCGTAGTCAATCAATTTATGCACTGCTTTGACTGCTGATCTATTGCCCGTAGTCCAAGATCATGCAGTGTTTGACATTCATCATAAATTCCCCAAGTTTGTCGATATCGGTGATGCTGTATCCAGATTTTTCCCAAGGATCGCGGTTTTCAGCGTTCAACAATCAAAAGGAATTTGAGCACTATTATTCAAGCATAGTTGACGTCGCATACAGTAATGATGAAAACAAAACTTGAGTGGCTCTTGATACAAACAGCCTCTAAACGATAGTAGACGCGAAAAAGCTAACTAGCGAGCGCTCGAACGTCAATATTCGCAACAACCTCCGCTTGTTCGGTCATGTCCGAGCTCCGTCCACGCGCGTCCGCCGACGAAGAACCGTTACGCCACCGATGATACAGACATTGTGCGAACACCTTATCGAGAAGCCGGGACTATTTGTGGATGAGATGATCCTGTTCATATGGGATGAGTTTCATACATGGGTGACAAGTTCCAGTCTGAAAAGGGCTCTGGTTTCGGTCGGCTAGTCGAAAAAGGTGGCTTGACAAAAAGCCAAAGAACAGAATGCCGACTTACGAGATTTTTACATTCATACTCTATCAGATTTCAAATCATACTATCTAATTTATGTAGATGAATCTGGTTGTGATAAACGTATTGGGTTCAGGCGCACTGGCTGGTCTCCTGTGGGGTTGACGCCATTGCAGATATCAAAATTCCATCACGACCAGAGATACCAGATCCTGCCTGCGTATGCGCAGGACGGCGTTGTCCTGTCTCGTGTATTTCAAGGCTCGACTGATGCAGCTGTGTTCGAAGACTTCATTGAGCAGCTCCTCAAGCACTGCGGACGGTGGCCTGAACCAAAATCCGTCATTGTCATGGACAATGCATCGTTCCATCATTCTGACCGACTAAAGGAGACATATGCCGCGGCCGGAGTAAAACTAATATATTTGCCTCCTTACTCACCAGACCTGAATCCCATCGAGGAGTTCTTGTCTGAATTGAAAGCATACATCAGGCGCCACTGATCAAAATACGAGCAGAGTCCGGAGCAAGGGCTTCAAATCTTTCTTGAGAAATGTATTGAAGCTGTGGGGTCACGCGAACAAAGTGCAATTGGGCATTTCCAACATGCTGGCGTTGTCATTAAAGACTGCGCCTGAGGTATGCTCAACTTCGTAAATGATACTAGGCCTGACCATCTACCAGAAGATGAGGGTTATTTTGTTGAGCAAATGTATTTTATTTTGCTTTTTGGGAGGGGGTAGTATCTGTATATTAAAACTCAATTAGAAGCAATGAAACGCCAAACCTTGATTAAAATCTATTAATAACGATCACGATCTGTTCCGAACTTACCTATTAAATCCTGACATCCTGTACCCATTTCATAATATCACCCACAAACCAACGTGTAATACCTATTGCCACCCCTTTCTCGACAAAAAAGTTCGGATTCCCATCCTCATGCACCTGCTCTAGGTCCAGACTATTGACCAGTGTGACATCACAAGCTAGCTGAAATTGAGCTTTTAGCCCTTCGTCGACGACATTTATTTCTTGCCAGGCGCTATATTCCTTCACAGCCACATCGCGTGGTCCATCGATTGTGATTAATTCTTTTTGTTGGCTCTGCTGGGAAGGTACGGTCAATACTATAATGGAGCTATCCGCTGGGGGCAGTAGTGAGGGGTGCCCTCCACCAAGTGAATATTAATCGGCGGACAGCTCCCGAGAGCAAGTGACTTATTGATCTTGGGCTATGAGTGTTCCAGTCTTTGTTGCTCCTCCATGTACAAATCTTGACGGATTACCTCTAGAACATTATCTTGGCCCTCTAAATCACCACCACCTTCAACAAAGGCAATTAGGCGCTTCAAATGATGCGTTCTTAATTGGTAGTGCTTCTTCCCATGAGGATCCTGCTAGTAGTGGGGCCCTAGGTGGTAAGATGGAGAAGGACACCGTATCAGACTGTAGACAGCTCGCCACACTGACTGTTACCCAGACACATGTTCTTCGGCATCAAGTTGCGCATCCCGCTCGTTAAGCATTCTTGTGGTGACGGATGACTTACCTTGTTTCTCGCCCCTTTAAGCCGCGCTTCTGCCATAACTATCGTCCTTAATATAGTTAAAGATGATCGTGACCCTAAGTTCCTTGCCTCGAACATAAAGCTTACCCTATCCAAGTAATAATTCTTCTACTATAGTCCAATTAATATCAAGAAATTTGTACCATGTTTTTACATTCTTATGCTTATGCTCGTTAACCGACACAACCACAGAAGTACCATCTGACCTGACCCTCCGGCTCCGTGGTACTCTATCATGAACAACAGTGTCTAATTTATCCTTCAAGACTAAAGACTAATAAGCACTAGGAGTCAGGGCCACATCCTTTATTGTATCCTCCCACCTGAACCGGTTGTTCACCTTGACTTTCCACTCGATTGTATATCGGATGAACCCTGATGGGAGGTCATCGTCCGGTCTGCTTGCTTCCCACTCACAGAGTTGAAGAAGTTTGGCTATTCCTTGCTGCGGGATACTCGGGGATACGGGGTCGGTCTGGGCTTCGCCCTGCGAATCATCCTGGGGGTGGCGATCCGGAGAAGGGCTAAATGCATAACAAGAGGGTGGGGTATCGTTGTCATATCCATCTGTGGGGGCGTATTGCGAATCCTGGTCCGAGAGCTCGGGCGGCTGGGCTTGAGAGTCATTATGGTACGATGGCCAGTCGTTGATCATGGCGAACAGTCTCTGATTTAGTCAACGTTAGCACATTTCAATGTCCAGGTTCAACCGGTAATAGAATCGGTCAGGAATGCAAGTTTGACTAAAGAAGATAACGCGGACGTGAAAAATGCACCTCACCAGTTCTCTTCTCTCTCTTCTTTTTTTTCAATCTGCTTCTGTCTTTCCCCATCCGCCAGATTTTACCTGACGTAGAGGAGTTGACTGATCGTGGAATGGAAGTTGCAGGGATGGGCAGACCACCGACTACATTGTTTGCTTCGTTTGCAAGGGGTGTTCTGGAACTTCTAGTCTTGTACCACAAACCAAAGCAAGGCCGTACAACGGGATACAATGCCTATTTTTATCCGTATAGTTAACAGTGTCATGAAATACAAAAAATTACCGGGTCAGGGGTAGTCTAACTACAATAGGTATAATGTCATGCAAGATAAAGTTCAAAAACTTTTTGAAAGAGAAAACCCAAGTGAAGCTGATTTCGAGCGGCCCTGTAATCATTGGCGCTTGATGTAGTTATTGTCAGCCACACATGAAAGCAAAGCCATGACTTTCCCATACTGCACTATGGTACGCAACTTAGTATAAATGCTGTATCAATAAGAGTTATTCGCGAATTGATTCTGACGCTCAGTTTGGTCTCCGTAGTCAATAATTTAAGAGCCTCAATTTGAGGCCCTTAATCACTAATCGGCATTTGATGGCCGATCATGTCACAAGTAGGGCCCCGAAAGGAATAGTTAATATGTACTCATGAATCTTGCGAATATGAATAATGTTGAGTAGTGATATTTCATGTTCATGATTTTTCGTGATATAGTTACTAGCGAAATCTGCTTCCTTCCTAAGGTCTGTTTTTTCTCGGGACCCACTGCCCAGGCCTTAGCGCGGATCTTTCGTTGATCGCCCTAAACTAAATCGAGGGCAATTGGAATACACCTTATGTGCCTACTGTAACTCTCGCCCTAATTTTCCATCTAGTTATTTCTTTCAATGCTAGGCGATAAACGCTGATGGCCACAATTCTAGGAAGGGGACATTTAACGACAGCCCTCAAATTAGCGCGGTCCAGTAAGTAAAATCTCCGCGCTAGGGCAATGGCAGTGGTCGAAAGAAAAGCAGTCTTGGGGGAGGAAGCAGATTGCGCTAGTGACTGTAAATGGACTGATATCAATTGTGTTCAAGCAATTGGTCAATTTCCGCTTGTCACCATTATTCAAAACTTCCTTGGAACCAAATAAGATATAATAATAGCCTGATAGCCCTGAATCCAAATGACCTCCATGTATCCACTACGTACTGCTGCTGCCCTGACGGCCTTTTTCACCTTGCAAGGCGTTTATGCCGCGCTTGATGTGTCAAGCTCCTCTAATATCGCTATTTATTGGGGTCAGAACTCTTACGGAGACTCATCTGGAAGTCTGGCGCAGCAAAATCTCGCATATTATTGTAAAAGTAGGCAATTTGGTGGTTCGAAGGGGTTCGCTGAGCTATTGAACTAACCGCGGCATGTAGATTCGGGCATTGACGTGTGCTAATTAACATCCCCCTTTCGATGTTAAATGCTGATAACATGATTCAGGTAATTCAACTCGCATTCTTGGATGTTGTAAATGGAGAAGGCGGTGCCCCCGAGATTAACTTTGCCAATTCGGGGGATTCCTGCACTGCTTTTGCGGGAACTGCTCTTCTAGAGTGCCCCACGATCGGGTAAGTACCCCAGACATCACAATTTTAGCCCCGCGGTCTAATATGAAGAGAAGCGAGGATATTGTGACATGTCAGTCCCTTGGGAAGACCATCCTACTTTCGATCGGCGGTGCGACCTACAGCGAGGGGGGGTTCACAAGCGAAGATGCCGCGGTCGCGGCCGCCAAAATGATCTGGAAAACCTTCGGACCTGTGAGCACCGATACGTCGATCCACCGCCCCTTTGGAAGAGCCGTGGTTGACGGGTTTGACTTTGACTTTGAGTCGACCGTGACGCACATGCCATCTTTTGGCAACGAGCTGCGTCGCTTGTTTACCCAAGACACTTCCAAAACCTACTACCTTACCGCCGCACCACAATGCGTTTATCCCGATGCTGCCGACAGCCCGATGCTAGACGGCGCCGTTTACTTTGATGCCATCTGGGTTTAATTCTACAACAATGACTGCGGCATCAATCATTTCATGACTAACTCTACGAAACAAACACTTTTCAACTTTGCCAGCTGGAACACTTGGGCGACTACTATTTCTCAAAACAAAGATGTAAAAGTCTTGCTTGGGATACCCGGTGGCAGTACCGCGGCTGGCACGGGATTCGAATCGGCGTCCACTGTCGCTTTGATTGTCGATTATATTGTCAGCAAGGGATACAAAAGCTTTGGTGGCGTTATGTTCTGGGATGCCAGCGAAGTTTACGCAAATTGTGGAATCTTGACCAGCATTGCATCTTATTTACCATCTCCCTCTACCTCCATTCAGCAGAGCACTAGTACCAATGCCAACAAGATTAGCATCACGACAAAGCCTAGCAGCCTATCCCCAGGGGCACAAATAAATGTATCGAGCAACTCAAAGTCGAAGAGCACGGGTACTTTCAGCCCGGCGAGGAAGGCCTCGAGATCGACATCGACAAGCCTGAGTTCTACCACGCTGATCAGTATGCCCAGATTTTTAACTGTAACAGAGAGAAGCACAAAAGCGATATACGCTACGATAAGTGCCGCCACTACCGCTTCAATACTATCCACTTGCCCAGTCGTAGGAGAGACGTGTGCTACTTCCGGTACCTACAGGTGTAATGGGAGCAGCTTTGGCATCTGCGCCAACGGAGTATGGATCATCGAGACATGCGAATCGGGTCTGATCTGCGTGCAGGATGGGCCTTCTGTATACTGTGATTATAAGAACGATCATCCCGACACCACGTGCACGTAAACGAGGTTTTTTAGTGAAATTAATGGATTCGTTGATCATGTCAATGTTTTCACTTCTGCCCTGGCCAATCAAATATTTTGTTTATGTCAGGACGGTACAGCAGATTTTGAAAACATATTATCCTTGAACACATTTTAGCGCCCAGAAGGTCACCTGATAGTAAGACTGAGAATAGACTCCGTCTGCGTTGAGACCTTCCCTCTATCCCAAAAACCAAAGCAGTATCTATGTGGAATATTAGCTATGAATTCTTCTTCTATATCGTTCGGTGAAGGTAATCGGGGCTATCAGGTGGGAATCAACTATGGATCGATCCAATTGCCGCCGGGTGAGTTTCGCAAGGGCCTGGAGATGCGACCATGTTCTAATCGCCGCTTCCTGGCCTAGAGCGACCCGAAACCCCACCGACTCCTCTCTCGACCGTCCCGTTCCGTCGCGACCCAGACTTTGTAAGTCGCGACATACTGCTTGAGCAGATACATGAAAAGATATCAATCCCAGGGTCCAGCATAGCTCTTGTGGGCATCGGCGGTGTCGGGTCAGTGCAAAGAAGTTAGCGGGTGGGCTGGGCTAGTGCTGACATATCGAAAGGAAATCCCAACTTGGTATCGAATACTCCTACCGAGTCCGATCCGAATCGCCGGCGACATGGGTTTTCTGGGTCTATGCAAGTAACGCGGCCCGGTTCGAGCAAAGTTTTCGGGATATCGCCGACCGGGCCAAAATTATCGGACGTCACGATCCCACAGTCAACATATACCAGCTAGTCGAAAGCTGGCTCCAGAATGACAAGAGTCGAAAGTGGTTATTGATTCTTGATAACATTGATGATGATGGGTTCCTTCGTCAGCCCTCGGCAATGTGTCAGGAGACTCTAACGGTCGGGCAAACCAATGCCTCCAAAAAGCCACTATTAGAATTTCTACCCCGAAGCACGAACGGATCAATAATTATCACAAGTCGGAGCCAAGAGGTGGCGTTGAAAATTGTCGATCACCTGGATATCATTAAAGTCGAGCCAATGAATAAGGCCGAGGCGCTAGAACTTCTCCAACGAAAGCTCAGACTACCAGCAGAAACCCCTGATATGGCGAATTTGCTAGAAGAACTGGAGTTTATGCCACTGGCAATCATACAGGCGGCCGGTTATATCGTCCATCGAGCACCTCGCTGTTCAGTATCGCAGTACCTAGAAATGTTCCAGAAGAGCGACCGCAACGCGACAAAGCTTCTTGATTATGAGGCAGGTCATCTCTATCGGGATTGGGAAGCGAAGAATTCGATTCTGGTAACATGGCAAATATCCTTCGACCACGTTCGACGCATGAAACCGTCAGCCGCTGATTTGCTCTCTCTTATGAGCTTTTTTGACCGACAGGGAGTCTCAGAGAATCTTCTCCGAGTTCAAGGCGAGATACGAAACGACGACTCCAGCTCGGAGATTATGTTGGAGTATAGTGACGAGAGAACAGATAGCGCATCTGCTTCAGAGACGGGTCATGATTTTGGGGATCAAAGACCATCTGCCACTAATCTGCTCTCTCTCATGAGTTTTTCTGACCGGCAGGGAGAGTCCGGGGATCTTCTCCGTGTTCAAGGGGAGATAGAAAACGACGAAACAAGCTCGGAGAAGTTTGCGTTGGAGTGCAGTGACGAGGATACAGATAGCCCGTGTGAATCCGAGACGAATCATGATTTTGAGGATGATATCACTGTGCTCAGAGACTTTTCATTTGTTTCTATCAATAAAGACAGCACAGAATTCACGATGCATCGGCTAGTGCAACTGACTGTACATGTGTGGCTGAAAGCTAATAGCCAGCTAGAGCGATGGAAGGAGCAATTTATCATGGTCCTGTGGCAAAGGTTTCCGACAGGTGAATATGAAAACTGGGCACGGTGCCAGTCGCTCTTTCCACACGTGAAGTCAGCCATGTCACAACGACCAAAATCACAAGAATCTCTAGTGCAATGGGCTACGCTGCTTTACAGAGGGGCATGGTATGCGCAGGAAAGCGGCAATTTTGTGGAATCACGAGATATGGCATCTAAATCGCGAAAGCCAAGAGCATTGATCTTTGGCTCGGAGGGTGAACAGACTCTCAAAAGCACTGCGATGTTAGCGGGCGCATACCGCCTGGAGGGGGGATGGGAAGAGGCGGAGCAGCTCTTCGTGCAGGTCATGCAGACGAGCAAGACGAAGCTCGGCGCCGACCATCCTGACACGCTGACGAGTATGGCCAATCTGGCGTCGACGTATAGGAGCCAGGGCCGGTGGGAAGAGGCGGAGCAGCTCTTTTTACAGGTCATGGAGACTCGCAAGACGAAGCTGGGGGCCGACCATCCTGTCAAGCTAGGTAGCATGAATAACCTAGCTTATACCCCTTGGTCAACACGTCAACAGAAAGCCGCTCTACTACTGATGGCCGAATGCGCTCGACTTTGCGAGCAAAAACTAGGCCCTGATCATCCGCACACCATGTCTTCCAACTATACTTTGAACAAACGGCGTACGAAGGCTTATTCCACCTCTTCATCTTCCCAGCTCACTAAAACGCCCAATGAAACAAAAGAAAACCACATCCTAGCCAGTCCGGAATCATCAAAGCGAGCTTCCAAACCTGGCGGACATCATAGGCGCAAAATCTTCTCACGCCTCTTCAGTAAAAATCAGGACTCTTCCCTCCTCAAATGTTATGGAACGGAACTTGTTTTGACGGCAGTGAAAGAATGGAAATCAAAAATTTATGTCGTCGCAACTATGCACAGATATAACACCAGCATTTAAGATTCCATCATATTCACTAAAACACTTAGCTTCTGGATACATTTAGTATAGTAGTATTCAAGAAGCAACTCGTATCTAATAAATTCAATAACTGTCAGATTGCAAGAGCTTGTCGGCAACAGCCCTTGGTTTGTATGGAACTCTCTAAAATTTCATTAGGCTAGACTGGTAACTTAAGGGCCCGTATTACGTTCGATGTTCCTTACCATACGCCAAGACTGTTCAAAACAAGGCTTGTTCTGCAGCCTAGGCGGTTTCACTACCGTCTTGGCGGTGGGGCTTGAGATAGTTTCTCTGTGTAAAACATGGAAGCCAATTTCGAATATTGCTGTAAGGGAGGTAGCTAAGAGGCTAAGGCTGACCTCTTATTTCAAAAATATTCTTTTGATATTTTTATGTTTAGACCTCGGCTCAACCGCCGGGCGTTAGTTAATGAATTGTTTGTTTGTTTGTTGCAACACGAAGATCTGACGGGGATATGGAACGATATCTCAATGCACCACGCCGATTTACATGACCGGAACTACCAACAGCGCCGATAACAGTTTACCATTTGAGATGGGGGGTAAGCACATTTGTTTAACCTAAAATAAGCGCTGTCGCTATATTGAGTACAACATAAATGAAGATATTTAGACAAGTTTTTACAAGAGGCGATACGATACGGCCTGGGTGTACTCTAAAAAGTCAGTGTTAGCATACAATCTTGAGGGCTCTCATAAGCATTTGTCTCATTCTCAATTGAATAGGAAAAATCTAATGAACATCAATTTTCAACATTGATCAAAGTAGACCTAAGAGTAAACATATCTCACTAGCCTGAATCATGTTTTGTCAGATTCAAATGACTTATTCGTTCTGAGTATTTTTCCAGGGCTTGTTAGAATAGTAAGACAATCGTTATGTCGAGGGTCGTAAGTACTGATGGGCTTTCGATAGCGGATTGTGTTGAATGCAATCCTTGAGTAGGCCCCAATCAAAAGAGAATTTAATGATCTTTGTTGATTTTAAAGATAGCTTCAGCACGAGCCTTGGCAGCAGGGCTCAAAAAAAGGAAGATATCTCTTGGGTGTCGGATCATCTCGCTACCGATTGTAGTGCTATTTTTACCTCAAATCTCCGTGGCAGGGCCCGCAAGTTTGGTAAATAGAAGCTGTGATTTTCAAATCCACAGTATATATAAAGTTCTCTGGATGGGACAGATTGAAGTTATTTCCATTATTTCATTTTGCGAACGGGAGCAGGCAGTTGCAATTATAATTCATCAGAGTGCTTATTTTCTTTCACAAGAAGCTTAAGACTCATAATGTTTGCAGAACATGGCTCCTTGGCCAAGCAGCTCGACTATACTAAGCTCGATAATACCCTCTTTTCCAGTGCATGTATCATGCTTTTCTTGTGCATCATATCGAATTGACTGACAGTCGCAGGGGTCGACCGACCGTTAAAAATACGGAGTCAATCAGCACCAGTGATTTCAATACGAACGAACGTTTGAGAGGACTGCAAGATTACAATAGCAAAACACTGCACGATTACCAATATGCTGCCAGCTCAACACCAGCACATCTTGATGCTCAACCTTCTTTGTCTTCCCAATTTACTTACATCAAAGAAACATCAATTTTGTCTCAGACAATGAATTCGGACAATGGAGCACTAGTATCTTGGTCCCATTCGGTTTCCTTGGAGCAAAAAGGTCAGGCTAGATCTACGACAGCGGCAAAATCAATTTGGGACTCCGTGGGTATGCCGCACTTGAAGATTCCGGTTTAAAACCCTTGACCGCATGTTAATGGGCAATCGCACAGAAACAATGCATGGTATTTTACCAACCTATGAGAGAGAGCTTACTACAAAGCGTCCCAACATATTCATCGAATTCACTGAGCCGACAAGGAGTAGTTCAGCCAATCCATATCTCAATAGTGGTTACGATGCCCAACACTTCACTGAAACATCCATCAACACCTTAAAGATATTCGGAACCACATTGTGGAAGCCTTCTCTCACTACTGAGCATCCATTACGAAGTGAAGTAGCCAATTCACATCCGACTACTGGCCATGACCATTACCATTCTACCGGAGCATTATCATATTCGTCGATTAAGTCATTTCCTACTTTAGGTCCAACAAGTGGAGCAATATTCAGTCCAGAACCGCCCTTCAAAATGACTGACAATTTAGCTTCAGATGCTACAAGCTTTAAGTTCTCTGATCATTTAATCTCCACAGAAACAGAGCTGAAGATTTCCCAGTCTCTCCTGGTGGCTCCAACAAGCTTTTCAACAAAGCTGGTGGATACATTAGGCGCCAAACCTATCGAAGAACAGAGGAATGAACGGGTCGAGATATCGATTTCCGCTATCCAGACTCAGACGAAACAAGATGGATTGACGCAGGTCAATCTTGAGGAGATTTCAACATCTTCGTTTTTACAGTCATTGGTTCTTACGAACGGTAACTATATCCCCAATCCAACAGTAAAAGCAACGACAATGACAACGGGATATTTGGACACGAATAATCCTACATCCATGAGCACTTTACGTACAGTTCCAGTACATGATAGTCTTACAACGGATGGGACAGCGGCATCCATGCCCTTTAACAAGGTATCTATGGAGGTTGCATTGGAGAGTGTCTCAGGAGCGACAGTTCTATTTTGCAGCATAATTTTCCTACACCGAACTTGTTGTAAAATGATACAGCGACTCCGAAAGCACAGTAATCGAGGTGCTTGTGCACCCCTATGTAACCAGAAACCGACAGATGTAATTTTTCATAATGAGCCGTACCAAGAGATCTCTCGCTTTTCAGAAGACTCATAGCCAGTGAGTCACAAAATAAAGTGGGGATACAAGGATTTTTTTTGTAGCGAGATTAGTTCAAATAGCTTGTTAGAAATCCATCTGTGCGCAGATAGTTCGATAATGCATCCTGATTCCCCTTTTGATAAGAATCTGATTCTTGCCAGATCGTTTTACTCATTACACGTTTCTCACAGCAAGTCAAGATCCGTGGGGCATTCGTATAAATTTGAGGCTTCAAATCCGTCGTTGATTGAGTATTTGGCGTCGCTTGTATCAGGAAACGAGAAAGGAGATGCCTCTAGATTATATCGGGTGCTTCTAGATGATTTACAAAAGGTGTTTCTAGATATTTTCAATGCGCGTGATTGCAACTCGTGTAGTTCCTTAAGTGATCTACTCTTATGCTGATGAAATACAAACACTTTTGTAAATTTCATGTAGCCACTGCACAGCAACGGGGATTGTGGCGAAAAAGGCTGCTTTTGTGCTCTCGGGCCCCGCTGCTGAGGCCTGGGATAAAAGGTCACACATAATCTAAATGTCCTACAGGTGCTGATTAGGTAAATTTTGATTCGAGGGTTATTTCATTCTCAAGCTGCGGAAAGCTCATAAACCTGGCATATTTGTTGATTGTTATTTTGAAGAGTTGCAACTTTTCTTTTGTGTGCGGCGCATCCCGTTTTTCTTCTCGAACAAACGCCAATGGCGGGGTGGTTTTCGGGATCGCGTAAATGACTTTCCTGATACCAGGATGATCGGGTGCCATAGCATCGCTCGCATCGTAGGGGTGCCACCCTGTACTTCTTCCAAGAAGCTTCTTCTGTATTCCGTGCCATAAGAAGGTTTTCTTTCTCGTCCTTTTTTTCGGCTCCGCATGCTTCGAAGTTGCACCTGTTAAAGAGCCATAGTTAGCAGATTTTTACTACATACATAGACGTCAGTACTTACCTAGCAAACAGCCAAGCTTTTACGCCTGTTAACCAATGCATGGTCCCACAATCTTTGAACCGTACGTGTTCTTGAGTGTAACAATGTGAACCATTCATCTATACCTTCTTATAGCTTTTTTGGAGGTGTCACAGTATTTGGCGCTGATTTGATTTTACGTTGTATAATAGTATGTATTTTGTTGTGGTTTCTTGTGGCAAAGTCTCTTTGATGTTCGCTTATCTCAAAGAAGGAAAAAGCAACAAGCGAAGCCTATGTCAATTAAGCTAGCTTATTTGAAGCTAAAGATTATATTTCGATTAGCCATAACACCACCACCTTTTCAAGTTGAAATGAGCACTAAGACGTTGTCTTTCCAAGGTGGAATAACGTTTTTGAAGAGTGAATTCCTGTTCACCATATGGTATGCAAGTGCGCGTTGCTTTTCGTTATTTTGCTAAAATTTCAACATTTTGGGGCTTGACTATCTCCTTCCACATTAGAATTCCCCATCCATGTGTTTCATTGTAGGTCGGGAAAATCTGTCGCAAACAAAAAATATTATTGAATAATTTTCATGAGTTTGATATTGAATGATTCGGCACAAGCTTTGTAGCTAATCTTATGATGCACTCAGTGAAATTCTTATACACAAACATCATGAAAACAATTCATTTTGCTAAATGTGACTTGAGCTTCTTACAAATCTTCTGAATTGGCATATGATAGTCACATTGAAGATGCCCGTAATAGACTTATGGAACTTTCTATTTGATGCCACGGAAAAAAAATATGTTCACTGGCTGCTGCTTCAAATAAAGAGATCATCGCGTGCTTTAACTCAATATAAGGTCAGATACTAAATCTGCTCAAGCGTGAAAAATAGAGATTCATACGGAACAGGACCTGAGAGTCCAAATGAAACAGAGTAAAGAAGCCTTATAAGAGCGTATGCATTGAATTTTAAAATTATATTTCATGGCTTGTTCTTTGCGGGCTCGCAGCTCAGGGCTATCAATTCAATCCACCTAACAATCCCGCTCATTTTACTACGCTCAGTTTTTCGGATGTATTCTATGCACCCAGTACCTGTGCAATGTTTCCCTCACGAGAGATCGAATTGTTGGATAGTGCATTCCAAAAGTAGTCCACACACCTATGCTTCCTTAGGCCATTTAATCGCTTCAGCGGGTGTCCAAAATTTTGCAACTAGAATGATAATCAGGCGCCTCTGGTTCATTGTCGCGTTTTTAATGTCGAATTTTTGATCAACTAGCCCTGTGGAACAACAAAAAGGCATCAAGACAATTTTTCTCTTTCTAGTTTGGGCATTTCGAATGAACAGCGGATTGATGGTGCTTCAAGGAAGAGGGGAAAAGACTGGCCAAGCTCAAGCTTGACCTCATTACATATTTAATATATAAGTAATTCTCTGGCTCAATATATGGCTAACGTCAATTTTGTGAATAAAGATTGTATTTTTCGAGCCCTAAAAACTCTTTGAAAAATGGCCGACGCAGCAGAATTGACTTTATTTGATCCCCAAGTCGAGATTAGCCAGTCTCTTTGCAACTTGACTCGCTCAGATAGTGGTCTGGATCTTGATCTAGCATCGCTATGGGATGAGTTTTCTGATGCTCCGGCAATTCCTCCTAGCCCTACCACCCGCGAAATCCTCTCAACAGAGCCCTCCATGTTAATCCATTCGAATCATCACTCTGAAATCGAGTATATCTTCTATTCAATACCTGAAAGCAATCACGGCTTTTATTGGCTCGGGCCAGATCCATTAGCCCCTCAAACCTACGGCGATGACATCTTCCTGTACATTTCTGCTTTCCCTTTCTTGGGCGAACTGGTTTGGGTGGAATTCCAACTATGTAGGGTCAGTCTGGTAACAGGGGATGTGGTGGACCGGAATATTTTCTATCTTCCTCGACAAGAGTCGATTCTCGGAAATCTATCACAGATACGTCGACAAATACGAGAACATATCTCCAGTTACGATCATGAGACTGCCACCGGTCTTTGCAGACTACGATTGTATATGTACCCACGATATGGGCTATTGCCAATCTACAGAAGTAGGGGCATAGTGTCCTCTGCTGGGATGTCTGATGGAGCTGCACTGGATCCAACTTTCTTTGTTCAAAATATGTCAGCAAATTTTGAAAAGGATTGTCAATGCATTAGAAATACTGGCTAAGCATCAACTCACGAAATTTCCTTAAGGTGGCTTCATAATACATGAATTGGAGAAAGTTTTTCCTAATTCTGGCGTAGGAGATTGGTCACTGCGAGGCTTGATGGGATAGTTCCGAGAAATATATTTCCTCTACTGCGATGTACATAAGTAAGTTCTTGTTGAGCCAAATGACCTCTGTGTTTAATGGGAGTAGAGCATCAATGAACGGATCCCAGGATCGATATCGAACCACCTTCAAACAAAAATATGATAATACATACGAAGAGAACGTTGTAGTACATGTAATTTTGCATTTCAGGAAATCAAATGGTAGTTGTTACATGGATTTACCGGCGTGTTTGGAAACGATTGTATCTCAAAGTATATATACTTGCTTTGGAATACGTGACCGATAATTCGGCCAATAGGGTCTCTACTGCTATTACAAACAATAAATCTTTGCAAACTGGCTTTCGCTCTAAATAGAGCACAATACCTTGAAATTCCGATCTCGGTGTTCATGAAACAGCGCAGAAGCATACAGATGCGCTCAGAATTTTAACTATGGCCAAAACGGTGGCTAGTTTCTATACGCATACGCTCAATATAAGTTTTAGTTTCAATAGTGAAGTCTCCTATTAAGTCGATATTTCTTCATGATGAAGATGAACAGCTACTGATCATGGTAATGGTGGATAAGGGATAAGCCACAACCTCACAAACAACAGTTGGGATGTCCTTTTCCGTGGTGGCAGTACATAGAGTGGTAGTAGACGAAAAGGAATTGGATAGAGTGGCAGAAGATGAAGAGGAATTGGATGGAGTGGCAGTAGATGGAGTGGCAGTAGATGGAGTGGCAGTAGATGGAGTGGCAGTAGATGGAGTGGCAATAGATGTAGTGGCAATAGATGGAGTGGCAGTAGATGGAGTGGCAGTAGATGGAGTGGCAGTAGATGGAGTGGCGGTAGATGGAGTGGCAGTAGATGGAGTGGCAGTAGATGGAGTGGCAGTAGATGGAGTGGCAGTAGATGGAGTGGCAATAGATAGAGTGGTGGACAGCGACTTGTTGGTAACAGAAACCAAGGTCGTCGGCACTGCAGAGTATGAAAGCAAGTTTGTTGTGGATACTTCTGTTTCAGACGCAATGCACCAGCTACCAGCCTTAAGTCCCTTATTGAGTACGCAAGTCGATATGTTTCCATTCTTATTATAAAAAGTAACCAGACCCGTGTGGTTAACCTGTATCCAAGCAGCCGGCGAACCATCTTCTGTGCCGCATACGTCAACACTGAGCGCAGAGCTTTTCTCACTGAGCTCTACTAAATTGTTAGCAGCAGCAGTATATTTTGGTTGCGATGATCAATAGGTACTTGAACAGTCATCTCCATCTAGTAAGGCAAAAGACGCCGAGTAACCCGTACAGCCATAGTTCCCGTTGGACCATATCAAACATTCGCGATTGTAATCTATGACCTCAAGAACTCCGGCTCTAGAAGTGCATGCGTGGATGATGACTAGAATTGCAATCGATAAAACATGCATCTTCAATATGTCTGACCAAAAGGGGGCTCCGATGTGCTGAGCTAGAGATTAAGGTCCAAATATATTTAAGAACCTGAAGGACCGTGAGAAAAGAAAAAAAAAACCCAGAGGGCAAAGCAATATATATTTTTTCATTAAAGATCGATCGAACCAAAAGCAACGAATCTCTCAAATCACTAAACGCGAAATTTCTTGAGCACCTAGGCATACAACCACCTTCCAATTTTCTCTTTAGACATATGAGAGTACAGCTAAATTCGAAATTGGCTTCCATCTTTTTCACAGAAAAACAATCTCGGGCCTTGCCGCTATTCCAATTATGAATCTAGTTAAACTGTTTTTAGACATACTGTGGGGCTTAACTGCAATTTCTACAGTTGCAATTGGATTAGCTTGTGTCGACCCCACCTTCTAGATCAAACTTGTTTGTGCAAATGATGGAAGCCGATTTCGAATACTGCTGTACATATTCCTTGGTTCTTTCTTGATCATTGGCAGATTTACATCAATTCATTTCAAGCATTCTTTCACTTCCATTCGTGATGACGAATGCGAGAGTTTTTCAGCCTTGCGGTCCCCGATATTTGATGCAAATCCGTCTCTCTTGAAAAATAGAAGTTACACAATCAAAAGGTGCCCATGATGGTTACCGGCTGGAGTTGCGAGGTTCCATAAGAGCTTTTCGATATACATCAGCTAATTGATGACGGAGGAGTTATTCCACCTTTCGTAATTTCCCTGCACGATATGATGATGATAGTGGTGGCACTGAAGTTCCACATCGCGCATTGATCAGAGCTCCAGATTGTTGAGGGAAGGGCTTAACTAGAGGGAAATTGAAGTAATTCGATGGATTGAGAGCCACTTTTTCTCATGGCTAAGAGCGGTGAGTCTCCTCCAGAATCAAGGCAGATGACTTCAACTTGTCGGCTTCAGGCAAGCATTTGGATTGCTCCACGGTTTCAGGTCTTTACCGCGAGTTTAAAACAGACCGTGGAAGCAGCCCTCTATCAATTAACCAAATATAAACAGAGATGTTGACCTAAATCAGTAGTTTAAGTTGGAAAATGGAGTAGACAGACACACATTTTGACGCCCGGCGCCTGAACCGCAGGGCTACTACTAAAACAATGATCTGCTATACATATCCTCAAATATGCTGTGTCTCCTTTGAGCACATATACGATTACGATCAGCATATGTCATCTCAGCTGTCAATATGACACTTTAAACATTTATAGAGGTCTAATGAATGGAAGATCTACGCTAAAGCCTCGGCAGCGGAGCCCGAGAGCAGGAAAGCAGCCTTTAAGAAGCAGCTGTTTCGCCACAATCCCCGATGTTCTGCAGTAGCTGTACATAAAATTTACAAACGTGTTTGTATTTCATCAGCGTATGAGTAGATCGCTAAATTAATTACATGAGTAATTGTAATCACGCGCATTGAGAATATCTAGAAACCAATTTTGTAAATCATCTAGGAGCACCTGGTGTATCCCAGAGGTATCTCCTTTCTCGTTTCCTGATACAAGCGATGCCAAATACTCCATCAACAACGGATTTGAAGCCTCGAATTATACGAATGCCTTGCTGATCTTGACTTACTATGAGAAAGTGCAATGAGTAGAATGATGTACAGTAACACTCTTAAACACAGAGATTCTTTCTTGAACGGCAAACCATAAATGACTATACTTAAGAGTATTTAATAGCCCAAGTACGGACAGAAAAGAGTTTGTAGATCGTTACCAACATCGCAAGGCTTTGTTGGATTATTTTCTTCAGGTTGGTATGTAGTAGGTATCTTCGCATCGGTACACGTTCGCGGGGCAATTAATCGTCGCACACTCGGCAAAGCTAGGCTCAATGCGGAATCAGTAACTTACAGCTTCCGTTAGTCTGTATTAGGAATAGCACCGGAATAAATATTTTCCTGTATCACGAGGCATAATCCATTTCCGTAACTTATTACATCACCAACGTCTAGGGCATAATTGTATACAAGATTCATGGTGGCTAGAACAATCGATGAAGATGCAAAGCATTTAAACACAAGCTAGAGTGGGCCTCGAGGATCGGTCATGCTCTCACTTTCCCTTCCAGAACAGCAGTACGGTGACGTAGAAATCTAGCTCACCCTTGGTTTGTTCATCTTCTACTTCCCCTTCCCTTTCCTCCTATTTATCCACACCATGACCCGACGCTCTCTTTCTTTTGACATCAGCCCCTTCCTTGAGTCTCACCCAGACCCCTCTCTCTAATTGCTCAAGCCTGCCCAGTACGTTCCCACTTAAACTGATCGCGCAATCTATCACCGCTTTGCCCTCGCAACGCTCCTCGTTATCCGACGGTTCCTATTTCAGCGGGCCTGCGTTTTAAGGAGATCTAATTTCCTTTGGAGTGGTCCGGTTGGACCCTACCTGATCTGATCTGCGCATACAATAGACGGTCCGCGACCAAACTTCGGCGAATACGCATACGGCAGTGCCAGCCTTCAACCTGTCAGATCGGAACGTCGACTGATCATTGCGACTAATTATCCCAGCAGGGGAAGCTAAATTCGACTACCATGGCCGACTGCACTCCGGAAGCGGAGGTCCGGGAGGCCTGGGAGGCTAGAAGACTGGCAAAGATTCAGGAGCAAGAGGAGGACGCGAAGCGTCTAGAGCGCGAGGCTGTGGAAAAACTTCGGGATAAGCGGGAAAGCGGAAACCTCGCCATATGCGCTGGTTCGGGTGTGACCCTTTTTTCAACGAGGAACAATGACGGGAGCAACCGGACTAGATTGACGTGGAAGGGTTTCATTCAGAATGGCCTCGACTACATTCAAAGAGAAAAGCCGAGTTTCTACAGGGGCAACCAGAAGGCATTTGAAAAGGCAACGAATGCGCTCGATGATACCGACAGCACAGTCGAAGATGTTCTCGAAGTTGCTGGCAAAGTGACACGATTCATGGACGAACATAGCAATTTTGCAGATTGGCTCAGCACACAATTTGAACGCCTCCATGACTACGTGGAATTTCCGGCTATTCTCGACAGTCTAGGGGAACTCCAAAGAGCTGGGGTTACTCTCATGACGACGAACTACGATGGCTTGATCGAGAGCCATTGCGGTTTGCAACCCCTAGATGGTTCTCAACCGCAAGACCTCGTGCGCTTCGGCCGAAGAGAGCTACCCAATGTAGTATTTCACCCTCACGGCTACTGGAAGAACAGGAATCATGTTGTATTAGATTTGCGGCAGTACTATGAGGTACAGCGTGAAGACAGCCGCGTACGGCAGACGTTGTATGACATGTTGAGAGGAAGGACGGTGGTTTTTGTTGGCTGTGGGGGAGGCGTAGCTGATCCCAACTTTGGCTCACTCTTGAAGTGGCTTTGTAAGCAGGAGGAGGACGTTAGCCACGGTCACTACATCTTGCTTAAGAAAGGGGAGAATCATCCAGAGGTAGATAAGCTGCCTTTGAAAAAGGTCTATCTTGAGACATTCGATGACATTGCACCCTGGCTGGATGATTTATTGTTAGACCCGAGCGGGAGCTCAGATGGCAATAGTGAGTAAATTAGTTTTTCAATCTATCTATCTTTGTCCAGAAAAGAAACCCTTCTTTCCTCGAGCTAACTAACAACCTTGGGTGAATGCAGGGAACCTTGGGAAGTTGGAAGGCGTGACGGAGGCAGAATTTGACTCATTCGATGATCGAGGCGAATCCCAATGTCTCCAAGGTACTAGGACCGAGCTTCTCCAACAGATAATGGAATGGGCTAGGTCGCCGTCCCAAAAATGCATTTTCTGGCTGAATGGAATGGCTGGTACAGGAAAATCCACAATATCTCGGACTCTGGCAAGGTCGCTCAAGGATACCAACCATCTAGGCGCCAGCTTTTTCTTTAAAAATGGGGAAGGGGACCGAGGGAACGCGAAAAAGTTCTTTCCAACATTAACAAGACAACTGATCCTCAGAATTTCTGGGCTGCGGTCTGGCGTGCAAAAGGCACTTGATCATGACCCTGACCTTGTGTCAAGATCACTCGGGGAGCAATTTGAGAAACTACTCCTTCAACCGCTGCTCAATCTTAACCACCTCCGCCGATACTCTCAGACCGCCGTGATCGTGATTGACGCTTTGGATGAATGTGAAAATGATGAAGATATCCAGAACATAATTCGATTACTTCCTCTTATACAGAAGGCCAAAGCGGTTCATATTCAGATCTTCTTGACTAGCAGGCCTGAACTTCCAATCAGCCTCGGCTTTTCAGACATCGCGGATCATGAATATCAGAACCTAGCTCTTCATGAGATACCCGAAGAAGCAACAGAACCTGATATATATCTATTCCTACAAAACCGCTTCGAGAAGATCAGGCAGAACAGAAATATTTCCCCAAATTGGCCTGGCGATGATGTCATCCAAGCATTGGTCACGATCTCTGTTCCCCTGTTTATTTCAGCAGCCACTATGTGCCGCTATATTGGAAATTCAAAATTGGAACCCAAGTTGCGCCTCGCAGAGCTTCTAACGGACCAATCCAAATATGTTTCAAGAATGGATAAGACGTACATGCCAGTTCTGACGCGACTGCTTGATGATCAAGAGAGTGATGAGTTAGAGCAGCAGGAGCTCCTGCAAGAGTTCCACAAAATAATCGGCTCCATCATCCTTCTTGCTGTTCCGCTTTCCATAAATGCGCTTTCGCTGTTCCTTGGGATAGGAGCAGACCAGATCAGCAATCTATTGGATTCATTCCGTTCGGTCTTACGCATTCCCAATGACCGAGACCATCCTGTTAGGATTCTACATCTATCATTTCGGGATTTTCTGATCAAGTCTAGAACCGAATTCTTTGTGGATATGCCAAAAAGGCATAAAGAAATTACTAAATCCTGTCTCAAAACTATGCAGGACCGTCTACAGAAAGACATCTGCAAACTAGCAAGCCCTGGAACGCATAGGGTAGATATCGACCCTCAACATATCCACCAGTGCCTACCACCAGAAGTACAATACTCTTGCCGCTACTGGGTACACCATCTCGAACAAAGTCAGGTTCCACCTTCCGAGATGGGAGAAATGCGACTATTCCTTGAGAAGCATTTTTTGCACTGGGTGGAAGCGATGAGTCTGTTGGGTCTTATATCGGAGGTGGTGAGTATGCTTGATATTCTCCGCACGGTTATACAAGTAAGTAACATAGTAGACAGCCACCTGTGGTTGATACTAATAGGCATAGGGGGACAATGATTCCGTAATGGTTGAATTTCTACATGATGCAAAGCGCTTTGTTCTGAAAAATCGCCAGATAGCGGATGAAGGACCGCTTCAGATTTATTGCGCAGGATTGATCTTTGCACCTCAAACGTCAATAATTAGTACAAAGTTCAAGACAGATCTTCCTAGTTGGGTACGTCAGTTGCCACAGGTTAATGAAAGATGGAGTGCCGAATTACAGGCTCTCGAGGGCCATTCAGAGATGGTTTGGTCTGTGGCCTTCTCGCCTGACGGCCGGCTGCTAGCGTCCGGCTCCTATGACAAGACAGTCCGACTCTGGGACCCGGTGACGGGCGATCTGAAGCAAACGCTCGAGGGTCATTCCAATCCAGTTAAAGCTGTGGCCTTCTCGCCCGACGGCCGACTACTAGCGTCCGGCTCCTGGGACAAGACCATCCGGCTCTGGGAGACAACGACGGGCACCCTTCACAAGGCTCTCGAGGGCCATTCAGAGATGGTTTGGTCTGTGGCCTTCTCGCCTGACGGCCGGCTGCTAGCGTCCGGCTCCTATGACAAGACAGTCCGACTCTGGGACCCGGTGACGGGCGATCTGAAGCAAACGCTCGAGGGTCATTCCAATCCAGTTAAAGCTGTGGCCTTCTCGCCCGACGGCCGACTACTAGCGTCCGGCTCCTGGGACAAGACCATCCGGCTCTGGGAGACAACGACGGGCACCCTTCACAAGGCTCTCGGGGGCAATTCGGGTTCGGTCAATTCGGTGGCCTTCTCGCCCGATGGTCGGCTGCTGGCGGCCGGCTCCTGGGACAAGACCATCCGGCTCTGGGAGACAACGACGGGCACCCTTCACAAGGCTCTCGGGGGCAATTCGGGTTCGGTCAATTCGGTGGCCTTCTCACCCGACGGCCGGTTGCTGGCGTCCAGCTCTAATGATAGCATAGTCCGGCTCTGGGAGACAACGACGGGCACCCTTCAGCAAGTTCTCGAGGGCCATTCGGATTCGGTCAATTGTGTGGCTTTCTCGCCTGACGGCCGGCTGTTGGCATCCGGCTCCAATGATAGCACTGTCCGGCTCTGGGACACTGCTACAGATACGAAGCAGCAGACGCGTGGCTATTCGGATTCAATTGCCTCGATTGCATTCTCTCCCGACGGTCAATATCTATTGTCTACCTCCAAGGCCAAGTTAGTCGGGCTCTGGAATGTAGCTATGGGAGTGTTAGAGCAGAAGCTTCAGGGCCGTTTAGATGATGTATCGTCAGTGGTTTATTCTCCTGATCGCCGGATGCTTGCGTCGACTTCCAGAAATAACACAGTGGTGATATGGGATATCACAACGGGTGCCCTAATAGCGTCAAGGATCAAGGGGAAAATGACTGATCCAAAGTCCTCTTCAGATATTTCAAACTCAGGTATATCTTTCTCATCACTCGAGGTTCAACGCTGGTTTAGCCATAGCGTTTTACATCCACCCGCAACAAATGCCACGATTTCCATTTCTGGACTGGACCGGCAGTGGGTAAAACTTGAAGACAAAAATGTGTTGTGGTTGCCTCCCGAGTACCGGCCTAGCTGCTTCGCGGTTAGAGATAAAACTCTGGCCCTGGGACATGCATCAGGGCGTGTATCATTCCTGCGTTTCGCCTTGAGTTAGCCATTCAGACCAATTCTCCGTTTATTTCCCTATATATCTAAGGTCCTTTTTTCCCTTTTCTCCCTCAAAAAAAGGGCCAGGCAGATCAGAACAATGTATTCTATGCTTCTACCCTTCTAGCAAATTATATGGGATAATTTTCTCTTCTATCCTACCACCACATCACCAAACGTCAATCGGCGCCCGCTCGGCAGTCTACCACAATCTTTATTACAAATACTTTATCTGGACAACTATTGTTGCAGTGGCATATTGCACAATATCATGGATGCAGCAATTCCCCCGACTCTGTCATCGTAATCGAGAGGTACAGATTGTATCAGTATACTGTGGTTCACTGAACACCACCCAGTTTCTAGACTAGGGTCTTGGCAGTGGGGCCCAGAATTAAGAAGAGGGTGTAAAATGGTGAAGCTGATTTTGCACTTCTCTGTATTCCTTGACCGCTTCATCTCTGGGCCCAGGAATATTGAGTGAGCTCAGAATACTCCGGTGAGTATCCATCTGGGTGACAGGAATGTCTAACCCAGTGGCGGCAGACAGATGGATGGACATTGATATTGATTGGAGGATACGGCATTCCGTTTCCCATCATATGCCCTCCCTTGCGACTGTTCTTCTCCAGTCTGTTGTTCTTCCATGTACAGCTCTTCTCGTACTATTTCTAGCATATCCTTGTGGCCTTGAATGAAAAATAAGAGAGGATAACAGAAGCCACAAGAATAAAAAAGTATCTTGACTACCAGTATTAGCACTCTGTGGCAAATGCAGCCTTCTATTGGATGTCAAAAGAGCCGTAAGCGAAGTCTGCGTATGACGGGGAGATCAAAACACGAGTCGAATTGGGGGGGAGGATCTTGCCAAATTGCCCATTTGTTTGATTTCTTTGCATGAAAGATTTTATCAAATTCCAAAGCAAATTACGGTATTATAACAATGACCCTTCCATCATTACCACCTGGGCAGAGAATACAATACGGTGTGAAAGGGATGGATGGGGAATGGCTAAAATTAGACTAGCGTGTTTCAAGCTAGGGTTCGGGAATGAAAGTCAAAGACTGTAGAGGTAAATCTGATTTTGAATACTACTGTAGAGGTAAAGGGACATCAGGCAAACCTTCCACTGAGCAGGGCTTATCAATAATCCATTCCTCGACAGACATTTCGACGATAGCTTCTTCGACGTTAGGCTCTTCAGCTGCAGGATCTTTGAGGACAGGATCTTCGATAACAGGGTCCTCGGCGGCAGGATCTGCTGTTAAGTGTCTCGCGTTAGCCATAAATATTTCTAGATTTAATTGATAAAATCAGCCACCTATCATTTGACTGAATCGTTTGGAGGACTCTCACCACTTTTCAAGGTAGCATCCGAAATGTGTTCGGACAGCATGTCAACCACCATTTTCATGACAATATTATCAAAATGATGATCATGACCAAGAGCACTATAAAGCTCTAGCAGGTTGGTGTTTAGATTCCCAAGCTTCAGCCGCAGTAAATGGCTTTTGATGTAAGTGGGGAGCCAAGTCTCGCCTTCAGGGAGAGTTGAAAATACATCCCTTGCTAGGCGAAGTACGTCATACAGAGACAATTCTTCACCGAACTGCTCAACGTAATGTTTGGCAAGTGGTTCGAGACCCAAAATCCCATGCTTTCTGGATGCATGGTAAACTAGAATGCTTCTCCTATACTCTTCTGCGATGCCGTTTGTGTCAGTATCGGGTGGCGAGCAAATCGTCTCGTAGTTCCCTGAATATAAGAAATGCACCAAAGTATGGCCGGCATCTTCGTGGACATCTAGTAATGCAATTTCCGAACATAAAAACGATTGGCGCTGAAGCTGTGGGTATTCACTGAGAAATTTTTCTGGCAGTTTATACCGCTTGTTCCCGATCGCAAGGGTAATAAATTGCGATTCGTAGGGTCATTTAAAAGGTCAGAATAAATGTGACACCAAAGTAACGAAAAAGGCTTACGAGGACAGCGGCTGATTATAGTCAATCTTCGAAGATTTTAAGACAGGTAACGTAGCTTTGGACTCCCTTCGCGTCTGGGGCTTCTTGGAATTTTTTTTTCGCTGGCATGTTAACGTGACGAGGATAGTGTTGAACGATAAAGAATGAAAAAATCATGAGCCATTAAGAGGCAAGATTCCCCCATGCGCATTTATATAGCCTGGAAGGTGGGAGGGGGAAAATGCAAGTATGCGTTGTTCTGCAAGGCATGCGAGACACGTCAGATATACAGGAAAGGGGGCTTGACATGTTCAACTTCCTTCGGCCATTTGAGATGCGGTAAGCATCGGCTTTTAATGATATCCCGGATCGGATGACGCTTCGAAGTGGGAAGTCTAGGAGCCATATCATTTCCCCTGATCTCAGATGATGACATTTTGCAGATTGTGGCAGGTTGTAGCAGAGAGAATTTGCCTTATGCCATGCATTGAGGGGCACACCAGGTAGCAAGCGTACGGTAATTCCTGTTTACTGTATTGTAAAAATACAACGGCCAGTCTACCAGTAAGCGCTGGGCGTCGAAGACGAAGCCATTCCCGTTTATTCTCTTCGCGAAGAAGTCTCCACATCGTATCTCGACAGACCTTATGGTCAACTGTTGCAAGAAGTTCATCATATTTAACGCATGGGTTATCGTCAATCGCTTGAAGGATATTCTCCTTATCCTCCTCATTAAGCTTCTTTGGTGGGCCAGAGCGGGGTAACGTCTCTTGCGAGGGCCCTTTCTGATTAGATCTAAGCCATGTGGACTTGATTGTGGAGATTGGAATCGAAGGATATCGATCGTGAATCTCTTTATATGACCAGCCAATTGATTTAAGCTCTATAAGCTTAGTACGTTCATATGGGGCCAATTCGCACCCACGATGACGTGCTGCCATATTATCACGGCGAATTGGAGGCATATTCAATGGAGCTTGTGTATAATATAGGGGTTGAAATGGGTATTATGACTCTTGTTATTGTTTGAAATAGCGTGTTGCAACGCGTGCCTAGGTAGGCTAACTATATATGGAAGGCGGTGGTAAAAGCGGTAAAATGGGTTGTCTCAGACTTGTCAGACGCCACTGTAGAAAGCGGTCTGAAAAGCGGGTCGCTCATCACTCATCCAATCAGACCTCACCTCACTCGGATTTATTTTCCGGATATCAAGTCACAAGAGTGCAGAGGTATGACTGATTTCGAATAGAATGTAATGTAACTTGCGGGGACAGGCGCTAGTGCCTTGGTAGTGGTTCCCGGGAAAATCAAACTGGCCAGAGGCAGATTTCGATAGTGACATTGACACATCGTGGATTACGTTGTCCGGCCTCGGGCCGACACTAAACCCGATAAGAGTATCATCACGTGTCGTCGTCATCGTCTTCTTCGCTAGTCACCGCGAAAGGTGCTCATAAGTTCACAAAGATGGCAAGACACCGCCACCAAGCTTCTCTCGAGGGGGTTTTGGACTTCTCAGTACCCTTTTCATTAACACCACAACAGCACGAGACTGCAAGGAACCTTGTGACCAGGCTTATACGGCATTATGGCCCGGAGAAGACCGTTCGAAAGGGCTATAGGCCTGCGGCACTTGTCCAGGCCATTCTCGAGCACGTTGCCTCTCCAGATACCTTTATGACTTTCTTTATTTCATACATCTACGAGGCTTTGTGTTCGGACGAAGGACATGCTGCTGAGTCCGACATCACGCACCCCCTGCTATACCTGGAGGGATTTTCTTTATGGGAGCCCGAAAAAATAAAAATGCTCGACGGAGGTCTAGAAAAGTTTGCTGAGTATATTGTTGAAAACTTTCTACTTCCTCGTACGTTTTTTCTCCACATGTACATGTTCTGGAACTATATTGAGCACATGTTGATTCGCATTTGCAGTTAGAGCATCGTCAGTCAAGACACCACAACCAACTCCCACGTCGTTATCATCGCTGCAGAGCTCAACGCCGACCGGAACAAGGCAGCGTGTATCTGTCTTGCGACAGAGCTGCCTTGTACGCGATCGCCACCGCTGTGTAGTGTCTCGGAAGTTTGATAGAGTAGCAGCCAGAGAACGTTTTGCAGAGAACTCGGAATCTTGTGCAGACGATGACGGGAAGCTCTTAAAGGATGAGGCCAGTGATCAATTTCAATATTTGGAAGTTGCCCACATTTTACCTCATTGCCTAACGACGATAGCTTCTGGAGATACAGATTTGGTATGTCCGGTCACTGGTATTGGTGGTATTGGTATTTTGATCGTGCTAATTCCATGCCTAGAGCGATTCAAAGAAAGATGTTCTTCAGATCTTGGACATGTTCGATCCCGGAATAATCCATCTGATCGATGGACCAAACATTGACAGCCCCACAAATGCCCTTACCTTAACACTGGACTACCACCGGTTGTTCGGTGAATTTCAGATATATTTCGAACGCACTGGCATACGTCACCAGTATAGGATTGACTCGACAGAACACAGTCCTTTCTTACGTGACCCTTTATTTCCCGTCACGCGATTACTGACCCTTAGTCCTCATCGAACAGTAGATCCGCCATCGCCCCGGCTTCTCGACGTCCACCGCGCCATTGCCCTTATCATGAAACTGAGCGGTGCAGGCGAATACATCGAGAGGATCCTTCGTGATATGGAAGAATTGAATGTCAGGGAAGATGGGTCGACGCATTTAGGACATCTTGCAAGCTTAAGACTTAGCGGGTGGTTAAATACCCTATCTGTGTGTTAACGTCTACTATTATATTAATTAAATAGTCGGACGGTATCCATGCGCCTAGTAATTTATGCGTTTAATATCTATGGATATTGATAAAAATTGACAATACAGCGCGGTTTGCAATGATGCCCACATAAAAAAATGTCCCAGTCATTAGCTCCGAAATTTGCAGAAGTAGCTGCGCTACATCTCCTTTATGACCAGGCCAGCGTGCCTAAAGTGCCCCTCTGCAGTTTTCCCCCTCGCACCAACGACGTCAACACACCATTCGAGGAAGTTGTCGAATCCTTGATCCGGGTTATCTTCGTAGGATTGCCAGTTCCGCCGGATAAAGGCCTTGAGCTCAGCAAAGAACTCCTCAATCGGATTCAAGTCCGGAGAATATGGAGGCAAATACACAAGCTTTACGCCAGCTTCTGAGCACATCTGTTCAATTCGATCCGAGTGATGAAAGGATGCGTTGTCCATGACTAATATGGACTTCGGCTCGGGCCATTTCCCACAGTGCTGGAGAAGCTGCTCAATGAAACCCTCAAAGACGGACGCGTCAGTTGAACCTTGGAACACTCGAGACAGAATAATGCCATCTTGTGCATATGCAGGCAGTATTTGATAACGTTGATCACGATGAAATTTAGACACTTGAACGGGTGCCATACCCAGTGGGGACCAACCCGTTCGCCTGAAGCCTATCCTTTTATCACACCCGGACTCATCTACATAGACAAGGTGATAAGACTGGAAGTCCGAGATATAGTGGGTATATTCGTCACGAAGCTCTAAATTGCGCTCTCGGGCCTTAACACGAGCAGTCTTTTTTGACCAGCCTTTGGACGCAAGGGCACGACTGATGCTCGATTTCGTTGCTTGAAGCGCGAACTCATCCCAAAGAAAGATCGCCATCTCGTCGAGATACAAGGTAGGTTTTTCGAGCAGGTGATCGCACAGAGCTTCTAGCATGGCTGGAGTGATGCTGCGGGGTCGTCCACCCTTATTGGGCGGCGCTTTAACGCTCCCAAACATCCGTAAATTGGCAGATATTCTTAGGATGGTACTCCTGTTGCAGCCAGCGGCCTGTGCCATCTGCGATATAGATAATTCACCACTGTGAATCATGTCATAGATCAGTTCATGCTTTGAAGGGGCCAGGTTTGGGGCCATCTTGACTCGACTACTCGTAATTGAAGGTTAAGATACTTGCTCTAGAGGCGGGGCAATGGGGTGTCGGATGTTTTAAATTTACATACCAATACAGACCTGGGGGTAACTATGTAATCTATGTAATAAGTAATACACGTTCAGATTCTAACTTCTCTTGTTATCCAATCAGCGATTGAGGATTACTTGAATGTGGATCAAATTAGACTAAAAATTAGAACGAACTACAGTATCAATCATGAAACCCTCTTATAGAGGGTAGCTTGCTGCTGATGTGAATCACTTATTCACATGCCAACGATTGTTTACACAGGTCATACAGGACGTATTCGGTTTGCCGTCTTCGCTCGTCTCTCTGGCCTTATCGCTAGCCAGATTGGGTCGACTTTGTAGAAATTGTGGCTAATTTTTATGCTCCGAAACAGAATAAGGTAGGTAGGTATTCAGAAAGTGTGAAAAATCAAAGGCCTGATGACGAAATAAAAGCCATCAAAGCCAATGAAGATTCCATTCCTTGCATATACGTCTTGTAATACAACAAGCACACAGATTCTGCTACAAGCATTTCGAATCAGGTCAACAAAAATTCAGTTGTAATTCAGTAATGGAAAAGGAGAAAGGAAGATCTATCCTCTATTAATCTACATTTTGCAGTTCAGGGCCACAGTCTTATCGCATCTGTCTCTGAAATTCTTTCAGCCGGCCTGTGGAATCGGAGCTATCTTTAAACACTATGGGGGGGGGGGGGGGAGGGGGCGGCAGATAGATCTAAGATTCATTTTGGTGCCTTGATCCACGCTGTCCTAACGAACTATCCTATCCCCCACGTGCAAACCAATCTCCTGGTACTGTGTCAGTTACCATGTGTTCAGGATCATGGCGATGAGATGCACTACTGTCTCCTCCCGGGTCGAATTCCGAAAAGTCTGCAACTAGCCTTCTGAAGCGCCGCTGGCATTGAGCGCTCAAGTAGCCGGCAGAGCCTTTAACCTACACGCCGGCTACCTCAATACATCAATCGAAGTACTACTCGCTGCGATATGATCTCGTCGTCGTTGTCCATGTTAGTGTACGAATGACACTCCCTTGGACTGGTGACTCGGTGTGTTCCTAGTCCATTGCCAGTACTACATAGGATTCTTGATCAAAAGAGCAGGCTCTGAGACACGGGCGGAAGTTCGTATATGTGATTACTGCAGTTCCATGTACGCCATGTGGCATGTACGTTGGCGAGTACATTCAGAAATCGGTCCTGAAGCCGTGAAGACCTATTCTGTCTACGCTAAGGTCGGTGCTAGGACACCTAGACCGTTCCTGGGAGCTGCCGCGCTCCTAGAACCTTCGATACCGATACAAAGTCAGTGATGCAGCATGGATCCAGACTTTGAGCGCCTGATTGGTTATCGTTTTAAAAATCGAGGCTTGATGGTCAAGGCTCTAGGAGAGGCTGGGCTACAAATCGCAGGGAACGAGCGACTTTCCTTGCTGGGAGATAAAGTTCTAGCAAGCATGCTGCTTCTTCGTTGGTATCGCGAAGGTAAGATCACAGGTGAGTATACCTCTTGTCACCATAGTGAATTGTTCTAATATCATATCCAGAGCATGGAACGAACCTACTTCAGGCTTATGCCTCTAATAAGCAGTTGGCCTCTCGAGCTAGATCTTTGGAGTTACCAAATTTCATTTGTCAAAGACTGGACCTGGGGAGAAATGTGCCAGATCATGCATTGGTTACCGCGGTGGAGGCAATTATTGTTACCGTCTGGCTTGATGCTGAGGACAGCGCGCAAAATGTCAACAGGGTGATGGAGAAAATGAGCCTGTACTCGTCCGAAATCTCTGAATTCACCTATCCGAAGTTGGACTCGTGAGTCCAGTTCCTCCTGCAAACGCCGCTTTGTTTCCAATCAAGAACAGTGTTGTCCATTATTGCAATAAGCAAATCCGAAGAAAATTGTGGCACAGTGTTCAACAAACTGTTTGGAAAAGGTAAAGTTGCTGCTTCGTTGCTGGTCCTCAATTCCATGAGGTGATTCATAGTTATTTCAATTGCCAAATCTCGTAGACCCCGATCACTTGTGGGAGTAGAATTGTATATCTCTACTATAGCATCCTGGAATATGTTCACATCCAGCCGCCGAAGTAGTCCTCGCTCGAGTTTTTTCTTCGATAGTTCTTTCAGCCCTGCAATAAACATTCGGTCTGCCAGAGAATACATCAATATGTGAAACGACAGGGGATCTAATTCGTCAATTGAGTCCTGAACGGGCTCAATTTCGCTTGGACTGTTCCCATCCGCTAAGCTGTCTGCATCTGGAGGATTCGGCTTGGCAAAGGTTATGGTGCTTTCTGAGTCATCTATGTTCGGCTTCTCGGGGACTTCATGTTCAGATTCGGAAAGACAATCTTGTATCTGGTAATCCAAAGAATATAGATAATCAATCATGCCTTCAACCAACGCTGGCTCTTCTTGTAGAAGAATAGTGTCTGTAGAAGACTCCTAAGTAGATTGAGTTAGAAAGGCTTGAATTGTTTCCATCAGCACGATCTTACTTTAAAACCACCGTCGCAAGCTTTGGAGAAGAAGTCCGACCGCGTACATACGATGCTTTTGTGTACTGCATATTCATCATCCCCACAAAGGATTGTGAAATCGCTATATTTTGAATCGGAACGTAGGCTACAAAACTTTAGCGTCGCACTGACTGCTGAGAATTTACTGGTACCTTGCTAGAGCTTGAAGAAGCTCATGAGTGGGGGCGTCCTTCGATACATCACTCTTCCCGCGCGGACATGGGAGCTCAAAATTAGAAGAGGACTTCTCATGCATCTTTCTACTACAAAATCCTTTTTTTTTCGCCATATTTAAGACCAAGTGGAATGGGGACTTTGTGGATTACTTCAAGTAGAGACAATGCTGGGAAAGAAGGCGAGAGCGAGAAATTTGAGCGATCTTAAGCACTCGTGGCGAAATTCTGGTCAGTCCCAATCAAGACACAAGTCATGAGGTCATTGATAGCTCACACATTTTTGAGACGAAGACACTTTTTCCAAAGCCAGAGTAAGCAACTGTATTGGTAAAGAAAGATACATGAATTCCTGTTGTTCACGCCACATCACGGACGTCTGGTACACACACACAGACACACAATTCATTAACGCCCGGAGGCCAAGCTGAAAGGGCAACTATCACTGATCAATCAATACATGTCCTATTGTACATCTGCCGCATCTCCTTGAAGTCCACACATGGTTCCTTTCGGTATATGTCATCTCAGCTGTCAATATCGTAGGAGTCCTAGTGGGTCAGCAGTTTTCTTTGCGTGCCACTGATCGGAGATTCTAGCAGACCTTGCAGCAATGGACTAATCCGTACGATACCTATCCTCTGGTGAGGCTTTGCTGACATGATTTTAGGAGATGTCTCGTATCGTCAGTAGGAATTTTGGTGGCCTTCAATTACAAGAAGCCGTTCAAGATATCCGGCTCCGCTTACACCTTTCATCATCTTCTTGCTCGTGCGGTCGTTTAAACGTTCTGGTTCATAGTATTATGTTTGCTTGGAACATGAGGCGAAAGATTTTTAACCGACAGCTCAGCCCAGAGTCGCTCCTGGAAGGTATCGAAGGGTCTGAACGGGATTTGCCTGCGTTTGATAATAGGGAAGGTTGCCTCTATCGTGGTAGCTGTCGGGTTATCAAGCATCCATAGGAGGTCGGAGGTGATTGTAGCCTCATAAAGATGTATAAATTCTCGATCCATGGGGCTTGCTATGAGAAGCCGGGACTTGGGTATGTGAGCGGCGAGATTTGGGATAATTCTCATCAGTAGGGAGCACTAACCAAATGACTTGTTGGCCTAGAGGGCTTCACACGGCGCTGCTGAAGTTGGGCAAGAGATACAGTCGATAGCGAAAACAGCTTCTACCCTGGTAATAGCTTTTATTCTCAGGGGCCCCACCGCCAAGGCCCTAGCGCGGATAATTAATTTAGCGGGGTATACAAAGTTGAGGGCCAGTTTGCTGTGCCTGTGTACAGTCACGTAACTACCTTGTAATATTACCCTTTTGGTCCGAATTTAGTAGGCCGGAAACGAACTGTGACGCCTTTTATGACAGCACATACGAAGTACATGACCCAGTACTGACACTGCTCCAACATTAAACGCACTGTCACGTGGCGACACATACCCCGCTACACACGTCCGTATGTTCTTCCTGACTTTCTCACGTCATTGCTATCCTTATGACGACAGCCACGGTATATTTTCAGAATGCAAATTCTGGCATGCAAACAGGCATTAATCATGGCACAATCAATGCAGAGTTCAATCTTCATGCAGGTAAATAGTGACAGTTACAAGGCCAGTTAGACTTACTGACCAGTGCAGACCCTCTAGATAAGCTATTAGTTGCGAATGAAGCCGAGTTTGACTCTTATACGAATCAGCATGAAGATGAGTGTCTTCCGGGCACTAGGACGGACCTTCTCAACGAGATTGCAGAATGGGCTGTGTCACCACACGGGAAGTGTATCTTCTGGTTAAATGGTATGGCTGGGACAGGGAAATCAACAATATCTCGCACCGTGGCGAAACGCTTTAAACAAGAGAACATACTAGGGGCAAGCTTCTTCTTCAAAAGGGGCGAGGGGGATAGAGGGAATGCGAGAAGGCTTGTTCCGACTATTACAAGACAACTTGAAAAGAGCGTCCCCCAACTGACCCGTGGTGTTCGAAAAGCAATCGAAAATAACTCTGACATCGCAACGAAAGGGCTGAAGGAACAGTTTGACAAATTAATCCTTCAACCTCTACGGGACTTAACTTCGTCCTCTTTCTCGATCCCTAATGTGGTCATAGTGATTGACGCACTAGACGAATGTGACGAGGACAATGATATGCGACTTGTACTACGATTGCTACCGCAGTTTCAAGAAAATCCAGAGGCTTTGCGTTTCCGAATTCTGTTGACTAGCAGACCCGAGTTACCAATACGTCTGGGATTCCAAAAGCTTGCAAACCACGACTATAAAGACCTGGTTCTCCACGAGATCCCGAAGGAAGTTATTGAGCATGATTTGTCATTATTTTTGAATCTTCGTCTTTCAGAAATCAGGGAAGAGCGATATCCTCCCCTACCTATCGACTGGCCGGGGCCCCTAAATATTCAAAAGCTAGTGGCTTTATCCGTTCCGTTGTTTATCTTCGCTGCTACGATATGCCGTATCTTTAAGGATCCCTATTGGGACCCAGAGGATATTCTTCCTGAGATTCTTGCACAGCAAAATGACGAATCTAAACTGGGTGGAACGTATCTTCCTGTGCTTAATCGGCTTCTTAACGGACAAATCGAGAGCCGGAAGGAGCAGCTGGTTCAGCAATTTCACCAGGTGGTTGGTACAATCGTGACCCTAGAGAGCCCACTTTCAGTTACTGCACTCTCGAGACTTCTAAACGTCCGTGAAAGGCTTATTCAGCTTAGACTTGACCCACTACATTCAGTCCTGAGTGTGCCAGATGATAAGACTTTGCCGGTACGGCTTTTCCACCTGTCCTTTCGGGACTTTCTTCTCGACCCAGAAACCCGTGAGAAAACTCCCTTTGGGGTAGACGAGAAAGAGATTCATTACAAGTTAGCTATGAAATGTATCTTTCTCTGTCAAAATCTGCGGAAAAATATATGTGGACTGCCGAGCGATGGAAGCCAACGTGCGGAGACTGATCGCACGACTATTGATCACTGCCTTCCTCCAGAATTGCAATACGCCTGTCGATATTGGGCACATCATCTAATGCAATGTAGAGACTTGAACGCGGTGATGTATAACGCTCTCTTATTTCTCCAGAGGAATTTCCTACGCCGACATTTTCTGCACTGGGTAGAAGCAATGAGCCTACTAGGTCTCATGTCAGAGGTAGTAGGGATTCTTAATGCACTCCAAACGGTTATACCCGTAAGTTCTATAGACAGGTATATCTAATACACACTAATAGATATAGGGGAACGCTGATTCGGCAATGTCGGATTTTTTATACGATGCAAAGCGCTTTATTCTGAAAAATCGCCAGATAGCTAATAATGCACCTCTCCAGCTATATTGCTCAGGGCTGGTATTTGCACCAAGAACGGCCATAGTTCGGAGAGAGTTCGGAACTGAACTTCCTAGTTGGATAAGCCAGTTACCACAAGTTAACGAAAAGTGGAGCGCAGAATTACAGGCTCTCGAGGGCCATTCAAATTCGGTAAACTCAGTGGCCTTCTCGCCCGACGGCCGGCTGCTGGCGTCTGGCTCCAACGATGACACAGTACGGGTCTGGGACCCGGCGACGGGGGCGCTACACTATACTCTCGAGGGCCATTCAGGTACGGTATACTCAGTGGCCTTCTCGCCCGACGGCCGGCTGCTTGCGTCTGGCTCCAACGATGACACAGTACGGCTCTGGGACCCTATGACAGGGGCGCTACACCACACTCTCGAGGGCCATTCAATTTCGGTAGAGTCGGTGGCCTTCTCGCGCGATGGCCGGCTGCTGGCGTCTGCCTCCGTCGATCGCACAGTGCGGCTCTGGGACACAGCAACAGGGGCGCTACACCACACTCTCGAGGGCCATTCAAATTCGGTATACTCGGTGGCCTTCTCGCCCGACGGCCGGCTGCTGGCGTCTGGCTCTAGCGATAATACAGTGCGGCTCTGGGACCCTGTAACGGGGGCGCTGCACCACACTCTCGAGCACACTCTCGAGGGATTTATCACTGCCTTGGAATTTTCACCAGATAGTTCATATCTAAGAACGAATCTTGGCTCTCTTAATATTCCGTCATTGTGTGGCGATTATACTTCTTGTTCGCCTGATGTTAATTTTGAGATCTCTATTAATCAAGGGCAGTGGATAACGTTAAATGGCCAAAAGGTACTATGGCTTCCAACAGAGTCTCGGCCTACGTGCTCGGCGATTAATGGTAGTATCCTTGTTCTAGGACACGCATCAGGGAGGGTTTCTTTCATAGGATTTCGTCTATAGCAGAGGTTTCAATGATTTTCATTCTATTCCTTCTTCTACATTCTAATCTCTTTAGAAAAGAAGGGCCTGGGAGAAACGAGAATTTATACAAGTCGATTATGCTGGTAGAACGCGCTGTCAAATTCCACCAGGTTCCAAAATCAGATTATGTCAAAGCGAGCTGAATCGGTATAGTCTAGTATGCATATGGCCCAATGAGAACTACCGGAATCATCAGAAGCAAGATTGATTGATTGAAGAAAGGAAAGACTCGAACGAATGGGAAAAGGGGCAGGTTGAGCTGTCCCATGGCGGTGTAACGGAGTATTCGAGTGACAATACCAATGTCCAGGTGTTACCCGCAATCCCGCAGATTACATATAAAACACATAGAAAAGATGGGTTGGATTTGGACCAATCCCATGTCACTGTAATAAATCTCTCCACTTTTCCACGACAGATTACTAATCATTTTGGATAGGTTAACGTAATTCACGGCCGAGCCGCGCACTCCAAAACACAAAGTAAATGCGATAAAATTACTGTCGGCGCGAGCTGGGACAGTATAGGCTAGTAATCGCTATAGGCGAATGGGATCGAGGATAGGACTAAGCGGAAACAATCTTGGATGCAAAGGTTGGTTGACTGAAGAAAGAACGAATATTATGGGGCAGGTTGAAATACCCCATTGATGGCTAAGGTACACGGTGTTACGACAACCGTAATGCCAATTTTCATAATCAAGTTTGGTAATGGTTGTACTAGGTAAACAGTATTTTACAGTGGCCCTCGACTTTGTAAACCCCCTAAATTAATGATCCGCGCTAGAGCCTTGGCAGTGGGGCCCTAGAGAACAAAAGCTATTACCAGGGTAGAAGCTGTTTTCGCTATCGACTGTAGCAGGACACACAAAAAGTAGGGATCCTCTCTCCATTCCTTTGGAGTGACTCGAACGAAATTCTCCTTGCGGAGTCGTGAGACAGTGGAATCATCGTTTCCGTCAAAACGCAGGCGTTGACATTTGTGCCAACGAGTACCACTGACATTTGTGTAATTCAAATAGCCAATCACAGGCAGTGCCTCTTGACAGACAGATTCGTTAAGTTCGTTGCGGCAATAAAACACGGTGTATTGTGGTTGATGAACAGGGCGATCTGCGAAAAAAAAACAAGGCCCGTTGCTATTCCCATAAGATGTCAGTGATTAATCATAGAATCCACCCCTGAGCAACGACTTGTAGCTCACCTGCTCTGCTTGAGAATTCTCCCCATGGACAGCAAAATGCTTGTGAGCGCGTCTAATTTACCCTGGAGCGAAAAGCTCCTGGCAAGTGACCGCGCCTCAAACTCTCCTTCATCTGGTGACCGTTGGTCGTCGTGAATGTGCGCCTTCGGGAAGGTATTGTAAATGTGTTGAAATCGGCATCCCACCATTTCTAGATGGCGAGAGGTCCAGAATAATGGTTTGGCCAAATGCCGGCGATGACGGCTTATGAGATCAGCAATTGATATCACACCGTCGCTGGCTGACATGTTGGAACAAGTTCAGGCAAGGTGGAGAGGGTGGAAGGGGTGCTCTGTATAATGCCGACTCCTTAGGCCCGTTGTGACCGCCCTTCTGACCGCCTTGGTGAATACTTCTAATTTGGTTAGCTATAAAGCAGGAAATATCTCCACATTCGACACACGTGGACGCGTAATTCACGCTAGTCCTGTATTCTCATAATCGGAATATGCAGGAAGCCTCTTTCAGCTAATCTTGCCCTTTCAACCTATTATAATTGGCCATACCTGTTCAAAAATGAGTTCCCCTTTTTAGCTGCCTCCTGCGGTAGTTGAAATTTCTAATTAGTTAGAGCCCCGGAGGATCGCTTCTTCCAGATTGGACTGGAAAGTCAGGCACAATTAAGGGGCGCATAAAACGAAGATCCATGGCTAAATATGAGTAAAGTCCATATTATCATTTCGCGTGAGCCTCCGACTGTATATACAGCCCATTAATATCGTCTATCACCCATTATCCCTAGGTATCACTTATCACCTGACCTCGAAAAGTCCAATATTTAGTATGCGGTCTTTGCTTTTCGGGCTCGGTAATCGCTCCTTATTGATAGAATTGTCGGCTAGGAAGGCCCCGGATCGGCACCCGCAGCTCGTGTATCCGGTTCCTCCACTGGTCTATACAGGCCTCAAACTCCAGAAGCTGGCGGCATATTTCCTCCTCATCCATTCGATCAATACACATCCTTTTTTCACATCTCCCGTCAACAACAGAACCTGCAATGGACTCTCGCGGCCGTTTGACTCGTCCAAATTCCATAGCGGTATCTTGCGAAGTACCAGAAAGACTTCTTACCGAGCAACTATCGATAACGAGTGGACTTTGCTCATGGTTGAACCCAAAGCGGGAATCGGATCGGCTGGCCCTATGTTGTCCTTCAGCAAAGGGCTCGCTGTGATTGAGCGAAGGCCGCTGATACGCATAACGCATATCGGGTGGACTTTCATCGGCGGTGGAATTTTGATTTGATGTCGTGCAATGAAACAAAGCGGTGCCTTCTTCAATGTCCGTCTCTGAGACGTGGCCCAGATTATCTAGATGGGCTTGGGTACTATGCGTTCTGTTCAGGAATCAGCAAGACTTATAGAATATGTAGGTGGTGGCACCAGGAGAGGTGAACTGACTCTTCATGCGTTGTCTCTTTCTCATCCGTAACACTCCATCGTTGATCATGGTCTACCTTATCACTAGCCCACTTCTCCCTGCCAGGCCGAGTTCCAAAGTGGGCACCCAGGTCCACGAGATCCCCCATCGGCGTCCTGCAATGCGTACTCGTGTTTACAGGTCGCTGCATCAGAATTATTTGCATGTAGACAACTTCATAGTCATTGCGGTGTGCATTGCGAGCTTTAAAGGGCTCCTCATGCTCCTTGGCATAGACGCAACTCCACTCCACCTCGGGATTAAGGGGTCGCTTCTCTGCAATCAGTTGATTAACGTGCGCCTGGCGAATTTCCGATAACAATAGGTATTGCTGGGCTGCAGAGATTTTGTTTGCCCGCTCCTGGACCATCCAGCAGAAATCATCCTGCTTCATGATCATTTGTGTTCGCTCCACTTTTGTCCATGAAGCCGTTTCGCCGGGAATTGGGTCCGCTTGGAAAAACTTGTACCCCTCATAAATGACACTAGGTGGCTCAGACAAGGAGAAGAGTCCTATATTTAGCATGAGATAGGGCCTCTCGTGGAATATGGTCATGTGACTATACTGACCTTGAACTAAAGGGCGATGACGCTGTTTCGCAGATGCCACACCTTGTTCATCCGGTGCATTGCCATTGGTTCTTTCTGGCTGGTTGGAATTCATAGTTCTGGGAGGAAGAAGAGTAATAAACGCGTGTTGGGTGATACTATTTTGGTTTGCAAAACTATTGGATATTGGGTAGTTAGACACAAAATAGAGAATCACCGAGGACCTTTATATTTTCGCGGATCAGCACGAGCCAAGGCGGACAGCCATATTATTGACCCGGGTGATCACCAGGTATCAATGAACCGATGCAGCATCCTCTTGCAGTTATAGTTGGTCCGAACTCCATAGGGAAAACCCGGGTGGAGCTGTAATGTTACCGTTTCAAAGCAAGTCACAGCTCGGATCGGCATTGGGGGCCAGCCTAATCTCCAGCGGTTTTGCAATAAGCAGTCCCTTTGGAGCATCGGATCCCACCAGGGCCTCTTTGGCGAGTGTCTACAAGAGGACAATAACCAGGCTATGTATGTCCATCTAGTGTAAGCTAGCGAGTGGGGCTAAGTATTGACGTCCCGAGAAATGTGTTCACTATTGAAGTCTTTCTTACTTTGTAACTCTGACCTTTAGCGCCTGGGTGATAAAACAATGTCGGTAGGCACTAAAATCTTGGAAAGTTCAGATAATTCTGGGTTTGCTCGTCTGATTGTTTTGTACTGCCTGCCTGCCGTCTTTCCAACGGCTAAGTATTCATGAGGCGACTCCAGACTTGGCGGAGGGTGAAGCATAAAAACATTTTCTGAGCTCTAAAATGGAAAGTCACAGGCCAAAACAGAGCGAACTGACAGTGATTTCTAAAAGCAATTCCTCGGATGAATTCATTGGGCCTCGTCTTACCTTCTCGGACCGCCCTAGCGTAGGCCTCACATAACAGCACACAACAGTCAATAGGATTGATGGTCTCAGCGGACAGTAGGTCAAGCCAATGTGAAGCCCGTGTAATGGCTGCGAGAATTTGAACTAGACGACTAGCATGCCACCATGAGAGCCTCCGAATTTGCTCCTTGCACTCCTGCTTTCTCCAGAAAGTGACTGCGAAGGGAAAGGTAGTCACTTACGTCGTGTGATCCAAATTGGGACTAGCCACCATTCGAAGTCCCGCGAACCAGAGATGAGGAAGGAAAGTCTTGGCTAAAAAATTCAATGTGATGTGACGCCTTCTGGGAAAGCCTCGGCAGATAATGAGACTAGGTCAAGACTGGTGGAAAACATTACGTCTATGGAGGGTATGCATTCTACGCTATACTGTTTTGGGCAGAAATGCTGCTACCATTCTTTAGAGTTGCAAACACAGAACCAGCGGGAATTAATCTTGCTTCGCCGTAGATAATTGGCTGATGAACCATCGATATTTGCGGATTTTGATTTCTCTCAGACGGCTGGTTCTGAAAATACATTCAAGAGATGATTCGATTTGTCGCTCTCAGGGACGTCCATGTGGAATTTACGGCCAATAAAAATACGGATTTGCCTGGCTCATGTCGGGGTGACTAAATATGTTCAGGGTCGGAAAATATACTAAGGCTAGCATTCTGGAAGATTCGCTGAGCTGGGATCCGCTCTTGAATTGACCCTCGGCGCCAGTCCTATCCCTAAATCCCGAGCACATGTGAGTAATATACAATCTCAGCGGGGCCAGACAATAGACTCCATAGAGGTCTCAGGGTCTTTGGTAAGAGTACCTTTCCGCGCTTTGCACCCCTTGCATGGTGAGTCCGAGTTGCATACGACTGTGATATATTTCCGCGTCCTCGCTCAGCCCCCACGACGGCCGCTTCTAGTGGTGCGTAGTGTGGGTAAGAAGCAAATCTCGGGAGAGATTCCGGGGCCGCTGTTCTTGAAATTGCATGGCTTGTTTCTATGGGTGTTAAATGAGGATGGTAGATAGAGTTTAGCGTGATGGTATCGAATATGAAGGAGATGGCTGGGCCTCGCACGTCGGGTATGTCTTTCCGACTTTCCCAGCCTTTAAGGAGTAGCACCTTCCTTTCCTGGCTTTAATGCCCCGATTGGCCGGCTCTGCCTTGAGGAAAGTTGACCTAAATTTAAAGGGATACATGCTCACTGGGTTTGATTTTGGTGAGCCCAGGGAAAAAAAAATAAGTGGTAACCATCCCGTTTTAAATTCCAGTTAGATTGCATTTGGAAAGTCGATCAATCTTTCCCAGGGTAAGAGCACGCTCGCAAAGCATCAAAATTTCCACCTCATTACAGCGATATTTAACACAGCTGCATTGACGATTGGCCTTTTATGTCAACGCGAATAAGCTCATGATATCTCATATCACTCAGGATTCTGAGGAGATAGGGAATGAGACCAAGACTTCATTCATGGTGTCGGAGCATCCCTGCATCCATGCCAATTCCCAGGCTCGAAGAAACGTATCATGGCGGTAATTGGCCTTTTTTACGCCACGGTAGAACACCGCTAATGCAATCCAGACTTAGCCATCACATATTGAAAAGCACCGTTAGTTCTGGGTCCACTGGGCCGAAGCATGACCCAGGATCACTATAGCTTGTGGGTCCAATAAAAAGGAACAAGCAATATGACCGGGTATGATAGCTCATGCATCCTTTTGTCACTGAAATTAATTCCAATCCATTTGAATTGTTCCCATTCGACAGACACATCATTGCTCTATACGAGTAGGTCACGGGTCATTGTATATATAAGGTAGCACGCTTTCGCTTCTGAGGACCATTAAATCTTCCTGATTCCAAATCCATCTCTCCAGAACACCCTTGGCTTGGAACAACGCGATCTGTATTACCCAACACTACATCAGTTTCCATTATGATGAAACTCAAACATATCGACATAGATATGCCTACTTTTCAAAGGCAAAGCCCAAAAATCAATCGCTTCAGTGCTGGCTTTATTATTCTTCGCCAAGACCCAGCTGGTCCATTCAAACAACAAGTCCTGCTTGTTCAACGGCGATATGACGGCTCATGGGGTGGAAGTTGGGAGGGGCGAAGAGGTGGATATGAAGCCCCAAAGACTCCACCATTCAGGACACGGTTCGACGTGAAACGTGAGATGCAACCCAAGGAAAGCAGTGCGAGGTGAGGCGGTGCGTTGAACATGGAACGACTTGTGATACTGTATACAGTGGTCTCATCCCTACCCGACCATCTTCAACGCACTGTTTGATTAAATAAATATCGATCAAAGTTCATTAAACCATGTACTCAATGAACATACAATCGAGGTTCAAAAGTCTGATGGCCCAAATCTGATGCAGAAACTCACAAGTGCGCTATATTGACTGACGAACCGTCAGCGTTGATGACCAGTTGACCGCGAAATATTGGACAATTTGATGGAATCGTGGTCTTAAATTAAACACTGACACCTGAATATAGTCTTTACATTGAGTGCTATTGATGTCAACAGTATTGTGTGAAAATGTGACTGTCTGTCTTCATTTCAAAGCAGCGGATTACCGATAATCTCCCGCGCAATAACATTTTGCGTTTTCCAAAACAAACTGGCTCATGATACATTCAAGTGGAGGGTCCCTTGCCTGCTTGTATACAATTTGACCATTCTCGAATACTGGTTGGAAGGGAAGGTTTCGGTAGAGCTTGAGTTGCATCTCGTCAAGGCGAAGTCTGGATCGTCTGGGCTGGTGAATATCCAACAAGGATTCTCAACAAAGTCTAAGCCTCTATGGTGTTTCCACTCCGGGCGAGGCTTCTAATTAGGATAGAAAATTCTCTTGTCAAGGGCCGACTGCGGCGTGCACAATGGTAGGTGATTCATTTGAAACTTTTTGGGATGTTGTCTTTTCCGAGATCTTGTAAAGGCGTTGAGAATTCTCCCCATTGTAGCGATTCAAATGTTGGAAGAATGATTTCCCAAGAGGCATGGTAGTCTTGTTCGAAAAGGCACGTACATGCCGGACGAACAAAATGTAGACTCTTTTCGGAGACTAATCCAGGCTATTTAAGTATTTCAAATCAAGACTGGAAGAGCCTATAAAGTTTCATTCTAAGATCAAGATGTCAAAAATTTGTTGCACAGCCGCAGAATAGAAGCAAATTATTACGAATTACCTCAAAAAGAGGTGCACACTTTACCGAAATGAGACAGCCCACTTCTTGTAGGCCGCAATTAAATTGAAATTTCCCGAACCATCAAAATATATGGACGTCAAACTCAACTTCATTAAGGTGGTAAAACAGAAACACAATAAGCATGGGAAACGAAAGAAAGCGATCAAGTAAATGCAGAGGTCACAAAAATAAAATAAAAAAAGCTTCTTCTCGCATTCGCGCGAGGGGATAGGAAAAGCCATTGGGAAAAACCCATGCCCAGAAGAATGTGGCACAAAAGTTTGCTGCGGCACATGTCCGACTAATTATGCCATGGCCTTAAATGCACACCCAGCACAGGTCTTCCCACCCACTACATGAATGGCTCGAGCCTATAAATACTACCAAGTCGTCAATCCTTGCTATAGGCCACGCGTGCGAAAACAGCAAAATCTTCATGATGCGCTTTTCGGTGCTCCTCTTCATGCTTTGCCCGGTAGTCTTCAGCAATACCTTAGAGATCATGGACGTGGGTGGCCTATGCTATTTCTACTCGAACAGCACGCGGGGCTGCACAGGATCATCGGAGGCTATTGCAATGTTAAATGGCACTTCTTGCTCCAGTAAGTACAGGTATATACGGATCACCTATGGCATGGCGCAATTCCACTGACAGCCACCAGATCTCAGCACGATAGGTCATAACAAGCGCACTGAGACAAACGCAGTTAATGTGACCGTCTGCGGTCCTCACCGACAAGCTGGCCAGGAGCTTGCTTGGATCACGGCTGACAAGAGTGGTCTTGTTAAATTTCAAAACATCGGAGGAGACACAGCAAGCTGCAAAATTGGCAAAGAGTTCAATGTGGGGACTTTCTGCTCTGCCCTCAATGTTAGTTCGATTGAAACAGCTACAAAAATGCCTGCATCGATATCATTTACCAATGTCGTAGAGACCAGGACTGTCGCCTCCTCTACCGCGGACTCGATGCCTTCCAAGCCCGTCTCGACGGACTGCTAATGAAACGGGGCGGGAATCGGTACGATCTGTCTCCATGAATTGCATCTCTACTGCACCCATTGCATTCATTTAAGTTTGACTTTTGCTTCCAGTTTCGAAGATTGGTTCAGTCTTGGTGGATTCGTCCATGTCTACTCGACCTGCTTTGTTTCTTTTATGTTCCTATCGTGTTGTTTGAAGTAGTTCAATGTGAAGTGAAGAAATTACGTTAAACTCCGAACTGAAAAATTAACAAAGTGAAGCTTAATTCGTTGTTGCCTCCAGAAATCCAATCAGGGCAGGACATCTCGCTGGCTTGCGATCCCTCGGCATGGTTTCGTTTTTGAGCAATCCATCTAGGAGACAGTACGGTAAAAGACGGTTTTCAAGGTGCCCCAGACGCTTAGATGTAAATTTTTATGGAGTTGTAGGTTGTAGGAAAGCCAGCGTCAAGAAGCGGACGCATTACTTAAGACAGTAACATTTTGCACAATGGCACCAATGGCATCAAAATCACTCAATGCGAAGTCTTGGTTCACGGGTCAGTGTATGATCGAAGAGTACAATTCTATTCGCTTGAATATAACTTGGAGTGTCTCCAGCTTCTGCGTAGTCTGCCCCACGGCCGGGATCAGCTTAACCGTGCATTCTCGGGATGCCACTCATAGATTATCCTGCTGAAATTCTGGTACATCCGGGGTCTTCCTGGCCAAAAATTCTATCATTAAGGAGCGATTGTCGAGTCCGAAAAGCTAAGACCGCATACTAGGTATTGGAGCGGAGGGGAGGTCTGGTGATATGAAGTCTGACAGCAGTACTGGGGATCTGGAGGTAGTAGGTATGCTCAATTGAATTTCCGAATAGGGGTCAAGTTTATATACAAGAGACGATGTTGGGTGAAACCTAAAACCTGCATTGAAGTCAATTTCATTTCTCTTCCATCCTGAATTTGAATAGGATGTCAACGTCGTCGGACTCTGATGGTGATCCCCTTAATAAGTAATCACACTGTCATAAAATGGAGACCTGATTTGGGATACACGGGGATATCCATGGTACTGTATACACATGATTCCTCGCACGGAAAGAAAAGCATGACTGGCTGACTCGGATTCGCAATGTATGTCAAGAAATCTTAGTTTGGTGTTAATTAACACTAGCCTTTGAAAAGGACTTATAAGTTATATTCTCTGACTAGAGACATCATCGACTCTCGTAAACACTAGCCGAGAAACATAAAAAGTATTTTTGAGGGGTGAAGTGTGTTCGAAAACTGCTGAAATGGCCCTTCAGACACCATCACCTCCATATCCGTATACCGAAGAAAAGTACTTGTAAATGTACTGTACTGTATCGGAACTCTCACTGGAAAACCATGAGAGCTTGCATGCTCTAGTAAAGCCTACAACAACGCACGCGAAATTTCTTCACGTTGCAACGCTAGGGCCGCCATCATTCACAAAAAGCGACCTTAGGAACATGTATCAGATTGACTATGGGAAACGTGGATAATGATTTCTCGGCGTGGCTGCTCTCCTCAATCCTCACACTTGGAAGTACAAGGAATCTTCTTGACTTCGTCTATATTCATCTTATGAAACCACCAAATTCTCAATAGTTGAGGCTTACGCCACTTAACTGACCAAGTATGCCAGCTTAGAGGTAGACACGTTAGCACTTTGGTGAAATATACAAGTTTATTTTTGAGCTGTTTCTCGCGCTTTCCTCTTCGTATTGTGGCAGCCTTAGTAAATGGTGGAATTTCACACTCAGCCAGTGCCCGAAACTCTGCTCCGCTCACCCTGTTTTGGCTCTTTAACACCATGGAGACTTATTCCTAAGTTCGGACTATCGAGGCTCGTGTCATCAGATCTCTGGATCTGGCTATTACAGCAGTTTTCAAAGACATCCTATTCCAAAGCGCAGATTCGTTGCCTCTAATTTTGGGGCCGAAATGTCCTCACCGCATAAGTTAGTCTTTGCGTACTTTTACATGTTAAAATAACACCTGACTGGTTTTAGGCCATACCCACTTTGGAAGGTAAACGTACTTGATCTTGAGGTATCAACTTCTTCCAAAATTTTGCTGCAACGCTTTCTTTTGCGAGGCAATCCCGTAATTTCTCATGCTTTAAGAGTTTGACCAGTATTTAATGGGCACCCTTTCCAACATTATCCAATTCCATTAAGCAATTTGGGGACTACGGTTTTTCAGTCCCAAGCAGACTTTCTTACACGAGCCAAGTCCGAATGGTAAAGTGAGATAAATGCCTTCAATGTCTCTAGCCTCGCATGCCTCGGACTCTGATGTCCAATCTGTAAGCGATGCAGCGACAGAGGAGCAGGCAGACACGTGGATGAAAGATTACCAAAGGCTGTTGGGGACGAGAGATGATAATAGAAGACTTGGAGAGCTTCACGAAAACCTGTCAAATTACAGACTTGCTGACACCGAACGATTTGATAAACAATTCGGCACAACCAATGGTGTGATCCGTGAACATGGGGATCTCGGCAAAAGCATGAAGTCGCATCCCAGCGTAAAACATTCAGACCAGACGCAGCAGAATGCCCCAGTGCACGACAATTCAACTCCGAACCCTGACAGCCCTATCCCGTCCATAGAGCAGGGAGATATTGAGATGGAGGATCTTGGAGTATACCGCAGGACCGAAGACCAGTCAGCACCCACGCAAAACGACAGGTTGGATGTACCAAATGATCCGAACCATTCTGACGTGCGATCATCGCGCGAGCAGAGTGTCGGTAGCCTAGGTAGGGGGTTTAATCGTCTGGCTATTCTCGATCCGCCCAAGGGTAAAAACCAAGGTCGCATCACCCAAAGTCCAGCTCCAGATCCCAAAGACATTGTGGATGGATGGGGAACTTGGAGAGGAAACTCGGGTTTCGTGATTGTGCAAGAAGGTCCCCCTGAAGCAGCTAGGTTCACATTCAAGCTCAGATCGAAGTACTCCAATGAACGTACAGCCAACATCTCCGACAAACAGCTTCGAATTTCCGAGATCAGGGACCTGGGTGTTGGTGGGAAGAAGCCTTATCGTTATACGAGCGAAAACGTCGCCGGCGTCTTCGGAGCTGCATTCGAGGATACGGGTGTGAGAATCTCCACACGTAACCCATGCTCATGGGCAAGAGTCGAATGGCAAGGGTTAAGGGATGAGGACATGATTAAGTGCAAGATCACAGAGGGGTATTCGTGGATCCCAAAAACTGATTTCGAACGGCTCTGCCATGGGCGGGAGGCAACCGAGGCAAAGATCAAGGAGGTCTGGGATAGCCAGGAGCAGCAATACGCGGCCTGGGCCCAAAAGAGGCCCGGAAGTGAGAATCGCAGTCGTGCCACCACGCCGTGTCCATTGAATGCCTCTTTGATCCGGCTTCAGCAACAAAAAGCCACCTCTCGGAGAGCCACTTCGCGCTTCAGGACACCTGATCTTAGGATTTCCGCTCCGGCTGTTGATGACGACGGTACCCCTCCTCTGTCCCGGCAGAATGATGTGACGGGCACCAGATCCAATCCAGTCAGCCTTGACGAGGAATCGCAGAATGTCAATTCGCCTGCCCCGTCAGGATTGACACCTGCCATTGCTACATCGAGGGAATTGAACAACCAGGGCACACCCGGACCTCACGGTCAGACTCCCATTTTCGAATTCAGCAAGGCGGAGTTTATGAAGAAAAGAAGTGAAAAATGGAAAGATATGAATCCCTCGGAAAGGGAGAAAGAAGAAGTGATATCCGAGGCTCTCTATGAACTTCACAGGGCGACGATGTTACAAGGTGGCGCAAGAGAGGTTGTGGATTTGAGCACGCCCGTTAGTGTGGAGGAGGAACTTTGATTGTTGATTGGTAACCAGGCCGTCCATTTCTATGCTCTGATTTCACTGATTCTGCCTCGTTCAATTCAAATGATGAAAAGATAAAAACAAGTAGACAAACAGAGGGGAATTTGAGCTAGTCAGATAGGTAGTGAGATATGTAACAGCGCAGTGTTTCTGTTTCTTGAAATTCCTATTATTTTAGTTTTGATATAAATGCAATAGTCTTGCGTCCCGCAACGTTCATTCAGCGCCTAGACGACACTGAAGGAAATGATAGTCAATATAAATCCTTGAAAATTCTGGTCCAAAGATCATATTTCACTCCCAAGCTTTAAAAATCACGGGAAACGCTATTGTCAGAAGCGCTAAAGGGCCACCCTGTCACATTACAACATCAAATAAGTGCCTTTATATCATTGGTCCATTTTATGTGCGTAGGAACAGTATCAGACGCAGTTGGTGCGTTGTCAAATTCCGTGGGTTTCTCCTGCGCCCGTCGAATGGTTGTGAGCCAGGTAACTAACCATATGCAACTACTTTCAAGTTTCTCTCCAGGCCTTAAGCAACAGCCTCGACGTGAGTAAGAAGGTTGTGTACCCGGTGTCAACCGATCAAGGCCTCTCGCTGGCATTCTTGACGCGTGCACGAATAATGATGCGCTCTCTGACTGAGAGATGTGTTTCTAATGTGTCGATGTCTGCGCATTGTAAATTACCTAGTCAAACAACACAGGCCTCGGTATAATGCTCAGCCATTACTTTCAGAAACAAGCGAGGTTGAAAATAAAGCCATGCGATGCGCAAATATTTTTGATTGTCGTTGAAGATGTGGCTGATAGGTGCTTCCTCCTAAAATGCCGATGTTCGGTTTAAGCGCAGCCTCATATTTGCGGTGAATCAGGGTGGAAAGCATCAATTTGTAATGCAAGTGATACGCCTGCCGCAGCATTACTTTCAGCGTACCGGGCATGGCGTACATAAAGACTTGCCTTGGCCTCATGCAGTGCTCAAACAATCAGACGGCCCCATGGCAACGTGGCTTGATCTTGTCAATGAAGAAGGCGCCTGGACCTTGGTGGATACCGATCGCCTAGAAGAGGTGGTGCAGGGGATGCCATGTCCCAAACGTCAATACCCAAGTTTGGTCTACTTTGCTGGAAGCTCGAATCGCTTGAAAGCCCTGCGAGCTCTTATACCCCACAACAATGTCACTCGCAAAGGTCCCGCGGGTTGGATCCGTCTTCACCTGTGTGGGAGATCCGGTCATACTGAAACCCCCGTCCTTTTTGCCGAGAGTAGCCTGCTTTCCGAAAAAAGCCAAGGCGACTCACGATGGTCCACACATCATGCTAGCCACCGACACCGGCGATACGCGATTCCAGATGCCGAGAGTGTCTGTTCACCGGCAAAATTACACCAAGAAGTGAAAGCCCAACTCATCCTGCCATGGACCCAAATTTTGTGCCTGTTCATCGACTCCAAATCCGACTTACAATCTGCCCGAAATCTGCTGCAGCAGCCACGTCGACAGCTTGCGATTGGCGGCCAGCCTGTCTGCACATCCATGCGGATAGTCATCGTCTTGACCAAGCAAGATGATTCGCATCCTACATCAGCGCGGCAATTCGCCGATTTCGAAGCATTTGCTGAGACTGGGGAGACCGTCGTCCTGGATCTGCGTCCAAGATGCGGCCTCTCCGAAACGGTTGCATTCGGACCTCTTCGAACTCTCATCGTGGAGCAGCTGTCCGCTATTCGGGATCAGCAAGAGTCCACCTGTCGTCGTATCTCAGCATCTCATCTAGCTGCCTTCTGGAAGTCTTACATTCAAAGCTACAAACGATCCCTGAACGCACCACGCTTTGATCTCTTGATCGAAGCCCGGAGAGGCTATCCCGATGACAAGTCGATGGGTCGCTTCCTCCGAGAGGGTGCCCATACCGTCATGTCCTCTGGCTGCGCCAAGGAAGAGATGCAGGAATTTTTGGCCTCGGTCTTCCTGATGCATGCGTACCCCCCTGGAATACACGGTAAGATCACCACCTCGTTTGAATGCCCACACTGACAGGCTTAGGTTTCTCCCCGAGTATCGTCTTTGCCGCATTGTATGAGAAGCATTGTGTCGAGATCTCGCAGAACGGTGCCTCTGACGGTCACTCCGACGGTATTTTATCGCATTTCAGTCAGCAATTCCTGCAATTGGACACCAACAACACATCTGCGATCGTTCGAAAAAATGTACTGCATCGGTTCTTTTGCCGATGGGGCGGCCTTCAATCCACCACGACCTGCTTGGTGTGCATGTGTCGGCCTCCCGAACACATGATGCCATGCAAGCACGCACTCTGTGACACCTGTGTTGTGATCTTTGGCAAGCCGAGTTCTCGTGGCGAGTATCATTGGGACCTCACCGAATGCCCCGTGTGCGGTGAGCCTTTCCTCGTCAGTATACGCCAATTACCCCCAACAAAGCACCCGGTGATCCTCAGTCTTGACGGTGGTGGCGTTCGCGGCCTGATCCAACTGGGCCTTCTGCAAGCGCTAGAGAAGCGCATTGGCTTGCCGATTGCGTCTCTCCCCGACCTGTGTCTTGGAACGAGTGTTGTCATGTACCCCTTTGCCCCAAGTGATCTTTCCATTGTTGCGCTAATAGCGCTATTTGCAGGCGCGTTGACAGCGATTGATATATTTTTGAACCATTCTTCGGTCAAACATTGTGTACAGGCGTTCCCGGACTTAGCGAGAAAAATATTCCGTCGCTCACGGGGCCCGGTGCCGCGATTCGTTCGATGGTTGGCTTCTGCGTTCAACTTGATCCCCAGTAGCCTCTATGATTCGCAGGGACCATCGCAGACTTTCAGGGAGGTGGTAGGCCTAGACCGCCGTCTATTCGACGTGAATACGGCCAACCCGGCTGGATGTCGGATTGCCGTCGTGGTCAGTCGCACGTCCGACGGCAAGGCCTGTGTGCTGGCAAATTACCGAGGCACGGGCCCGCGCCGTGGAAACTCTGCCTACCAATTTTTAGCGCCCGATGACGAACAAGAGAATCCTTTTCTGTGCGACATGTGAGTTCTGCGTTCAGTCCCCGCAGTTTTAGGCCACAGCCGAAGTAGCTGACAGTAATCCCTTTCATCAGAGCCGAGTGCAGTGTCGCAGCGCCTTTGTAAGTACGCTCCCAGAATCGATGAACCATGACGGCTAACTTTTGGAAGCTATTTCCAGCCAGGACGTCTGCCCGGCTTCGGCTCTTTTCAGGATGGCGGGGTACGCGCGAACAACCCGCTTGCCATTGCGTTGAGGGAGTCTGGCATCATTTGGCGGCATGCGAAACGACATGATCTTCTCTTGTCGGTGGGCACCGGGTTCACCGCGCCTGCTCTCGATCATGGCTTGCGACACAAGGCCTGGGACGGTGCTCTCCCGCGGCTCTTCCGCGCCAGAATGTCCTCGCCCTCCATGGACGGACAACAGGGGTTTTTTGAAGCACTGAATTACCTGCCGCACGGGTCAAAACCGGATGTCCTTCGGCTCGATCAGGCCATCCCCGGTCCGCTCCCCGAGCTGGACGACATCAGCGCGTTGCAAGAGTTATCTGAGATGAAGATTCTCGTTCCAGATGAGCTGGTGAGGATGGTGCTCGCGTCGGCAATGTTTTTCTTCGAACTCGACGCGACTCCCGTTCCTGGACCGGTCGGATTCCACTGCGAAGGGTCTATCCTGTGTTCACGGCTGGGGGTTGGCGAAATCCTCGCGCGTATCTCGATTGAAATCCCTGGTGCAAAGTTTCAAGCTGGTCGGGATCAAGTCCTGGGGGATGTAGACCAACATGACTGCTGCAATTCCTGTGGGTATTATAGGAAACGCGTCGCCTTTCACATTGCCAGCCTGGAAGAGCGTTTCTCCATCAACATCGTCAATGGTACTTGTTGTGAAAAAATTGGTGGATTCCCAAAGTCCGCACAGGAATTCCTCGATGCGCAGCAGGTGTTTGCTCATTTTGGCCGCGCGGACCATCAAACGCCATCATGGCCACCTGTGAGGCATTGCTACTGTGCTTATGGGGCGAAAAGGACGATTCGGTTCCTGGAACCTACGTCGCGGCAGAAGCGAAGGCGGCTGTGATGTTGGGACCGGGGGATTTCACTCGCATTGCGTTAGTGTTTCGTAAAGAGGCTTAATACGTAATCAGGTCGTTAGTTCTTTCGGTCTTGATTCACAGCGATGTTTTTAGAATATAATTTCCTGTGAACAGGCCAGTATATGAAGAACCTGACCGCAAACCTATTGCGCCCTGTCCTGCCATATGAGATTGCACGGGGGAAAGTAGAACCACGCGTTTTGTTCGTTGAAGTCGGTTCCGCTTTGCGAAGTATCTACTGTTGATCGAATGATGTGTTTAGCTTCGCTGTCGGTTGGGACTTATTAAACGATTCCTTCAAAGGGGGACTGACGAGTCAACCAAGGATACGCTACCTGATGATCAGGGTGAAGAAGATGTTCAGAAGACCGATCCTGACTTGTGTCTGAGTTTAAGATATAAGCTGCCGTAGCTGTCGTATCTCGAGAGACCAATTCATGCCGTGTCACTATATTCACAGTTGACACCATGAATTCATTCCGCAAGGCCCTCTCGGTCCATTTTCGTGACAATACCTCAAGCATCTACAGTCGGGCCCCTGACACAGCCAAGGATACTAAGCCAACTACCACGACAGCCGTCACTCCGCCACTGCAAAAGTCTTTCCCGGAAATCAACTCACTCGACCACCAAATCGCCATGGCGGGAGGATCTACGATGGTTGTGGAAACTACGCGGTCACGACTGAAGGTGTCGAAGCAATCTCCCAAAACCTCGCGTCGCGCAATGAAGAAACAATGGCTACATCAACGAAGCCAGCAAGAGCGCGAAAATGAATTCTACTCCGGTTGTTTCAAGAACTTTCATCGCCTCGTCGCGACAATCATGGATTCCACTCAGGATCTAGCTCTGCAGTACCATTTCAATCCCGTGGCAAGCCCCGCTGGAGACCCACGCTTGATTCGGACCATTGTCTTACTCAAGACCGCCCTGGACAGATCACGAGTGGAGGAGGCGCAAGCAGAAGCAGAATGGAAACGGCAATGTGGTATTTCCTCGGCAAAAAATGCAGCCACTAGGTGGGTTTGAGATAAAGGCTATTTCGATTCTCAGCATTTTTCTCATGATATAAAAGGGGAATATCTGACATGAGCCCACTTGTACTGTAACAGACGGAAAAACGGTCTTTCCTACAGATTGCATGCATACGTATTCTTTTTGCTCCCGTCAACAAATTCTGGGTTCTTTCGAGTAGCTTTTTCCACGAGGTGCCCGCGAAGTCGTCAGATCGTGCTCGGGTGGCTTTGGCTTTCACCAAAAAATATAATCTAAAATTATATTTTTTATATTTATATATTCTAATATTTTATAAATATTATAACATTAATCATTTTGTTAAAAAGTATTAAATTGCAATTTAATACCTTTTAAAAAGAAAGCTTTCGCCGGGCTCTCATTGTCCTCGACTTTATGCAAATTCAAGCTGTAGAAAATCTTGAATCTGAGACACCATGCTTTGTTCGTTTTTTGAAGAACCCTTCTCAAGGCTTCTGGTAATAACTGCAGTCGGCGACCGAGCTGCTCAGGATGAGTGTTACACAGCAGGATCTGCATGTTCACCTTATCTCTCAGCTGAGCTGCCAGACGGTCTGAGCTGGTAAGCATGGTCTTCAGGAAGCGATGAAGTCGGCGAAGGCTTCTTGAGCTTGTCACACCGGCAATGCTTTCCAAGAAGCCGATCGCATATCGTACCATTCGAAGCAAAGTATCTGGGGCTTGTAAGATGCGGTGAACAGAAGCATGGCGGATACTACTGACCACGCGATTCCACCTTTGAATCGAGTGTGCAGGCGGACTGCAAGGTTGGGCCTCTAATTTCTGATTATAGTCGGTCAAGAATCCAAAATCTTATGCAACTCGACTGCCTCCGCACACGTCCATCCTATGGCATGAGATTCGGCCAAGAGCCATTTTTGAACAAACCGAAAGATGTGACCTTCAAGGTGGCGTTGAAGAGCTTGCAGAATCACATGTTGTGCGGGAAATGGGATAGAAGATGTTGGAATGCTGGGTAGTGACCTTGATAATTCCTGAGCATCTATTCCAAAGGCAGAGATGTTAATATTAATCTTGACACGGAACATGTGCACTTACCCCCCGTAACTGGAAACCCTCCAGACAGCATTTCTACTTTTTTCAAGACAGCCATCCAGATTGTCCAAGGCCTTCCCGGCAATGGTGTAGCTGGTTTGATAAAGACCAACAATGAAATACAGCCAGATAAGACCCACCAAGTATCCATTTAAGTATGTGGTGTCTGCGCGCAGCAGAAAAGCTACTCTGTTGCTTTTTAGCAGATGACCAAACCTGAGGTCTTATTGCCAGGATCTCAAATAATGCTCTTTTCAGCTCAAATGATTGCATCATCAGTATATTGCGGCAGATCTATTTGCATTGAAGGCTCCAATGTCGTCTCTGGTGAATTTCAATCGTATCAGCATGGTATATAATGCAGCCACAGTATATCTTCACGTGGTGTCATGCTAGGTCCAGCTTGCCATTATGATCGCCTTGGGAATTTTCATCATCGGCTTCTTGGTAGCAACTCCAGTCGTATGTTATGTTTTGCTCACTTGCCAAATTCATGCTGACCCAATATCAGGTGTCTAGACCACTTCGGTTGCCGGTTTCCATTTCAGAAGAGACAACCACGGAGCGAAAAGTAAGTCTTTGTACCATGGCGATCTGATTCCAACGTGGTCTTTGACTGAGAGGTGTAGATCAGTTCCCTTCTTCTTGCCTACGATACAGAACACGACGGAGAGATTCATGATCATTTTTTGAGTATCTATCACCTCCCCGTTTCCAGTTCAAACATTCTGATATGCATGTCTAGTTCATCTTGATCCCAGTGCAAGCCATGGGCGATCTCACCGCCATCATCGGCGGCATTTGATTGACCCGTGAAATAATATTTTGATATTGTTGTTCGGAGGAACCGGGCATCATATGAGGGAGACATCTCGTACTGGAGAAACTAGACGGAAATGGAAGATGAGAAAAAATAGCAATAGTTAGACGAAGTATTGTAGAAAAACAACTCCGAGAAATGAGAATATAACAACAGAGACTGTGTAATGAGTAATCAGCTCATTTTGTTTCATCAAGAATTGCCAGCCGCGAAGGTCGTCCCATGTCGTATTTAGCTAAGGTTTGCCATGGTACTGCTGATTTGTAGGTCGATCGTGCTTGAGATGCCCCGCCAGTATTTCCCAAATATCATCCTGTCGCTCCGGCGAGGAGATCACTGGAGACTTCGTCTCGACCGGCTGGGCAGAGGCCGGAGAATCATAATCACGCGGTATTTTGTTCACAAGCGAGCGTTTTTTCTTTAAAACATCAGTACTCAATTACCTGTGATCTTATTGGCTATGGAGTCTTACAATAACCTCTCGTGAGGGCGGAGGAACGTGAGGATGCGAATGGTAGGTAAAAATCTGCCCATCTGGCTGTTCCATGATAAGCCATGTCTTCATCCCGTACAAAAGCCAAAACTCATTATGGCGCCGCAATAGGTTATTTCGGCGTTTTCGCAGTTGCTCTCGCTTGACACGACTCAAAGGTTGAGCCATTGGTGGGTTGGGTTTGAGATAGAGTAGATCGCAGAAGTCATTGACGCCAGGCGTCGCGCCCTTTGTATGTGATGGGGGTTGGGGATAGGGGTGGACGCAAAAAAGGCCTGCTCAACGATCACCATCAGGCTGTGAAGCCTACTTAGCCATATCCTGCGACCGCAGAAATCAAAGGTGCTGGGTGCAAGAATCTGATCCACTTTCCAAACGGACATGTGGAGCACCAGCATACTCTAGTCATTTGCGCAGCTTTAGAGCATCACCTTTTGCAAATTCACGGTCTTTGGCCCGCTGCCCTACTGAAATCATTGGGCTCAGAATCCAGAACCGGGGTTCAGTATTATCAAGAAATCCGTTTTCACAATTTCTGTACAAACAGAACACTTGCTAAGATGCTATCCCCACTTCCCTACTTTCAGACCACCAACTCGTACATGTGTTCCTATATCGTTTGTACCCCGGCAGGCCCTTTGCTCAAATATGCTTGCTGATACTTGTATGAAGAGCTCCGTCAAATAGAACGCATCCGTCCACACCCGTCAGCCGACACCAGTCATAGTCGATATCACTCGAGATATCACATTGCCCGAAGATGCATCACATCCGAGCACCTTGCCTGTTTTTGAGCCATACCCTATACCGACCACGATAGAAAAAATGCCCTCGGGTATCACTACACAGCTTTTACATGCTTCGCTTGACTATGTGGAGAGCTTGGCGGTGGCGGAGGTTCCAATAGGAGACAGTTCTACCATGGCCTTGCCAGATGTTACAGTCATTAGTGCAACACGGGAGACAGCCAGTGGCTTGAGCGATGGTCTTACTGATTCCTCAAACCATACTGCTGCAACGAATGGCTCTGCATCATGGCCCTTGGACACTGCTAATAAGGACATCTCTTTTGCAACTGTGCATACCAATCGAGAAGCCGCGGAGGTCTGGCCAGTCCCAACATCTCGCGCTATTTTCAGAATCTCTCCGGCTGGTTCGGAGCATATGAGCACCGGAGCTTCTACCCGATATGACGAGCCCACGGAAGCCAAGAACGGTGGAGGTTTCAGTAACTTCACCATCCAACGTTCGCCATCGCACACAAGACCCTCCAGTGGGGCTAACAGTGGCAAAATATTTATGACCACTGAACCTGAAGGGCAGGTTTCAGCATCGACGCTGCCACATACATACACGGAGACAGGAAGTTGGACCCCAGGCCCGTCAAGCACTGCGATAACCCCGGCCCCTGAACCACATGGCGCCATCATGGATGGAACTGAGTTTTCAAGACGACTTTCCCAACGGGGTGTAGCGTTGGGACTTGGCAGTGTAGCTGGAGGGACTATTATCTTTATCGGCATGGTTCGTTCGCACAGGCTCATTCTTCGGCTATTCCACAAAAGCGTGCAGGGATCAACAATGCGCCGTGGGCCAGTATCGACGGATGATCCGTTTGTCAGGCAGACTCCCACAGTCTCTTCCAATGTTGCTGGTATTTCACATTTTTCCGCTGACTCTTAGGATATGCGTTGTATTGACTCAAAGCTAAGCAAGAAAACTATGCACATCTTCTAAACCGCTATGTAGATTTGTCTTGGCTGTACCGCAGGATTGACGAACAAATTGAGAGTCATAATCAGAATATAGCATCATAAAACCTGATGATGCTCTCCAATTGTCATATTTCAATCAAGGACATATTTATCATCGCCTCATTCACATCGATGTTGTATATCCGGGGCTATATTTTGTTCATACTACACCAGAGAAGTTGAGTTCGCCCGATTCCTGAGTTGTTACATTATGAAGTCGGAGTTAAAAACTGCGCTAAGTCATTATGAGAGGAATTGGTGAGGTATGCTTGTAATCCGCTCATATAACATACGTTGGACGAATATCTTGATCCTTAGCAACGATATTTAAGGATTCCCTCCCTCCCTACCTCACAAGCACCTGCACCGCCTATCGTCAGTCTACGTCTCAAGCATCAAATCATGTCATTAGGAACGGCCATGCCTTTATCTAAGTATTCAGAGCCCGCAGTGACATTTTCAAAAAGAAAGTCGCCCGAGAACCGAACTCCCCAGCCCGATGAATTGCCCATCTACATGTTGGTCGTCCTCTTCTTGATGCTATACAACAAGCCCTGGTTGCCTTTCAACACTCTTGGAGATGATACCGAGCAGTCACTCCTGCCCGGTCGTACGATAATCAGCAGGTCCAGCCCTCGCCACCTTCGCTCTTCGGATCACAGGATGGCTCAGCAGGATCTACGATGGAAACTGCTTGCCAGACAAGAGCTCGCCCAAAAGCAGAGAGACGCCGAACAAAAGGGTTCGATCTCACCAAAAGAGAGACCAGCAGACATGGCCCCTATCTGGACCAAATTTGAGCGTTTGAAGAAGAAAAACGGGTCCAGATTGAAACGAACGTGCCAACTCCTTCACTGTGGTTCCCGTCACCTCTCCCGCATCCTTCTGAGTGTAGATCTGCCCTTGCAGAAGCTGGGAACGGACCCAAACACTCTGTCACAGATCACGCTGAAGGCACCAGTGGCCTTCGCGGAGCAAAACAAGTCTTTGGGAGCTGTTGCGCTTAGATGGCTCGCTGCAAAACTTTCCGAAGAGACTACCGAGAGAACGGCGATGGAGTTTTGGAGACTGGCGGCTCTAGTAGCGGAACACTGTGCTGCTTCCAAAGCATGATCCCCTACTCTTGTTTTCAGGATGTGAGTCTAATCACATGTCTCCCCGCTTGTAGGCAAGTACATGATCGAATTGATTTATATTCATATACAATGCTCGGCGGATTCCTGGTGGAACATCGTAGTAGAGATTTTCCATTGGCTTGTCAGTAAAGACCTGTATAGCTCATTTCCAAACCATGATTGTAGAACTCCAAGGCATGTGCGCTTCCTGATCTGAAACCATGCTGGTCGTACCAAATTGCCTCTTAAGTGGAGGTCAACCCTGGGTCTACGTATATTGAGATATCTCTTCTTCGCGATTGTAAAAAGGTATTGAAGAGACGAAGAAACACGGTGACCATTCATAACGAACCAGTCGGAGAAGCCTAAAATAAAGTCAACTTTTGTATATTTGTTTGCACTACGCCTGCCAGAACGATCCAAAATCTCATCAGTACAGGAAACCGCAATGTCTGCATCACACGCTAAATTCAAGATCTATCGATGGTGGTCGGTTCCTCCTGTGAATTTTGGCTTTTTCTTCTTCGAGCCATGTCGCTGCCTCTTCCATCATTTCTTGTTCTATCTCTTCTTGTCCATCGATCCGTCGTCTTTCCTCCCGGCATCTACAAAAGCAGTCTCTGCGTTGAACTCTGCATGAAGTTCCGAAGCAGGATAGTCTAGATAGTGCGTAAAAATATGCTGTGGATATATATAGCGAGGCATGTCAGATACCCTCTCAAGAAGAAATTCGGAACTGGTCCCAGGAGCGGGTTCGAGAACGAAAACTTCAAAATTATGTTGCGCCAGCCCGTTGCAGAACTCAGTCATGAATGACGGGTCGATCGGTAGATATAAGGTCTCCCTGATCTCCTGAATCTTGACATGCATGATATATCCAATTAGCAAGCTTCCTGCTGAGGCTGGAATCATGGGAGCAAACGGGTCAGCCATGGGGGCAGATGAAGACGTCGGCAGGTTGCTCGGGGCTTCTGCCGTTGTGTGGGGCGCCGTCAGGGCGGTCGGATGATGGTGTCCTTCGGCGGTGTCGGCGTGATCGTCCCGTCCCGCGGGATCTGCTTCGAAACCACGATGCACGAACGTACCGCTTCCTTCACTTTCCATGAGATACCCAAAGAACGCTTTAAAGACCCATCGGCGGAGGAATAACTTACTCATTATGCAGTTTTTTTCCGGATCGGGATTTACTAACTATAATATCATTAATTATGGATATGTTTACTGTTTTTAACAGATCAAATAAGAATTAAGGTTAAAGAATAAAACTACTTGATTTTTCATCATCAATTTACTTTAAGACTATTACGTGAAATCCACATAAGTTTCAACCTTGCATATATGAAAATATAATGTACACTAGGTGAAAATGGGGAGTATTCGGACCCTAGGAACCTTCTTACTAACTAAAGATATAAACTAACTACCCGAACTACAGATTCAATAAGTATTTGATCTATCTACTTCGATATGCTGAGATTCTGAAAAGCTGAATATGTCTTGTAAATAATAAATTATTAGTATATTTATATATAATTAGTGTGGGAGATAGATCATAGGGGTAATGGGATAGGAAGGTAATTTGAGGATAGTCTGATTCTCTGATACTATCAAAATAACAAATTCACTAAGAATACTCATATTTCTTGCATATCTGTTATAAAACTTTCCAGCATAATTGTCACTTGATGAAGATTTGCTGCCTTTGTCTGAACAATCAAATCCGATACATCAAATGCTTCATTACCAAGTGCGAGGATTTTCCCAATCGTTATTCCTTCAATCATGGGTTGCGTAACGCTCCATCTTGAGTCATGATTTAAGACACGACCGCATGCGATTTCCACAATGTCATTCAGAAGATCCTGAGAGAATTGACCAGTTACCTCTGAATTCTTTGGCATCTCCTCATGTCGATTTTGTAGGATAACCTCGAGTATTGGGACAACTTTCTCATCCATCAAAAAGCATGTTAAAGATGCGGCGTCTTTCCAAGTCTTAAGATCCACACGTATGTTTTCCAAAGTCCACCGAACTGTAGTAATACACAGTCGATTTGTTGCTTCCACCAAGAATCCAGAGGGCGGTAGAGAACCATGCTTGAGAAGCCAGTTTAGCATAGCTTCGGGATCTCCCCTAGCTATAACCCCAGTCCAACCAAACCATTGGCCGTGGAAAAGTCTCGACAGATCGAAACTTTTGAGATATAGCTGATCCGCTAGCTCAACATCAACAAATCTGCAGATTCTTTCGACGTCGATCGGCTCGATGGGAGGTAAACTCATATTTTGGAAACTCTCCCAATATACTCGAAACCATCTTTCATTGATGATTGAGAGCTTGAAAAGCGTCAATCGTGGGAGTGAAAAGATTTGAAGAGGTGTTTCTCCCATTTTGGCATTTGGACTGGTAAAACAAGCAAAGATGTACCCCCTAGTCAACTCCTGGCCATTGATGAACTCATAGCACCAATCGCAGTTAAACGAATCAAGCAGTCGCAGGTCGTTGGAATCATTCTTGCTGCTGAACATATCCATAATGGTGGTTTGACTGGTGATGATATGCTTTTGTATATTCCAAATATCGCGCAATCTTTCCAAAATGGAGGAACCGTTCAGAAGATCTGCGATATGAGGTTTGATAGGATGATATCGATTTTGTATCTCTTGTAGCATATGTATGGCACTATGCTGACCGAATGGCTGGGAAAGAGCTTGAATAACTGTCTTATTCACTAGTTCCCATGGTTTTTTGTTGCTTTTCCATAGATCAAGGCTATCAAGTAGCCTTTCGGAGGCAGTGGATAAATTCATGATGTAGAAAGATTCAAAAGATTGAAGTTAAAGCAGAAAAGACTTTAGAGGTATGTGGTAGAAACAAGAATGGTACAATAGTCGATGGATCTTAGAGCCTTTTATAGTTACAGTTCACATATATAGTCACTAAATAGGTTAACAGAAACTGAGAACCACTCAAAATAACTCTTTCTCTAGATAGCACTGTACAGAATTTGCCAAACACAGGCCCATAAGTCCTGAATTTCAATTTAGCTAAAAGTCAATAGGAGTTGGGCTACTTTCTCCCTGCAAAAAAACTATTAGCCACATTTTTCACATTCCCCATACACAATAATTTGCTAGATTTCATCCCGTAGTAAGACTCATATTCTCTATTTAGTAACTACACAATAATATCAAACTTGTGATCTTTGGCATTTGCGGTATACTAAAATGCTTCTTTGATCCGAATCACTTAGTAAACGCTCTAATCTCTTTCTGGGGGGTCAGCAAAATGTTTAGATTGTAGATGTGTACCCCTTTTAGTGTTTTTAGTTTATTCCCTTATTGACTGATATTCCTGTCAAGTAAGAAAAATAGTTCATATTTTATATGTTTACGTCTTACGTTAGTCTATTTACATTTAAACTTGCTTGCTAGCTAGCTAGCTAGAGATATAGAATGTAAGTAAATAGTTTGTCTGAAGTATGTTATGATATGAACTGTCTGAAGTAATCGAATAAAGTAATTCTGTCTTAAAGAAATGTTGTAAGGCGCTTCATAAAAGCAGGTAAATCAGAGATATCAATCTAACATTAAAAAGCAAGTCTATATAACCGGAAACAGTCCATTCAGAGATAAAGCTAAAGCTAAGAAGAGAAGGAAATAAAAGGGCAGGAAGGAAGAAAAACAAAAGAAGGAGGCTCATTATCACGTAGGCATGTATATACATATGATACCCTTCATGACTTTGGTCAATAAACCTGCGCTAGAACTTCAAAGGAAGAAACCAAAGAGTTCATCTGTAAGAGCTAGATGTCTCATAATATGATCGAAAATTTGGGTACTAGGTTCAGAAGGACGGGCACAGGCCAGTAATGCACAATCCCGCTGCTCTGCTATGCTTGTACTACGATCCAGTAGCCAACATGCGGCCTCTGGACGTTCATTCAAAGTAGCAAAGAGAGCTAGAGAAGTAGAGTTATTTTGATATGCTGGCCCATGTCCTCTTTCTTCCAGCCAGGAGAAAACTTCTGAAGAGCTTGGGTTTTCGAGAATCATATTTTGCCAAAACGACAAACCATAAAGCTCCACCAACGACACAAGATCGACCCCTCGACAAAGCATTTCATTAGCCAGCTTGCGAGTGGCAAAATGACTAATTTTGTAAAGAGTTTCAGGGTTCATTGCCTGAGTAATATCCATTCCTGATAAGCAAATCTTTTCCCAGCATATGTAAAATAGACTTGGGTTTCTTGCTGCAAGCTGGAAATTTGACCAGCCCTCATGATTTTTCGATGCATATGCAGGCTCAAGGATATGCTGAAGAGGCATATTGTGTAGTAATAGCTGAGCTATGATCGGCTCTGAATTGAGAAGTGAGAGGGAAAAGAAGCTTTCACCATTACTACTATAGTAGCATGGACTGATCACCCCCATTTGAAGTAGAAAACTGAAGCAGTCTACACAATCCCTCAGACATAATGAAGCAGGGTCGCAATCTCCTGCGGCATTTTCTATGTCCTTCAGAGTATCGTCATAACTCGCGTATATCTTCCATTTATTTTTAAGCAGAAAGTGCATGAATTCACTTCCTAACACATTTTGAATGTCGTTGCGAGTGGTATGATTGGTTTGAGGGTTCTGCTGCACAATTCGAAGCGAATGAATAATTCGGTGTGAGGAGGCTTCATCTGGTACAGAGAGCAGGTCTCGGTATACTGGGCATAAAAGACCCAGTTCCCAATGATCAAATGTATGAAAATTTTGTTCGTCAACTGTATCAAAGACAGACAATGTTCGTGCATTGTACATGGTATTGGCTTTAAAGGAGGATTTGAAATGATCTCAATTAATCTTTGGATGGACATGGAGGAGGGGACTTTTATATTGCGCAAACAACGATCATGTGCCCTACACCATTAGGTGTCACTAATCAAGCCATTGTAAATAGCATTCAATAAAAACATAGCCTTGTTCATCAAAGACTTCAACATCACATTGAATGCTTCACCTCTAGCATTCCTTGCCACCTATAATCTCACTAAAAAATTGTGTCAAGAGTGAATTCTATCGGCTCCTGAGCTTGGCCTTGAGGTCGGACGTTATTGGGCATGGGCCGCGAATTCGGCAGGCCACACGGCCGTGACGATTGATGCTCTGAGAAAGACATAATACTAATAGCTTTATTTAATGTTAGTATCAGACCATTGTTTTTAAGGCTCTGCCCCTTGAATACGTACCATCCAGATATAGTACTTTACACCCCTTTTTCTTTTTCTTTTTCTTTTTCCTTGCCTCTTCGATTTCTTGCGTAAAGGCCTTCAAGTAGCAAATATCCAAGTAGAATAAACACAATAATATGCCAAATCAAGATTGCACGGAGTGACCAGGCGATGTAATAGTCAAAGGAGGTCCAAAACGTCTTCGAAAACATTGATGTAGATATAGGAATGTAGATATGGCTTTAAGTGTGAACGGGGGGAATCAATGACTTGATACAATCTCAACAAGACTAAACATCAAACTGAGTGACTAGCTTCATACACTCGCTGATGTCTATTTTCAAATCCTCGCGACTTGCTCGCAGGACCGTAATTAGCTCTTTTCCTTTCTGGGAACCGAAAATGCTGGAAATCGAGGGGCGTATTAATAGCGGCGGTTCGTTTCCGAGATTCAGAAGCCTCAACAAAACAAGCATATATTCAACGAATTGTCTTTCAGGACTTCCCGTGTAGATCCCATCCACGATGTCTTCGGTGAGCAAAATGGGGGCGTATCCTATATCCCTCCTCAGAGTCGACCCGATATGGTCATGTCTTTGCTTATATGGCAACTCGCAAGGTGTTGGCCCAACGATAGATATTATGTAGTCTTTGACCGACGGATAGGTAATTCGAAGCTCGTTTTCCGCTCCTACATAGAGTAAATCATTCATTGGTCAGCTCTTGCATAGAAGCATTCACAGCTAATAGGAACATACGCCATTCATGTAGTTGCAGTTCAAGCGCATCTTTTTCATCGGAATGGGGCATCTTGGAGGGGCTTTGGAGGTATTAACGTAGTAGCGGTTGAGCTCATGAGATGCTCCGACCTTGGAATAAACCGTGCGGCATGCGGTTTATTTATGTGTCTTTCTAAGTTTACTAATGAGTTAAAATTCAGACTCGGACTACGGAATTAGGTATACTACTAACCACATTTTCACCTAGTATGTGAACGGGGATTTTCCAGATACCCCTTCAAATGTTTTTACGGCAAGTATCGCGAGACATATCTTGGGATTAGTACTAGAAGTGGATGAGCAAGCAGACTTGCAGTCGAATATCTAAGCTTAATTTTAAACGTCGAAATCAAGACATAAGACGAATGGATATGGCTGGTAGTCTATTATATGAAACGCAGTAAAAAGGAAACGGAATCCATGAAAGTTGTGGCAAAATTTTGTAACCAAAAATACATACTGAAGAGAGAGATTAGATTTCGGCTGCTCTGTTCTACGCCATCCTCTATGAGCTGCCGAATTTAGAGCTCGAGGTGGGCAGCATCATAATAGATAAGCAGCATAAACAGTATAAGGAACACGAACAACAGAACAGCACGAAACAGAAACAACAGAAACAACAGAAGGAGAGGCAGAAGACTAAAACAGGCGGCTAGCCTCAAAAAGGTTTGCTAGCACTCTTTCGAGTTCATAGAGTCCTGCTTCCCTCATTCTTGGTCTCAAAGAATCGAAGTCCTGAAGACCGAGTCTTTCAAATGCATTAGCGCCAATGCTTTGAACTTTTTGAATGGTTGCCATCTCATATTCCGTGGGCAACACGGCTTCTGTTCCGCTGGCCAAGCTTAAATGGATCGAATCTAAGACTAAACCAGGATTCCGCTGAAATGCGTTCGTCAGAATCAGGAGCAAAAGCCGGGTTCTGAAGCCTGTCTCCTCCGGTATTTCCAAAGGGGGGTTATGCATGATGGAATCAAATATTTGGAGGCTGGCAGTGCGGTTTGAAGAAGCTGCTGCGATTGCAGCGTTGCGCCAGACCGCCAAACTTTTAGGCTGATAACCTTGGAGGGCAATGGCAGTTAACTTTTCTTCAAAAGTGCTATCAGAGTCTTTGAAAAGCCAATTATACATAGGCCATGGGCTCTCTTGATGCATAACTCCGTTCAGGCTAGAAAATTCTCCTTCGCCAAGACCGCCTAGGTAGACACCTCTTTTAAACAGTTGGTCCGCTAGATCGGGATCGACAAATTTGCAAATTTGATGAATTTGAGCTTGATCTAGACGCGGTAGCTTCATCTCTGGAAACTTTTGAATATGGTCCCAGCAGGTGCGGAACCATTGTGAGTTCCATGTACAGCGTGGAAGGAGATCTTGCAATGTCGTTTCAAAGAGTAGGCGATCCTTTTGCTTCATATCCTCTGCTTTGCGTATGAAGCAAAAGGTCGCCATGTCGGCTGGCTTATTCGTGTCAAAAAAGAATTGGTGGCATTCAGCGCAGTTGGAAATTTCGTGCAGGCACAGCTTGTAGGAACTATCTCCGCTTTCGATGATATCTTTGCATGTCTGAACGTTGCGACACATATTCCATTTTTCCATCAACTGGCGCGCAAGCGAAGGACCGTGTTCGATTTCCATGACGTCTTTGAGTACATGACAGGCATCATGGGAGCCAAGGGGTGTTTCCAAGAGTTCCTTGATGGTGGCCATGGTCAGTGAATCGGGCACTGGATGGAATAGCTTTTTGGAGGTTTTCTGGGGGGCGGCCATGATTGAGCTTTGGGAAAGAATTGGCTGCTCATTTCTACTTGGGGGGTGGGTGCCTTATATTTCCAGATATTAGAGGACTGGAACCATTTTTAGTGGTTTAGGCTTTGTGCTCGCAAGGACTCTGCCGTCTGTGCAATCACGAGGGTATAGTCCCTTAACGATCATATTAATTATTGCTCGAAACACTGTCACTTATCTTGCTATGGTAAATTGACATTAAGTTCAAAGGTTATTATTATGGAAAATATCGCCCTTGTCGGGATTCATGTCCATTACATTAGTACCAAGCATGTTCTCCTTTCTGCACTTATGCAGCTTTTTCTAACGCACTGATTCCTTCGCTTCACGAATTTTCATATCTAGCAAAAAAAGATCATATACACATCACGGCCTCCCATAAAGCCACCATCCACATCAGAGAGTCCCACGGGGCCCGCCCAAATAGTTGATGGGAAATATGGCTGGATAATAACTAACGAGCGGCTCCCTTGGCATCTCGGACGAGGACTTCGACTTCTTAGAAAATGAGTTCGTATTCAAATGTTGTTAGGGAGATGCGCCATCCTCCTCTATGTCAACTAACTTATCCCTAACAAAGAACCGGATTTGTGGAGGTACTTGAGGTGGTTCAATAATCCTGTTATGAAATGGCATGGTCCATCTTTCACTCTCAATAAGCTTGCCCCCGGTAGGCAGCATGTGAGTTTGTGGAGGCTTTTGAGGCAGCGCAAAAGTCTTGGTATTTGCTTTGCTGCTTAATGAGACGATGGCTAGGTATTAATGGCTCTTTAGCTGATAAACTTCGTAAGATAAAGGATAACTCCCCGGATGTTAAACTCACAAGAAGTTGTTGCTGGCACCTGCGTCACTTTATAACTCACAGCTGAGAATATAGATCGGAGGCGGGTCCATATAGTGTTAGGTACACTATATGAAGTTGCAGAGGTTTGATCTAGACTATGATCTAGGTTTGACTCGTCTAAGTCCTCTGGAATATTCCACGAAGAAAGGTCATCATCATCATCGGCACTGAAACAGGACATATACATCGTGGAAAAAGAGATAGCTGCAGACAAGGCATTGGGGATATGTACTCGACTGGTTTGATTGATTTTCTCGGCGTGCTGGCACTCTTATATAAAACCTATCGAGCCTTTTAGGTGGGGACAGCAGTTTCAAATAAACTTTCGAAAATGGCAAGATATTCGTATTTACACTACCTAGGGCCAAAATTTACGAGCAGTTAACACACGCTCGTTATCCATAGTGAAAACGGTGTTCCGTCCGTTTCATTAAATAGGACTCCAGATCTGCAAGACCAGAATGCAATAAATTTCATTAAGTAATTCTATGCCAAGCTTCGATAGAACGTTCCTGTACTGACCGCCTAGGACGTGCTGTACGTATCACGTGTTTACCCCTCCATCTCAATCACGAGGTCAGTCGGGCACCGAACACAGCCCTTCCGGGTTTTGTTCACGACACTCCTCGATACTGCGCACTGTGCGCAGTGACATCCTCGAATATGGATTTCTCCAAAACGAAACCTGAACAAGTATCATCAAAATCGAAGCTTATCATTGGTGCTATACGGAATCAGATCGAGAAAGGGCAAACGACACATGAGGGGGCAGATGCGAGTGGATGGAGGCATGGGGGGAGGAATTTTCGAAATCGGTCGAATTGCTCCACAAGGAGATTGAGGAAGACCTTAAAAACCACTCGTTACACGTGAGCTGCTCGACCATTCTCCTTACTTACAAGCTAATAACTATTGCTGGTAGGTGCTGGCCTGTGCCGTCCGTCACTTCTTAAGAGGCGCAACAATTATCAACCGATTCTATCCAATAAAACGCTTGTTAATAATTCCCGTCAATGGGGTCTCAACCATCTCCGGCGTTTCGCTCCCGATTGACACCTACTGCTATATTGGAGATGGACCGGCGCTCACGGGCGAAGACATTGATGTTATTATTGTTGCATACGAGGAAACACACAAGAGTTCATAACACTTTGTAACCTCGTCGCTTATCGCTGGGAAATTTGTACCTATATTGACTACTTTAACAAACGGTTTCAGAGATAGATAAGGGAACCCCTACTCCATTATCTTGCGAACTGAAGTTGGCCTCTGGTCCGGCTTCAATTAGCTGGAAATTCTCAAGCCCATTCAGGGATTCAAGGAAACCGAAATCTGAAACAAAGGGATCAAACCCTCTCAATACCCCATTCTCATCTAGAAATATTGAGTTCAAATCGGCATAAGGTGGGATGCTAGCATTCAAGCCTATCCTAGCATCGTCTTCGACATTGGCGTTATCTGTTTGAGACATCAAGGTGCCAAAGTCTAGCTCTGTGCGCTTGTTCTGGCTTTCCTCAAGACCGTCAGAGTCAATGGGTCGCTTTTGACCGCGTTGATTTCGATATTCAGCTGCGGCCATCCTTAAATGTTAACTCTGGACCATACTAGTATAGATAGAATCGGGTTAAGACATACCACAATCCTTTTTGTATAGTAATACACAATTTTTAAACCATCCTTCACTTGTTTCTGCAAGCTCAGACCATATCGGAGAGTCGCGAATTAAGTCGGCCAGGCATTTCAAAGATGAGTACTTTAGCCCTCGGAAATAGGAGTACACATAGAAGAGAAAGGAGAAGGTCCCTATCTTTCCGTATATATGCTCGAATGAGTGCATTTTCACACCGATTTGGACCGATCTTTGGTTTCCAGTACTGCTTCGATCGATAGCACCCAGATAATTACGTATGTAACTGTCTTTTCGTTTGGAATCTGCGCCTTTTGCGTCCAGAAGCAAAAACGAAACCCGAGGGAGCTCATATGTGGTTTCAGCCCAGTCCAAATATTTCTGGGCGAATATGTACCGAGCAAGGATTGCACGAAACTTTTGGGCTAAAGAGCAACCACGCAAAGATAGCTGGATATCAACTTCGAGAGGATCCATGTGGCTCCAATTCTCACCATACAAAACAGCATGTGCTTCACTTTTGTTGCTGAACGATTTGATTTTTTTGACATCCTTTTCGAGCATCTTCATCATGGTACTTAGATAATCCTCCTGTGTTAGACCTTTTCGCCCTGCAGGCTGTCTTGGGAGTCCATCTGATACTTGAATTTCTTGTGCTGTTTGTTCCTGTGTCGGCTGTTCTGGCATTGGTTGCTCTTGTGGTTGTTCCTGTGTCAGCTGCTCTTGTGGTTGTTCTGTCATTGGTTGCTCTTGTGGTTGTTCCTGTATCGGCTGCTCTTGTGGTTGTTCTGGCATTGGTTGCTCTTGTGGTTGTTCTAGCATTGGTCGCTCTTGTAGTTGCTCTGGCATTGGTTGCTCTTGTAGTTGTTCTGGCATTGGTTGCTCTTGTGGTTGTTCCTGTGTCGGCTGCTCTAGCATTGGTTGCTCTGACGTTGGTTGCTCTTGTGGTTGTTCCTGTGTCGGCGGCTCTGGCATTGGTTGTTCTGGCATTGGTTGTTCTGGCATTGGTTGTTCTGGCATTGATTGCTCTGACATTGGCTGCTCTTGCACTGGTTGCTTGTTTAGGTGCCTAGATCCTTCAGAACGGATATACTCGAAGGCGTTGTGGCTATCTCCATTGATCGAAGGTCCAAAGCAAGGCTCCATCGGTAACATATGAGGTGATTGCGAGCTGTTTTGCTCTTGCGTGGCATTGCTTATCGAGATTTCAGAGCGTAGGACATGCTCTAGGCGATCAAATGCAAACTGTAGCTCTCGGCGATGGGTTGAAAGCAGCTCTTCTGTTAGGGTTGGTAATGCAGATGAGATAATTTTAGCTGCACGGATAACCTCATCGGCAGAGTGCATGGTGTCTATGGTTCTTGGAAAGTTTGATGGATTATTGTGTTCGTAATAAGTCAGGAATCAAGATGTTCTTAAGGCTTGGCACAAACCCGTCGGGTTTGTGCCAAGCCTTAAGGGAGCCTGAGAAAAGTGATAGGCTTGGGTCATATGCATTAGATATCACATCACTAATCTCGCTATCCAATCACCAGTTAAGAGCCCCATATACCTATAGGGGTCTGAGGGTAGGTAGGGGCCTATACACCGTAGAAGAGCCAGTGTCGACAAAAATAGAAGAGGATGATCTCATATCTACAGGGCATTCCAAAATTACTCTACTAAGGGGGCTATGTGCATATGCCAAGACGTTGGCCGTTTCAGTCAAGAATTATGGTCCAATAATATTGTATTACCGCTCGGCTTAGAAGATCAGTGCGGTCGTCGCGAGACGGGGAGCGACTCTCACCCGCTCTCACCCCGCTTCTCACCCTCTCTATTGCACACTCACCCTTCTCACCCCTGGTCGCGCGACGCTAAAGCGGCTCTCACCCATTTCTCACCCTGGCGTCACCCACCGAACTACTGGCCGCATTTAAGCCACACGCCAGTCAGTTAGTAGTATAGTGGGTGACCACAAGCGAATCCTACTATTATATGTTTATGCTCAATCATTTTCTTTGTCCTACAGCCATTCTCGAAGTCGCCTTGACCAATAACTACTCTGAACCAATAACTACTCTGAAAGGGTAGGTGGTGTATTGTCCTCTAACCTAAATCATTTTGTTGTCATTCTTGTTCTTATATCGTCGTAATGAATCGCAATAGCATGATTCCTCGACTTAATATAGGTATGAGAATATCCTCCTCGAAGTCATGCATGTTGCACCAATGGTAACATTTTAAAAACATATAAGAAAGTCCTTTCTACAGAAGAGCTCGCGTCGGCTCCTCGCCATACTAAAATAATCCACATCTTGCATGGTACTGTATCACCAACTCGCTCTCTCACAGGCAGTGAACTCGCAAAAAAACTATTGCTCATTCCTTGCCAAAGATTCATACCTCCAATCTGGGTGAGAATTCAGACAGACTCAGTTCCAGCATGGGCAGGCTGCCTGATGAGCCCGCAGGGGAAGTAGTTGTGGTATTGGCAGAGACTCGTGTGAACGAGGTGTTTCCAGAGCAAACGCTATTCTCATTCGATGTCGCGCATGCCTCTCGCGGAGTTTCTCTTTGAGATGCCTCGGATCTCACACTTCTATCCGGTGTCACAGATACATATGGGAACATCTTGTCCAAGAGACTCGTCTTGCTTGATCTGCACCGCTCTTTGGACTCATGCTGAGATAGACTGGGCTGCGTGCTCGTCAACGACCGGAGACGATTAAACACAGAGAACTCCAACTTCAGCTTGATGCTGTACACGACAGTCTTGAAGCTCACTTGAATATAGTGTAGCTTGTACCCCGTGAGAAGGAGCAGGATATTTAACAACACGACAATAACATTGATCCAGAGCAGATGGATGATGGCATTCCGACCATTGCGACCTCGGATCTCAATCATCGGCTTGAGAGCTCGGACTGCTTCGTAGATGTAAATGCCGCAGATGATGGAATCTTGCACGCAGAAGCCGGTGACCTGTATGCGATCGTATATCGCGGCGGGTCGAGCGAAGCGTGCGTCCCCTTGGTTCAGGCCAAAGAACAAGACGGTCATGGGGACATGAAGAATGAAAAAAGTTCCCGACGATCATCCACAAGACCCATCGCACCTTTTCCATGTTGGAGACAACGAGGTTCAGACGTGAATAGAGTACGACGGCCTGACCGGTAACCATGGCGTACCATCCAATGATGAAAGGGATTGACGTAGAAAGATTAGATGCCTGAGAGACAAAACGAGCCATGGCAGGCAGTGCATGCAGAAGAATGCCCCAAGACGCGACCTTCATGCTCCAGAAATAGAGGCCGCTGTAGCGCTTGAACGTATCAAATGTGACAATTCCCGTTTCCAGGGCATTGTATGCGCCGATCGCAAACATGGATACGACCTGAATAATTGAGACGTTCTTCATCAGAATAGCCCCGACGTCCGATGGTAGGCTGGTAATGATTGTATCCATGATGACCAAAGACTTGTCGCAAACGTAAAAGAATATGAAACTTATGAGGTGGACGTGGTGAGTAGACAATTTTAAAGCCTACTGCGGCAAACATGTGATTTTCTTGCAATGAGATCACGGCATAGTAGCTGGGGGCTGCTTGGAATGATCTGACGAACTTTCAGATCTTATTGGGTCAATGGATGGCCGGGTCGCAGACTCATTGATAACGTAGAAGCTGGGACGAACACTAGGCGTAATTAGCCTCGATCCCTTTTGTCTTTCTACCAGGTCAGCCAGACAATGGCATTTTCTCGTGCCTCTGGAAGTCCGGATCCCGATGAAACGTTAGAGAAAGAAAAGTAAGATTCTCAGCTTCCATAGACTTTGAGTGGGGCTGTCTGAGAAGTTCGATGATACTCTCGTCAGACCATGGAAACGACCGGTCGCCAGGACAGCCTCAGGCGAGGAGGACGCGATTGTCCATGGATGGGTGATCTGAAATTGACACTAAAAAAAGTCTTTGTGGCTGAGTATGTTCGAATTCAACCTTCCCGACAGGAATAAACATTCGTGAAGAGCTGTCCTGTAATATACTCGTGCCCTTTCAACCGTCTATCCAAAAGCAATTTACTGGTGCTGGAAAACTCACAGGCGCAGGCAGAACCGTATCCCGTACAAGACACACCTGCGGGATTTAGAATAAGTCTGGGTATGGCACATATGTCTGGCCTACGACGCAGACCCTGACGTCGGAAGCCAATCAGAGTTTGAATTGTCCCCGAACTATTCATGTAAGCTATTCCATCCTGCCCAACATGTACGACCCTAAGTGAGCTGTGGTTCTAGACCGTAATAAATTCAGGCCAAGAGGATGAACCACCAAGTGGGCAACTAGGGGGCTGGAAGAAGGGTCGATGCAGGAAAGATAGCTTCTAGATCTTTCCATCGACTGGATCGAAAGGACGGTTACCCTGGTAACGGAAAAGTGGAGAAGACCTTCTCTATGTGGAGTCATCCGTTAAAGAGTGGATCGCGAATCACCTTCAAGGCATCAATTTGGGAGCAACATTAGTAGCGTTGTGCTCTGTGCTCCCAAAACACGAGTCATATGAGCCGTTTGTGTCAGAAGAGCAATCTAAATAAGCATGAATTGTGAAGGGACACTCAGTTACACATCTGGTAGTCGATCGGATCGTGATTAGTGAAATGAATGTCAATGCAGAGGTCCTTGGTTGGTCATTTCTTCGACACGGGACACGGGTCCGCGAGTCAGCGTTCCTAGTCTCAAGGTCCCACCGATATCTGTCTCGATCGGATCATGAGTCACGTCTTACCAGGTCATTTCTGATTGGCGTCTTGCGCCAGGGTATGATAGGAGCATTGCAAATTTTTGCAATGGATGAACCATGATAAGTCCCACGGCGAATGGCATTCAGAACCAAAATTCCACGTCGTGTTACCATGTGATTAGCCGCACTCGGTATTCTTGAGCCATACAAATATTAGGCGTCAAGCCATGTACTGTACCAAGAAAAGGGGTAATGACCTGGATTTCAATCTCACCCACGTGGATTATCTGGTATAAGCCATACTCAAAAAAGAAACATATGCACTAAATGGCTGCTTGGTAATCAACGGCTTTCTGTATGTATGCCGCAGAAAGTCATCCCTTCATGTGTGTATCAAAACTGCCTTTGGGGATCATTTTAAGTTGATATACGCAGCAGCGATCTTTCTGCGGACCCATATCAGAACAACAAAAAATGCATCATGTCCAGTTTCATGAGGCATGTGGGTATTTTCTAACACGCTTACAGATTCTGGGTTGTCGGTGTGAATGCATATTGGTGACTTCCAACTCGGAAAATTGGTACCAATAGGGTTGCTTGGCAGGAACACATATTTTTGCGCTTCGTTGCAGATGATCTCCCAACGGACCCCCTAGTATTAAAGGCTATGCCTTCCCAACCTTTTGCACGAGGGAATCTTCAGCTTTTCATCCTTCAGCTAAAACTCGCTTGTCAAAAGATAGCATGGCAAATCAATCTAACTCCGCCCCAAAGAAGCCAGACATCACAAGCAGGTCGAGAGTGACGCGTGCGAAGTCCCGAGTCAATTCTCCCAGCCCTACTCAGTCGGGTGTCTCTCAGTCTCGTGCAGACTCCTATTCTCTGCACTCAGTGGCGCAGCCGTCCAAAGTCCCAGTATGTTGATGGTGGTCTATTTTCGATTCCTAAATTCTTGAGTTACCCTTTACTATGCTCAGTACTGCCGATACCATGCGCACCAGCTGATCATACTATTTAGGGGCATATCGTGTCAAAGAGTGATCGGAAGAAGGAGTTCAGAGCTATTCATGCCAAGTGCCTTGATGAGATGGACAAAATTGGTCGGGAGCTTCAATTGGCCCTTGCGGAGAAAAACGATCAAAAGGCCTGCGAGTCTCAGCTGTTGCAGAGAATGCAAGCCGCAGAAGCTGAAGCGAGTTCGAAATTGCAACAGGCTATTGCGCGAGAAGAAGCCGCTCTGGCTGACAATGAAAGACTTCAGAACGAGATTCGTCAACTCCAGCAGCAGGTGGAATCGCTGAATGCTTCGACACAGGATAGCGTCCCATGGAACGAAATTCAGCTGGTATTGCATCAAACACATGGCGAACTAGTCTCCGCGACCACGCGATACTGGAACGCGATCGACGCTCTCCAGAACCGCAGACTAGCATCCTATCTACCCGGCTCCGGAGTGATCCACGGAAATTGGACGGAGCAGTACGGCCCGCCAGGAAAATTGGGACAGAATGCCCTTCCCGGGTTCTCCGCATCGGGTAATCCCCCGCTGAGCAATCTGCAACAAAAACCTGGGGCAAACAATGTATTTGATTCGTTTGTGTGAAGCGTCATGATCTTCGGGTTCTTGT